AGGGGACAGGCTTTGGAGACAAGGTTCCTGGCATCTGGGAGCAGTCCCATCCTAAGATTCAGGGATTTAAGATATAAGATCCCTTTCTCAACCAGTTCACTGTTAGCTCACTGTGTGTTGACTCAGGCCCACTCCCAGAAAGCATGGGCTGGTGGGGGAATCGGGACCCCCACGGGTAGACCCTTCCTGTGACAACCCCCGGAACAGCACGCTTGGCTTTTGTTGACTGGCAGAGAGAAATGACCTTTCGTGAGCCACTAAGCTATCTGAGCCTTGGTTCTTCTGCCTATAAAATGAAGGGCTTGATTTACTGTATTCATTTCTAGAGCCATTTGAAGAACTTGTGTGTGTGTGTTTGCACCCACCTGATTCTATGGGACGTGCTGGCACAAAACGGGGCAGCGATTAGCTCCGGGCACTAGCAGAGGCAGATGATTGTGCCAGGGCACCTCGCCAAGGTTGGCGGAGGCCTGAGTCCCGGAGTGTTCCTTGTACCCACTTGGCCTGCCTTCCCCACCCCCTCACCTTTGCTGTGTGGTTCCTTCCTCCTCACAGGCTCTTTGACCATCTGCAGAGGACCTGACCCATGCTTATCATTTTTATTATTTTGTGATCTCTGGTTCTTGTTTTAGAAAGTCTTTTTTTTTTTTAAATTTTTCAAACTATTAAAGTTATACCTGCTAGTGAAAATGTTAGTCCCTTGCATTGCTGTTATAGGCTGAGCACTAGTAATGGCTAATAGTAATGATTATGCAGGTCTGAACTGAGCAGTCCCGCGCTATCCTGGACCTGCCAGCGCTGCGGACAGACTCTGCGGCGCCCATTTTGCAGATGAGGGAGTGGAGGTTCTGAGCGAGATAGGCAGCTGCAGAGCTGGCGTCTGGCAGAACTGTGCTCCTCACCAGGAGGCTGGGAGCCTGGGGCTGGAGGGCAGGCTCTCTCAGCCCCATACCTTCTCCCACAGGACCTGGGGCTGAGCCGGTGCAGGGAGGGAGGGAGGGAGGAAGGAGGGGGTGAGCAAATGTGGCAGGTAGGCCAGGCGGCACACACCCTCAGAGGGCTCTGCCCCAGCATCTCTGTAGCTCCCAGCTGCAACTGGATCCCTATGGCTAGCCTGGGTCTCTCAGTTCCTGGGCCCAGGAGCCCCGGGGTTGGCCCTGCTGCTGGGGGTGGGGCCCCAGCCTGCTTCCGTTCTGTCCTCTGGGAGGGGCGGTGCGGGGAATGCCCTGTGGGGCCCAATGAACGGTGGTCAGAGCCAGGATCTTGAGGGGGGCCCGCAGGCCGCGGCTGGGATGCCGAGCGCCTCAACCTGGCTGTGAGACCTCAGGTGCACCCCTCACCCTCTCGGCTGAGCCCCCTTCCTCGCTGTGAGCCTTGGTCCTGGAGAGCCCAAATCCACGGAGGGTGGTGTCTCCAGAAGCCGTGGAAGGAAGGAAGATGAGCTGGTGCAGGCGGGTCTGGAGGAGAGAGGGGCGCTTGGGGCCTTGGGGACCTTCCACAGACACCTAGGCAGGGACCGACCATGGGAATTCAAGTTGTGAAATCCCTGTGGCAGCTCCGTGGAGGTAGCCCCTGGGGGGGAGGCAGGAGGGGGAAAGTGGGGGGCTGAGTAGCATTTCTGGCCAGGGACCCTGTTCAGGGCTTCCCCCCTGCCAACTCTTTGTCATTGACAGGGGGCGGACCCCTCCAGCTCCTGCCTCTCTAAGGTCCGAAGTCCTCATCCCCTGCCTTCCGGTGGTACTTCCTTTGTATTGAGCATGCGGCAGCTCCTCCCAGGCTGTCTTAGGACATTTCTCAAGAATGTGCTTGGGGCTACCTCTGCCAAGAGGCCACCACGGCCCGTTCTCCCACAGGCTTCCTTTCCAGCGCTCCCTTTGCTGCCCCGCTCCCTGGCAATGCCACCTCCTAGTCCTTAACCCCTCGGGGAGTGCCATGGCCCCCACCCCTCGCCCAGCCTCTCCCTTCTGGTGGGGCCTGCTGCAGAGCAGGCCCTCAGTAACCATGTGGTGAATGAACCCCCTTCCTCAGCGCCTGCCGGTGCCAGGGCACCAGGGGTGAGCTAAGGGGATCCAGGGGTGACCCAGAGGCTGCCAGGCCACCATCAATCCTGGGACAGATATGAGCCTCCTAATCTATTTGGGTCCTGAGTCGGGAGAGCAAGGCTGGAAGAGACTCCACGCTCTTCAATCTGTTTGGTTCTGGAATTTTAGGTAGCATACAATTTATCTAAAAGCAGATCAGATCTGTGCAGTTCTTGAGTTTGGATAGCAAGACATGCCTGTAATTGCAGTTGGGTGGGATGGGAGCCGGGGCTGCTGCAGTCTGTTTGGGGGTGCAGGGCGCCTGGGGCTGCCTCCTCTTGTCCTGCTCCATTGAGCGAGGCCCCCCAAGTTTCTGCTCATACCCTGTCCTCTCTCTACCTTCTGCCTGGCTACCTCTCCCCCAGTCCTTTGGCCCTTCACTCCTGGACCCTGGTCCTGCAGTCTTACCTGAGTAATGTGAGAGGTCTAGAATGAATTTCATCTTCACCTCTCAGCCTGCCCTGGCCCCTCAGCCCGATGTTTCAGGTCTGTCGGCCTCGTATTTGCCTTCTGGCTCTGTCTGGGTCACCATGTCCTGGCCGTTACTTCCTCGGCCTCCGCTGGCTTCCTCTCCAACCCACAGCCTCCCTACCCCGTCCCCTACCCCCCACGACCTGGGCTTCCATGCCTGGGCCTCCGCTTGGCTGGACTTGCCCTTCCTGTCCTTTCCCCTCGTCTAGCCTTCCAAACCCTGCCTGGACGTGATGTCTGGCTTATGCTGACGCTGCGGCTGGGACCCCGTTTCAGCTTCCTCCTGGACCTGGCTCCCTGAGTGTCCGGGTAGACTCCGGCCCTTCTAGAAATCATGCCCCATCTGAGGCCGGGTGCGCCAGGGCTGGGTCAGGCCTCCCGGAGCCACGGCTGCAGGACCCTGCAGATCGAAGGGCCCGAGCCTCCCCATCTTGCACGCTGGGAGAGAGCCTGTCAGGAGTCAGCCTGCTTGGGACAAAACCCACGATCAAGGTTGTGTGGGCGGAGAACCGGGCTCTCCTGGGACTGTGAGCCCCCTCATCCCTAAAATGGGAAAACAGTAGCCCTGACTCCCTAGAGTTTTCCAAAAGAAGGTTCTTTGGGATCATGCATGTGAAACTTGCCCACCACTGGCTCAGGTTAACAATCAAAGGTAATTATTACGAGGATGATCGCATGCTTTATCAACATTATTGTCATCTAGAATCCTATTTTCTCTAATTCGCCCCCATTCATTTCCCTGTCTCTCCCACCCACCCATCCACTTCCCAACCTCTCATCTTGCCCCATCGTTTCTCAAAAATAGTTCCCATGGCCTTTGAGAGAGTTCTGGTTGTTTACGGTTTTTAAAAAATAGGCATTCACAGCAAATTCCTCATTTGTTCTCCTTGTCCTTGCCTCTAAGCAGGGTTTGGACAGACATGGCTCATTCCAGGGAAGGGGGCACAGGCAGGGCCATGCCGGTGGAGAGGCTCCGCTGGCCGAGCTGCATCTAGAGGCAGTGGAGGGGGTGGCTTGCCTGAGACCCTGGGCTGGGGGGAGAGGTTGTGGCACTTGCTTTTAGCCTTCCTCCCCGGCCACCACCCCCAGCCAGGCCCCAGGACCACATCCCAGCTACACCACCTTCTAGCGGTGTGATCTTGTGCCAAGGACTCAACCTCTCTGGGGCTCAGCTTCCTCCTCTGTAAAATGGGGTGGCCCAGCCCTACCTCACAAAGCCATTGAGAGGATTAAATGAAATGCTGTCCTAGCCCATGCCCTCTGTACCCAGAGACCAGCCACGGGAGGGACAGCGTCACGTCCACCCCTTCTCCTTTGAGAAAGGACCGAGTCTTCGAAACCCGGAATCTGAGACTGTCAAAGGTAGCAGGGCTCGTCTGTTATTGAATACAGTCCTCTTGGTGTGCAGAGGGAAACTGAGGCCCAGCAAAGTTGCCGTGCAGTCGGCTAGCACAGAGCCCGGGGCAGGGCTCCGCACCAGGAAGGGTCTCCCAAGGGGAAGGCCCCCCTTGCCCTGGGCCGCAGCCCTCTGCGGGCCTCCGTTTCTTTGTCCGGACAAGGGGATGCCCTGGCAGTGCAAATACGGAGCTTCCGCCGTGTGCTCGGCCTGCTCTGGAGGCCGCAGTGCTCGCCTTCTCTGTTCCGAAACAGCTTTAGCCGAGGGGGAAGCAAACGGCCCATGCGAGCAAAAAGGCTGTTAACTTGGTAGACAAATCCATTGTAGAATATTTATTTTTCACTGTGAGATGGATCGTGCCTGTAAAAGAATTCCAATGCAAGAAAAGGGGATACAGCAGAAAGTGGAAGGGACCGTGCAGCCTGAGGCCCCCCTTCACGGTCTGGAGTGCGGCCTTCCCGACCTCTTCCCGCACATCTCCGGGCGTGAGTCACTGCTGCGCGCGGGCAGGGGTTACTTTAAGTGAGATGATATTCAACATGTGATTCCGTAACGCGCTCCTCTTTATGTGGCAGAGTGTGGACACCTGCGTTTTGTCGCTACACGTGCTTATAGACCCCCTCCCTCTCGTCCCTTATGACTTCATCATTGTGCCCACAGCTGCCAGTCACCCTCCCAAAAGGCCGTCCCATTTCCAGCACCCCCAGCCCTGGGGTGTGGTGCCTGTCCCTCCACATGCTGGTCTGGCAGGGACAATGGAATCTTGGTTCCGTTCGCATTTGATTGATGACTGTGAGGCTGACTGTCTTCTCACTAGCCTCTTGGTTCCTGGTCATTTCTGCGTGCGGTCCCGGCTTATTTCCCTGTCCGGAGGTTCACCCAGGTGTGAGCAGGAAGTACACAATTCTGCCCAGAAATGCAATGCTGACGAAAGCAAACAACTTTACAAGCAGGACTTTGGGGTGTTTGTGGATGCTCCTCCCTGGGGCAGGGTAGCTGCATGTATAAATGACCGTGATGACCTCATGTTTCCATTTGTCCTTCCCTTCCAGAGAAAACCAGAAAGGTCCTGACGGAGTTCCTCCATTTTTATGAGGACCAGTATGGCGTCGCCCTGTTCAACAGCATGCGCCACGAGATTGAGGGCACCGGGGCGCCGCAGGCCCAGCTGCTCTGGCGAAAGGTGAGAGGCACCGAGCCAGGTACAGGGCAGATTCTGGTCTGGCTCTGACACTGCTCAGCAGGTGACTTCCTTCTCTGGGCCTCAGTTTCCCTTTGTTGCCGCGGTGGTCTCTAAGGGCCCCACCCAGCTTCTGACTAGACAGATGACCTGGTGGTGTTGTCCAGGCCCCTCTGTCACTGTGGGTGACTCCCCCCGGCTCTGCCCTTCCAGCGCTGGGGCTCTGGAGTCATCTCGACAAGCCTGGATTCAAGCCAGGTCCTTTTCTTATTGGCCTGTGCCCATGAGCAAATTACCTCGCCTCCTGGAGTCTCAGTTTACTCCTCTGTGAAATGGGACTAGCACCCCTCCTGCACCGGAAGGTCTTAGGGATTAAAGATTCGAGTTGCCGCTGCCTGGGGCAGGGAAAGCGGTGTGACACTGTCGTTCATCATGGCTGGCCTTGTCAGTATCCCGATGTTAGTAGCAGGATCACGTTGGCCCAGTGTTTGTTCAGGGAGGAGCTGGAAGCTCCCATAGAGGTGTTGGGGCCAGCATCACAGAGCAGGGACCGAGGCTGGCAGGAAAGAAGTCGGGGGCCTGGGTTCAGATTCTCTCAGTTGATTCAACAACCCTCGAGGCTCAGTCTCCTCATCTGACAAATGGGCGCCTCCTGCCTGGGGTTGTGGCGAGGGTTCGGTGAGAAGATACAGGGCGTGTGGCCGGGGGCAGATGGCTTTACGAAGGCTGGGTGAGTCCTGATCTGCTGTGTCTTCTCCTCATTGGGCCCCAGTTTCTCTGCCTGTGAAATGGCGTCCAGAGAGAGGAGCCAGAGCAGCTTTGCGGAGGGGTCGGGGGTTTCCTGGGGCCTAGGCCTGGGCGCCTAGGTGGAGGGTAGGTCAGGGCTGAGATGGGTATGGGGGGGACAGGGGAGGCGGCAGAGCGGACAGATGGCTAGGAAGGCCCGGCACTGGGACTTTTATTTCATCTCATTTCGCTTCCCATCCTTCCCCAAACCAAGTGACTGAAAATGTGCCTGTTTACCCCGAGACCAGAGGGGCAGGAGCCGGTGGTGGCGTCCTAGGCCTGGCTTTGAGGATTCATTGCCCTCTGGTGTCTTCTCCGCAGGAGGAACAGCTGGAGGCATTAGCTGCGGGCGGGGCGGGGGGGGGCAGGGGGCGATGAGGGGAGAGCTGCTGACGACACTGAGGATTACAGAGAGAGAGAGCGCGCGAGAGCGAGCCAGCGTGCGAGAGCGGCACCAGCAGGCCCCTAGTCGGGGACACACTGACTGTCAGGTCAGGTGCTGGGCCATTGCTGCCCTTGCTCGCCCCACAGACACTCGCAGGCCCTCCAGGAGACAGGCAGGAAACACCCGTTTACACAATCTTCCAAGGAAACATCGGGGCGAACTCAGACATTGGGGGACTGGCCTCATCTGGGTGGGCCCCAAGGGCTTCCTGGGAGAAGGGCCATCTCAGCTGAGGACCCGATGGGAGAAGGTATACCAGACTGAGGCAGCAGCGCGTGCGAAGGCCCGGAGCTGAGGCATTAGCTGGCTTGCCCAGGGCGGTGCAGGCAGGACTGGAGCCCAGTTCCAGATTCCTGGCCAAGGGCTCTCTCGGCCCCGACCCTGAGCCTCCCTGGGATGGAGGGTAGGTCAGGGCTGAGTGTCGGAGCTTCTCAGAGCATCACGTGTCACTTTGATTTTGGACCCAGAAAAGACTGGTCTCGGGGAGTCAGGGCAGCCCCCTGGCCTCCTGAAGGCAGAGGCAGAGGTGCGCAGTGGTGCGCAGTGGTGCGGCGTGTCTGTCAGGCGCACGCCTGTGTGACGTGAAAGGAGGCTGCTTTGCGTGGGCAGAGCTGGAATTGTCCCCTATTTAGAAAGAAGTGTCACAGGGATCCGGGTCCCTATAACCCCAGACGGGAGTAGGGACCTGGCGGATAGCTCTGCACTTTACTCTGTGGGAGAAATGCCTTCCGTGCTCACAGGGGTGCATATTCATGGTAGGAAAACAGAAATAACACATAAACAAGAATAAAAGAGACCATCCAGAACCCCTGACAAGCAGGGAGTTTTCCTCTCACTGTGCGACTCAGGAAACTGGCCTTCATGGTATTAAGTCATCATAGTAATATCATGGTGGTAGAAATGATCATCTTCATCGTCATCCTCATCATCGCATCAATAATTGTTTTTATAAGAAACAATAATAAAAAGAATAATACATTAAAAAGTAGTAATAATAAAAACAAATAAAAAAATAGGTGTTCTAAGCGGGCACGGGCTGTCCAGCGGGCGCAGCTCCGCTGCCTGAGGGCTTATGCGTACGTCCACATCACCGCTGTGGACGCTGAGGCTTGGCGAGGTCCAGTCGCTTGTCCAGGCTCCCCCGGTGGGGGCAGTGCGGCTGGGGCTGGAACGCAGGCTGTTGGAACCGGGGTCTGTGTGCTAACCGTTCGCTGCCTCCCTGCCGCCCCCCAGGAGCCCCACCACTGAGTTGGAGAGCTTAGCAGAGTCCAAGATATTTTGGCTGGGCTGTCGGTTCTGTTCCATTTCCTGAAGACCTTCCAATGGAAACACAACACGACTCTGCCATTTCAAAGTCTTAAAAATAAAACCTAAACCCACGACCAACTGCCCATTACGGGCTGCCCAGGATCTGGGGGTGGACTGGCGAGAGCCCGGTGCTGAGCCCCGACTGAGCCTGGGAAGGCCTGCCCTGAGCCACTGCCTCCCACAGCCGCACCCCACCACCTCCCCCCACCCCCGCCCACGATGAGGTGCCTGCCCTAAGCAGGGGCTGCGGCCAGCCAGGGTCTCAGCAGGGCGTCAGGAGAACCCTCCCTGCTTTCTTCCCAGAAGACCTGGGGACTCAGAGGTGTGTGGAGAGTAGGCCCTGGTCTAAATATAGACCACTGAGCAGCAGCTTTGTGACTTGGGCAAAGCCACTGCGTGTGGGGGTGGTGGGGTGGTGGGGTGGTGGGGGAATCATTTTCTTTTCCTGTAAATATTTTTATCCCTGGGTAGGAAGCAGTCTGCGGGGTCCTATTGTTTAAGTACAATGGGCCCTCGTTTTCTAAGAGTGTTTTGGTATTTCCCCTTGCCAAGTGGCAGCGAGGTTGCTGGGAAGAGGGGGCTGCGTGTGAAGAGGCAGGCCTGGGGGGTGCGGCCTGAGAGGGGCCCCGCACACCTGACTGCAGCTGCAGGCAGCCCAGAAGCAGAGCGAGGCTAGGAAGGGTTGGGAACCATTAAAATAGCGCTTTCTCCCGTTACTACCTATGATACATGCTTCTTTTCTAAAAGGCGACATATTTGTTGGGGACCAGATAGAAGCTGCCCAGAAGGGGAGGAACCCTAGACTCCCCCAGTTTCCACCCCCCCGGCAGTAAGCCTGCTCCCTCGTGGCCGGTGTCGCCCTTCCTGGAGCGTGCCGGTGCCGACCTGCTCTGGAAGCGCCCCCTCAGGACGGCCATCCTTCCTCCTCCCTGACGAGGTCAGCCGTGGGGCTGGCGGCCTGGCCCAGGCTGAGTGATCCAACGGAGGTCACGCTGCGCCACGGGATGCGAGCTTCTCGCGCTGCCCGCCGGCGCCGGCGACCTGCGTGACCTGCGCCCACATCGTCTCCCAGAATCCTCAGGGAAGTCAGAGCTGTCACTGTCCCATTTTATAGGAGAGGAAGCTGGGGCTCCAAGGGGACGTGACGGACGTGAAGCGGCACTGAGTCAGGGAGGTAGAGCTGACGTTAGGGCTTTGCGGGAAGGTCTGGGCATTTGTGCTGCTCACACTGGTCACCAGTCTGTCAGGACAGCGGTCGAATGTGGAACCAGACTGAGGTCCCCTGCTGCACCCCCACCCAGATTCCCAGGCCATCCTGTCAGCTGTCAGGGCTGGGGAGGCTCCCTGGAGCCACCTTGGCCAAGTGTTTGTTGCTCTGAGGAGAGGCTGAGGCCCGGAGCTGGGGGAGACTTGCCTGGGCGCTGGGGCCTTCACTGGCTTGGCCCAGGGGCATGTCCCCTCTGCGAGAGTGACTGCCCTGCAGAGAAAGTCCCAGACCCGTCCTCAGGCAGCTGTGCCTGTCGAGCCAGGACGGACTGGGGTCCTGTCTGAGTTCTGAATCGTGGCACGTGGCTTCAAGACCTGCCATCGCTGCACCCATTCACGGCCTTGAGCCTCACTGTCCTCATTCGCCCAGTGGGTGAGCTGCAGCCCCGCCTGGGAGGCCTTGGTGGGTGGGTGCGCGGGTGCTGCGAGTGGGGCCCCGTCACCTCCTCAGAGGACCCTGCTGCCTCGCCGGCCTCACTCCCCGCCCTCCTCCCCATCCAGGTGCCGCTGGATGAGCGCATCATCTTCTCGGGGAATCTATTCCAGTACCAGGAGGACAGCAAGAAGTGGAGGAACCGCTTCAGCCTCGTGCCCCACAACTATGGGCTGGTCCTCTACGAGAACAAAGTGGTGAGGCTGCCGCCCCATCTGGCTTCAGTGCCTGGCACTGAGCCCCCAGCCGGGTCTTCTTCTCCCTCCCCGCGGCTCCGCCCCTCCCCCGGCTGCCCTCCTTCACAGTAGTTATCCTGGCAAGCCCCCCTCCCCCTCCTAAATCTGAGACTCCAGGCCTTCACCCTCAGCTGCAGCCAGCGTCACCCCTCCCACCTCCCCACACCTGCTTGCTCAGGGCGCCCTCTCTAAATTTCCCTCATCCAGGCATCCCGCTCTCTGCTGCCCCCATAGCCAATTCCCTTGCTCCTACCCATCCCTCCGAATCCCTTTCAAGTCCTTCCAGATCTCTCCATTTCCAGGGCCTCCTTGCTGGCTGGGTCTCTTCTGACCCCTCCGGTCCTCGCTCCTCAACCGGGCATCCCTGGGTGGTGGTCCTATCGTTTTCCTTCCTGATTTTCGCCCTGTACTTCACTGCCTTGTAGCAGGAGGATGGGTCCTGCTGAGCGTCCTTGGGCCCCTGGGCCCTGGAGGAAGCCCCACCTGGTTGAGCCACAGACTCAGTTTCTTCTACCAGACGTGTCTCCAGTGCAGCCAGAAGGACAGTCTGGAGCTCCCAGGGCAAGTCAGTGTTAGAGCAACAGAACCCGGAGCAGCCTGTTGCCCCAGGGTAGTTCTTCTCACATTGATAGAATTCCAGTGGAATGGCCTGGAAGGCTTGCTGAAAAACAGGTTGCTGGTCCTGCCCCAGTTTGACCCAAGGCTGGAGTGGGGTCAAAAATTTGCATTTCTAACAAGTTCTCGGGTGCTGTTGATGATCTGGGACCACACTTGGCCAATAATCAGTGCCCCAGAGAGGTTCAAGCTACTCTCAAGAAGTGTGTTGAGCCCTGACTGGTGCGGCTCAGTGGGTCAGGCATCTTCCCCCAAACCAAAAGGTCACTGGTTCAATTCCTGGTCAGGGCACATGCCTGGGTTTCAAGCCAGGTCCCCTGTTGGGGGCATGTGAGAGGCAACCAATCACACATCACTGTTTCTGTGTCTCTTTTTTCCCTCTCCCTCCCTTCCCCTCTTTAAAAATAAATAAATCTTAAAAAAAAGAAAAAGGAAAAAAGAACTATGCGGAGTAGTGACACCTAGTGGCAGGGTACAGCATGGCAGCCCAGCTCTAGGAGCTACTGCAGCAGAACCACTTTTCTCCCCACTGGTGAAAGAAAGCAGTGCCCAGACCTAACTCTCCTCCACAGGGGATCCGTGTGGTGCTCAGAACCTAGGGGGCTGGTGGACACTTCAAGGTAATGGTCAGAGACCCTGGGCTCTGGAGGCTGACAGTCCAGGTTCATGTCCTGGGTCCCTACTTACCAGCCGTGTGAACTTGTGGCTAATCACGGCACCCACCCGTCGGACTGTGCTTCATTCTGTGAAAGGAAGCATGCAGTGCCCGAAGCACGGCGCCTGGTATGTAATGGACACTCGGCCAGTGGTAGCTGCTGATAATAGAGGCAGTAGTAACAGTGGTGATGAAATAATGACCTCAGCACACTTACTGTCCCTGCGGTGCCAGGCCCTGTGCTAATAATCATTTTATGTGGCTTGGCTGCGCAGTGAGGTAGAGACTGTTCTTATCCTGGTTTTACAGATACAGAGACCGACGCGCAGGAGGCGGGGGAGGCTTATCCTCGGCATCACGCAGATGGTGCTCGGTGGACCCAGCATTTGAGCCCAGAGTCTGGGTTCAGGTTATAGCACGTTGCCTCTAGTCGCCATGTTGGTCAGACTCCTTTTCCTCTTCGCTTCCCTGTGTCTCTCTTCCTCCTCCCTTTCTCTCTTCCCCTCTTTTCTTCCCTGCCTTGGGCAGCAATACTGAGTAGGGTCCTGGAGCCAGAGCTGGGGGTGGGATTTGGCTTGGTCCTTATCTCTACCCCCAGGGACCATCTCTCTTGCTCTTTCCTCAGGCCTACGAGCGGCAGGTCCCACCCCGATCTGTCATCAACAGTGCGGGCTACAAGATCCTCACTTCCGTGGACCAGTACCTGGAGCTGGTTGGCAACTCTTTACCAGGTGAGGCAGCACCCACCCCAGGCCGAAGTGACCTGCACAGGCCCGGGATTTGGCCTCGGGAGAGGGCGGCCCTGATCCCGGAGCTCCAGGCTCCACATTTGCAGGGAGACCAGCTGGGCCCAGGGCTGCCCACAGGCGCCCAGCATCTCCTGAGCCCCCAGAGAGGGGGCTTGAGGCCACGGAGTGAAGCGGGGCTGGATCTCTTTCCTGCGTCCTGAGGCTTCCGATATCAGCTGTGCAACAGGGACCCCACTCTCTGTCCTTGCCCTTCCCTGAGTCCTTGAGGGCATGACTGGGTTGTTCCTGCCCTGTAAACTGCTGAGTTGGTACTGCGTTTGTGAGTTGTGCTCGGCGTCCTGTCTGCCCCACCTTGTCCCAGACTCCCAGGAGCACATGTGCCTCTCAGATGATCCCAGGGAAACGACAGAGGAGGAGACGCTGGCCCGAGGCAGCGTGGGCCCCTAGGCAGGAGATTGGGGCTAAGGCGTCCCGTGCGGCTGAGGGCTCGGCGGCAGGAGGCACGTCTGGATTCCAGTCCGCTCTCTGGTTTTGTTTTGCTGTGTCTTTTCGGGCAACCCAGTGCTGAGAGGACCGACCTTGGGGTATTGTGTGGACCCCATGAGGTCTGTGTGGCTGAGCCCAGCACAGGGACACGGACAGAGCCAGGGCGCAAAGAAGAACTGTCATTGTTTTATTATTAACAACAGCGGCGAGGTCACAGCCCAGGACCCCTTATCTCACTGGATCTCAAATATCCATGCAGACAAAATAGAGAGAGAAAAATCCCTTTTTATTTTTTCTACCCCCAACCCCCATGCCTCCCTCCCATCTTGGACATTGAAACCACACTTTGGCCTCCATATCTAAAATTTGAAGGGAAACCCAAGAAGGTAATGCTTGGCCTTTGAACCTGGGAGCTCTGACCCTGTGTTATTTGTGCCTCCCACATGGAGTCTAGATCCTTCCCCAAGAGGGAGTGGATGCTACTAATAAATGGGTCTAAACAGATGCCGGGGCCCCTTTAGACCAGGCTGTGGAGGACACAGCAAGAAAGGATGCTGCCTCTCTGCTGACTTGCTGGTCACCCAGGACCAGCTGACCCTCTTTGGCCCTGAGCCTGCCCCTGAGACGGGGGCCCAGGGAACCTGCAGAGGGCAGCTGCTCAGAGGGCACTGTCTCCACAGGGACCACATCGAAATCGGGCGCGGCCCCCATCCTCAAGTGTCCCACGCAGTTCCCACTCATCCTCTGGCATCCGTATGCACGTCACTACTACTTCTGCATGATGACGGAAGCCGAGCAGGACAAGTGGCAGGCTGTCCTGCAGGACTGCGTCCGGCACTGCAACAATGGTGAGTGGACTTCAGGCCCCCGGCCATGGGGGTGACGGGCATCCCCTGGGTTCGGTGCTGAATGGCGACACCTACTGGCTGAGTGCAGTGTGGCAACCCTGCTCTATGGGCTGTCCTCTTTTCCTTCTGGGTTTGTAAGAAACCACACGGTGAGGCTGCCCTTGACCTTCTTTCTTGATGAAAAAAATTCTGTGTTGCTCAGAAGAAATTCAGGAAATTGCCCTCCGAGTGGCATGACTGTTGTGCCCGTGGACCCCGGATCACAGAATCACAATCCTGAGTCTGTCACTTTCTAGCAACGTGATCTTAGGAGATCAACTTACCTCTGGGAGCCTCTGAAAGTGGAGATAGAGTCTCCCAGTGTCAGGGTTTTGTGAGATCACAGTGAGAATGCACTCACTGCTTGTAAAAAAATGATTTATTATGTAATTTTTCCCACTTACCGCCAACCCTAGGTAGTCTGGGAAGTTTACTTCCTCCCTCTGGGCCTCGGTGTTCTCATCCGTGAGATTACGAGGTCTTTTCCAGCTCACTCATTCATTCAACAAACATTTAGTGTCTGGGTGCTGAGGATGCCACAAGGGAGGAAGATGTGGTTCCAGCCCTGAGCTGCTGGCAGCCTGATGGGGGAGGCAGATGTGAAACAGATGAGGATACCGGGGTGATGAGTCACAGCTGTGCTGGGTGCAGGGCGGGGAGCCCCCTGGGGCCCTTGGAGGGTGCGAACGTGCTGCGGGGCACTGGCCCAGGGTGTGCGGGGTGGGTCAGGTTGGCTCTGTGAGGAGGTGATGTCTGAGGGACAAGTCAGTCCTCCGGGGGGAAGGAGGGGTGCTCCAGAGAGGGGCCTGAGGGGCGGCCCAGGGGCGGGGCCAGTTCAGGGGAGGCCCTGTACTGGGGACCTGAAACAGGGCTGCGGGGGACACCGAATCAAGAGAGCCTTTTTGGGCCCTAAGGAGTTTGATCAGAAAGGCTTGTGATTGTCTCCCGAGGGGAGGGGAGGGGAGGACCCTGAGGGAGGAACAACGCTGTCCCGGACCCCGAACTGCCTTCCCAGTGACCTGGCACTAGGCAGCGGCGCCCGCCCTGCCCACCCTGGCGGCCCGCGCTCCTTGGACTCAGCTGCACACGCAGGTGGCGCCTCCGCTCGCCCCTTCGTCCTCTCAGCTCTCCAGAGCCGCCTCTGCCCTGTCTGGAATCTGCCAGGCGGAGGAACCAGGTCTTCAGTCGGGCCAACCCCTGCCACCTGGGCCGGGCCCTGCCGCCCACAAAGGGCCTCCTGTTCCCAGGTCCCCAGGGGCCGTGAGGCCAGGACTGGGTGGAGGCCATCTGGGCTCTGGCTGCCTGGCCTGGGCACCCTCCCTCCTCCCCCCTCCTTCCTCCCTCCTTCTCTCCACGCCCCCACCCCCAGCTTGGCCCAGCTCCACCTTCTTCAGGTTTCTAAGGCTGATGGCTGACCCCGGCAGGGTGACCCCAGGCCAGGCGGGGGGTGGGGACAGGACCAGGTGGGGAGCAGTTACTGTTTGGGTCCCCTTGTGCACCGTGTAGGGTGGTTGGGAGGAGTAGATGAGCTGGTTCTGGTAGAGCCCTCGGCCCGTGCCTGGCACACAGTGAATGCTCAGCTGGGGGGCGAGGGCCGCCCCTTGGACGTTGTGCCCCGGGAAGGAGGCGAGGCCAGGAAGAGCTGCTGGGAGGGGTTCTGGCGCTGATGAGCCTGGTTTTAGATGAGCCTTCCTCCACCCAGGGGACTGTGGGAAAGCTCTCTGCTTCCTCAGCTCGGAGGCTGGGCCTGGAATCCGTGGAGCCTGGAATTGCTTGTTCTGCTCAGGGGGCTGCCAGGAAGTGGGGGGGGTGAGTGGGGAAGGAGGCCAAGGCTGGGTGGGCGCCAGCTCATCCCAGGCCCCCCCTCACATCCTGCATTCCTGGAGCAGCTGGGGGTGGCAAGTGGCAGCTGGGGCACTGAGCTGAGCCCTCAGGGTGGGCTGGGGTGCAGAGGTCAAGGCCTCTTCCTGTCTGCTGCCCAGGACTGAGGAATGCCGCTTCCTTTCTCGGCCTGACCCTGAGGACCCCCCAGGCAGGAAGTCTCCGGGCCTGGCCCGCATGTCAGCGGGTCCCGGGTCCAAGCCCTGGTGCTGTGTTTCCTTGAGCCACCAGCTGCCTCTCTGAGCCTCTCTTCTCGTTGGGGAAAGTGGGGCTGAGGACAGCCATTCCTCACAGGCTGAGGGGAGGGGATGTGTATAAGGTCTCGAGGCCTCAGCCCAGGGTCAGGGTCTTGGTGGGCTCCGGCGGCCAAAACAAAGTTCCTCAGACTGGGTGGCTCAAACAGTAGAAATTAATTTTGTCACAATTCTGGAGGCTGGAAGTCCAAGGTCAAGGTTCTGGCAGGTTTGTCTTCTTCTGAGGCCCCCCTCCCTGACCTGCAGAGGGCTGCCCTCTCCCTGTGTCTTCGCGGGGTACCCCCTCTGAGCATGAATGTTTTCTGTGTCTGAATTTCCTTTTTATAAGGACACCAGTCATACTGAATTAGGGTCCATGACCTCATTTTCCTTTCATTACCTCTAAGTCCCTGTCTCCAAATACAGCCACAGTCTGAAGTGCTAGGGGTTAGGGCTTCAGCACATGAATGTTGTGGGGGAGGGGACACACAATTCAGCCACCAGCAGCCGGGCTCCTGGGACTAGCTGGGGCCGCAGAGTGGAGCCCTCCTAAGGGTCTGGTTGGCCAGAGCCAGGGCCAGGGCCAGGGCCTGGGCCCGGGCCCAGAACATCGCATGGGCGCCTCCGCCCCACGGGCCCCGCCCTCGGCCTCACCTCCCTCCCACCTGGAAAACGCCCCGGCCTGGCACACCTGGCTGTTGCCCATGGAATATGAACGCCCTGAAGTGGGAGAGGCTGTGGGTGATGCAGAGCCCAGATTTTTTAGGCAAAACCTGGTCTCTGGGAGACCACACCCCTCTTGAGAGCTTGAGGGGCTTTCTCTTCTGGCCCGGGCGGGCAGCACCCACTGCAGAGGCTTGTCATGGTGCTGGGACTGGAGCAGCCATGCTCTGCCCGTCACTCCGCCTGATGTCAGGTCCCCAGAGCGCAGGGGTGAGGCTTCCCCCTCTGCCGCTGCCTCAGGCCAGGTTGCTGCCACTGCAGGATGGGGGCTGGGCCTCAGTTTCCCCGGCGCCGAGCTCCCTTCTGGCCCTGACAGGCAGTGATTCCTGCGGTCAGCCGCACGTGGGAGGGGAGGAGTCCTCCGCACGCCAGCGAGGGGCTTTTTCTCTGTGGTGGTGACTCAGCCAGTAGTCATCGCAGTGGGAGCCCGGGTTTCGGAGGCACAAGCTGCGTTTCCCTTCCCTCCGCCCCGGGACACAGCGGTCGGAGGCACGCGGCCAGGGCAGCCACCCGCTGCCGGGCCCTGAGGTGTTTAACCACGTTCTTCCCCAGGTCGGCTTTTGCAGCTTCCTGCAGCTCGCCCTCCCCAGCACCCAGCCTGCAGGCTCTCCGCCAGCACGGAGAGGTGGGCAGACTCACCCAGGCCACCGCCACCAGCACTAATCACAAAAATAGAGAAGTGGTATTTTCTAGTCGGACCTGGGCACACAGCAGTGACCGAGGCAGGCCCATGGCGACCAGAGCAGGTCCTCGCCACAGTTAGTGGTCATGCGCCGGGCCTGCACTGCGGCCCCGCAGGCCTCCCTGGTGATGCCTGAGGCCAGGCTGGGCCCTGGCTCCTAGTGTTCAGAAGGGGAAACTGAGGCCCTCTCGGGTTCAGTGATGTGGAACCAGGCATGACCCTGGTTCACGGGCACTGTCGTGAATCACTTTCGCTCACGGATCGTCTGTGGCCGCTTTCATGCGTGCTGTGTGGCAGAGCATCTGCTGCAATGCTGAAACCACTTACTCTCTGATGCTGGGCAGGAAGGATGTGCAGGCCACTGATGTAGAGAGGACAGGGAGGGGCGGGATGGGAACCAGGACCTCCGGGCGGCCTCCCCTGGGAGGGCGGGGTGGCGTCCAGCCCTGGCTCTGCCATCGCTGCCCTCGGGCCCTCAGCAGGGGCCTAATACCTGAGAAGTAGGGCGAATGCCAGTGCCCCGGGTGGGGGTGGTTGGGGGGACTTCAGGAGATAAGGAGGTTATGACACAGGAGGCCTTGCAATTGGTGGTGGGTTATTGTCCTTGCTGCTGCCACTGCAACTACTCCTGCCCAGTTACAACAAGGGCGGTGGGGCCACAGGTGCGGGTGTGCATATGCGCGCGCGCGCATGCGTGTGTGCGCATCGTGTGTGTTTCCCTGTCGGTCAGCTGGTCTTAGTGGAGGTCACCGGGCCACCCTGCCGACCTCCTCTCTCCTTCCCTCCCCTGGCCAGGGATCCCTGAAGACTCCAAGGTGGAGGGCCCCGCGTTCACGGACGCCATCCGCATGTACCGCCAGTCCAAGGAGCTGTACGGCACTTGGGAGATGCTATGTGGGAATGAGGTGCAGGTGAGGCCAGGGGGGCTGGTGGGGAGACGGCAGAAGTCACTCCAGGGGCCTAGAGGATGGGGTCGGGCGCAGAGGGGTGGGACTGCGGGGCGCTGCAGGGTTGGACAGAGGCGAGAGCCCAGGTTTGGACAAGGGGAGCCCAAGGCTGGTCACGCAGATGGAGACACTTGCTATTTTGTTCAGTCATTTCCTGAGCACCTGCCCTGGCCCAAGTGCCCCGATGCCACTGTGAACAGAGGGCACATAGCCCTGGACCTCATGGAACTCTCTGTCTGGAGGGAGAAACAGACATTTGACAAATGAACGCACACATACTCCTCTGCGTAGCCAAGGCGGGGAGGGGCGTGGTATTTCAGACAGGAAGGCGGCATGGGCAAGGGCCCCGAAGTGTGACCCCTGAGCCCGAGGATCCTGCAGGACAGCCAGGCGGATAAGCTGAGGCCTGTGGGAGGATACTCGGGAGAGAGGGCACTGGAGACGGGGAGCGAAAGGCCGCACCCCAAGGAGGTGGGGGCCTGAGGATGGAACGTGGAGATGAGTGCACCCGGCCGTGCCTCCCGGTTCTAGATCCTGAGCAACCTGGTGATGGAGGAGTTGGGCCCTGAGCTGAAGGTGGAGCTCGCCCCGCGGCTGAAGGGGAAACCGCAGGAGCGGCAGCGGCAGTGGATCCAGGTGGGTGGCCTGGGCTTGGGGACGGGGCCACAGGCCCACCACTGACCGGTACCCTCGACCCAGACCTGACGCCGCGTCTCGGCCCGCAGATCTCCGACGCCGTGTACCGCATCGTGTACGAGCAGGCCAAAGCGCAGTTTGAGGCGGTGCTGTCCAAGCTGCAGCAGGCCCGGCCGGCCATGGAGGCGGTCATCCGCACCGACATGGACCAGATCATCACCTCCAAGGAGCACCTGGCCAGCAAGATCCGAGGTGGGCAGGCCGCTTGGCATGCTGGTGTTCGGTGGGTGGGCCTGCGGGGACCACGGGCCCTCCTGTCTCTTTTAAAGATCCATGTGCATTTCACAGCAGTGACTTCATTTGCTGGTTTTTTCAAAAAAATCAAATCAAGTCTGAGCTGCTGTTTTTCCAGCCCCTGTAAGTTGGTTTTTGGCTGTTATTTCTATAAACCCAGATCTTGAAGATCTCAAGTGTTGGTCAAGGAGGGTCAGCCGGCTGCTCCTCTTCGGTCGATCTGCTTAACTTTTTAATGATTCACTTTTACCAAGTCGAACTTTTCCAAGTCGATTTATGTGCCTCTCTTTTCCCAGTCGGATGGGACCCTTGCGGTCCCTTGTCACCACAATGCTTTGGCTAGAATAGTCCATCGCCCACGAGTTATTCTTCACCGGCTGGGTTCATGAGTGGGTAGGACACCAAGAGGCACCATTTATTCTGCGGGACAAACAAGGCTAGCCGGGCAGAGCAGAGGGAGGGGCGTCAACACCCCCAGGCCAGAGCGTCCTGGAGACGGTCCCTGTTCACAGGGCCACGGCCTTTCACCTGCTCCCGCTGAGCCAGCCGCGCCATTCCAGGGCAGGGCTGGGCCCAGGGTTTGTAAAACGCGAAGCCTCATTGAAGCTACTTAAGTGTTTTCCCCATTTTTAAAAAAAACAACAACTGAGCAAGATCCCCAAAGCTGCCCCTAGGTAAGCAGAAAAACTGCCAGCACCTTTAGACTACCAGTTCTATTAGTCTCCTGCCATGCCAGTTTCTGGAATAGCAGGGTCCAATCTCAGAAGACCCTGTCATTTTGGCTCCATGGATTTATTGTCTTTCCGGTCTCTAGAATCAGTGTTTGCTGTTGTTGTCTCCAGTGGTTTTCTTTAAAAAAAAACAAAAACAAAAAACAAACCCAACAGCTCGCCTCTCGCCCTGGGGCTCGGGGAGGCCGGGGGCTGCTCCCAGGGGCATGTCAGCTAACCCGCTCCCCCTGGGCACAGGCTTCATCCTCCCCAAGGCGGAGGTGTGCGTCCGGAACCACGTCCAGCCCTACATCCCGTCCATCCTGGAGGCCCTCATGGTGCCCACCAGCCAGGGCTTCACCGAGGTGCGGGACGTCTTCTTCAAGGAGGTCACCGACATGAACCTGAACGTCATCAACGAGGGCGGCATCGACAAGCTGGGCGAGGTGAGGCTGCACTCGACCCCGGGGAGGGCGGGGCTCCTCCTGGGTTTGGGTCCGATCTGCCCCTGTCAAGCCGTGACCCAGGGCAGGCCGCTCCCCTCCCAGCGTGGCCTGTGAACAGGGTCTGAGAGGCTGAGTACATGAGGCTGAAGCTGTTGGCTGTTCTGTTGGGGGCCAGCAGTTAGGGGGAAGGGGGGCTTAATCCCCTGCCACCAGCCTTTATACGCCAAGCAGGTTGCTAAACTGTTAAAGAACTTAATGGAGAAGGGAGGGAGGGAGGGAGGAGAAGAAGGAGAGGAAGGGAGGAGGGAGAGGCCAGCCTCAGACATGAGCAACATGATTGCCAGGGAAGGGCTTGATACGTGTCTGCCATCTCACGTGCCCCACAAGCAGCCCAGCGCTCCCACGGCTCCTCAGTTAGCTGGTTCTCGGGGTGAACGCCCTCCCACAGGCCCCATACTGGGGTGCTTGGCTGCCTGGAACCCCATCTGGTTGTCGGGTGCCGATAGAATAGATCCTGTAATCTTAGCCTCCTCTTCCATAATTCGAATCGGAGAGTCCACAGACAATAATAATCACGGAATTTGAGAACCTGAAAGGACTGTAGAGATCATGGGAAAGCATCTGATTTTGAGGTTGAGGACCGTGAGGCTCAGAGAGGGTGTACCTGCCCAAGGCCACCTAGTCGCGCCCTCACTGGGAAGGATGGGAACCTGTCTCCCAGCACCCAGGTTCTGCTACGTGCCTCCTGCCCTCAGACCCCCACCCTCTCGCTCTGGGCCCCCCATCCCCAGAGGCCTTCTCTGGTGTGGGCGCCAGCCCAGGGCCTCGACTCCGAGGGCCCAGGCGAGGTGTGGGTCTGTGGGGGCTGCCTGGCCCCCACATCCCACGCATCCCTGTTGCCCTGCAGTACATGGAGAAGCTGTCCCAGCTGGCGTATCACCCCCTGAAGATGCAGAGCTGTTACGAGAAGATGGAGCCGCTGCGGCTCGACGGGCTACAGCAGCGTTTCGACGTGTCCAGCACGTCCGTGTTCAAGCAGCGAGCCCAGATCCACATGCGTGAGGTGCGCCCGAGGCTGCTGCGCCAGCACACCCCTCGCGCCCCTGCCTTCCCCGGCCCCCGTCTCCTGGGGGTCCCTGCCGCCTGGCCCCACGCTCCTCACGCTGCCCTGCAGCCCTGTGTGCTCTCCTGCTCTGGGTGCGTGCACTCTCCCACCTGTTTGGAATACCTGCCCCTTTGTTCATCTGGCTAATTCGAACTCACCTTCCAGGTCTCAGCTTAGAGACCCCTTCTTCCATGAAGCCCTCCTTGCTCCCCCAGCCCCTTCCTGCAGGGCCCAGGGCCTCTGTTTCCTAGTCCCTTGGGGCAGGGGCTGGCCCCGGTGCCTAGCACTGTGCCAGCACCCAGTAGGCACTAGCGATGTGAGGGCGTGAGCGCAGTGAGCGTGTGCACAGGCCTCCACTCCTCCCGGGCGGGCCTGGGAGAGCTGGCTGAGCCCCTTGGAGGTGTGCAGGAAGGGGCTGTGGTCACTCCGGGGCCTTCATGTGCCCGCTGTGTGCCCCGCAGCAAATGGACAATGCCGTGTATACCTTCGAGACGCTCCTGCACCAGGAGCTGGGGAAGGGGCCCACCAAGGAGGAGCTGTGCAAGTCCATCCAGCGGATCCTGGAGCGGGTGCTGAAGGTGAGTGGCCCCGGCCCCGCCTTTGGCCTGCCTGTCCTAAGTGTGGCCTGGCCCTGAGCCCCGTCCCCGAGCCCCGTCCCCAGGCCGGCACCGGGCTTGCTGCTCCTATAGGAGGCGCTACTCACCCTCTCATACAAATGGGGATGCGGGGGCTCGGGTCAGACCACTGGCCTTCTGTCCTTCTGCCAGTGGCCGGCGGAGCCCACTGACTCCGAGCCCCTTGCCCTTCCCTTTCCTGGCAGAAATACGACTATGACAGCAGCTCCGTGCGGAAGCGCTTCTTCCGGGAGGCACTGCTGCAGATCACGATCCCCTTCCTGCTCAAGAAGCTGGCTCCCACCTGCAAGTCGGTGAGCACCGGCGCCCCCTCTCCGCCCCGCGGCCTCGGCCCCCTCCTGGTCCCCGCGGTGCAGCCTGCGGGCCCCATCTGCCCCAAGGCCCTGACCGCCCCTCTCTGCCCCGCCCTGCAGGAGCTGCCCCGGTTCCAGGAGCTGATCTTCGAGGACTTTGCCAGGTTTATCCTGGTGGAGAACACGTACGAGGAGGTGGTGCTGCAGACGGTCATGAAGGACATCCTGCAGGGTGTGTGCCTGCCTCCCACCCGCCGCCCCCGCTGGGAGGGCCACTGCAGCGCTGGGTGGGCGTCGCCCCCAAGGCCCTGGCTGCTGTTGGGATTCTTCTTGCCAGGAGGGTGAAGGAGGCTGCCCAGAGGTCTTCCTGGGGGGGTCAGGGAAGGTGCAAAGAAAATCATGAGATTTCTGTCTCTGGGCTGGGGTGGGCCCACTGTTAGCTGCGTGGTCACAGGAAGGTAGCATCAAGCCCTCTGTGCCTTAGTTTCTCTGTGGGTCCTTGGCATTTTGGAGAGTGTCAGGTGCGTGACAGGGTGACATGGTGGTTACAGGCTTGGGCTCTGGGTTAGCATCACGCACGGCTCCTCCTTCCTAGTGGTGAGGCCTGGAATAAGTCACGTCCCAATTACAACGCCCCCACAGGCTGCAGGGAGGCCTCAGTGGATGGTGCCGGTCACGGGGGCGGGGCGGGGGGCACAGTGAAGGGTGTGGTGGCGGCTGTGGTCCCTGTGGTAAAGGCCCTGACGACGCCCTTTTGGCCCCGCAGCCGTGAAGGAGGCCGCCGTGCAGCGAAAGCACAACCTGTACCGAGACAGTGTGGTCCTGCACAACAGCGACCCCAACCTGCACCTGCTGGCTGAGGGCTCGCCCATCAACTGGGGTGAGGAGTACAGTGGTGGTGGCGGTGGCAGTGGGGACAGAGGCAGCCCCAGCCCCCGTGCCCTGGAAGCAGCCACCATCTCCGAAAAGCGACGGCGTGCCAAGCAGGTGGTGTCCGTGGTCCAGGACGAGGAGGCAGGGCTGCCCTTGGAGGCTGGCTCTGAGCCACTGTCACCGGCGTCCCTGGACAGTGTCACTGAGCTCCGTGGCCTACTGGCCCCGAATCTGAGGGCCGAGAGCCCCCCGCCGGCAGTGCCCCTGCTCAACGGGGCCCCTGTGCAGGAGAGCTCCCAGCCCGTGGCCGTCCCTGAGGCCTCACCGCCTGCCTCGCCCCTCCGGCAACCCCCACCTGGAAAGGCTGTGGACCTTGAGCCTCCCAAGCCCAGCGATCAGGAGACTGGGGAACAGGTGGCCAGCCCTGGTGGCCGCCCCCCCATCCACACCACCACCGAGGACAACGCAGGGGTGCAGACTGAGTTCTAGGCTGGCCGCCCCCAAGCTTCTGCTGGACAAGGCACCCGCCCCTCCCTCCGAGGCGCTGGCAGGCGAGGCTCCGTCCGCAGCGGGATCGGTGCCCCTGGGTGGAGGCGGGACAGGCGGGGCACCTCCGGGGCTGGGCAGGGACGGACGCTCCTGAAGTCACTTTATTTGGGTTTGGTCATACTTTATTGTTTCATTTTCTGTTTCGTGGGGTGAACTTGGCTTTCCAGCTTGTGCTGGGAGCTGAGCGTAGCTGAGGGGGCTGGGGAGCACCCGGTGGCCCCAGTTCTCTGGGCCCTCCTTTCCTGCCTTTCTTCTGTGGCCCGTTTCCCTTGGGGGTCTTGCCTTCCTTGCAAAGCGGGAGGTAAAGGCATCGTCTGCTGTGACTCAGAGCCCATGAATTCCCTCCCGTCACCAGGGGCTGGTTGGAGCTTGGAGCCAGGAACACGAGTGCTCAGGCCCATCTCCTGCTCTTCCAGGCTGGGCCCAGAGGCCCCGCTTTCCCCTGCCTGGGTAAGGGGAGGTGCAAGGAGGGTGTCTTCAGGCTAGAGCCTGGCTCAGGGGCTGGGAGGCTGGGGGAAGGCCTGCACAAGAGGGCAGATGGGGCCACAGGCCTCATGGGGGGGATGGAATAGAAAGGCCTGGAATGTGCTGCTCTGGGGCAAGGAAGTGTCCAAGGGCAGGGAGGAGCGAGCCGGGAGAGCAGGAGGCCAGAGGGCAGAGGGAGGTTGCTGGAGGCCAGCAGGCCCTCAGGCCTTTGTCTGTCCCCACTTCCGGCCGCAGCGGCCTCCTTCCGCTTGCGTGCCGGGATGATCCTGTCTTCGGGAGCCCGCCTGTCCTCCTGCCCCCTCTGTGCCCACACGCACTTTGCTCAGAGGCAGGGTTGGGTGGGTGTGGATTCTGTCTCCCGAGGCCACCCCCAAGGTACGTGCTGTCCACTGAGGGAGCTGCTAGGGCTCCCGAGGGCCACAGCTGCCCGAGGCACTGCTGGTGGCTGCTCTGAGGACTTGGGGTCAGGCGGGGGTTTGGCCCTGCTGCCTCTTTCACCAAGTCCCCTTGCTCTGAACATTCCAGGCCCTTTTCTCAAATATGAGTTAGGGGGCCCCCCTGCCCTTCAGCTTCGTGTTCCTGGGGGTGGGAGTCAAGCCAAGGCAGCATCCAGGCCCCGCTCCTGCTGCTCTGGGTGGAGGCCCGCAGGGCAGAGCAGACCTTCAGGGTCCTCCAGCGGGGTCCCACCCAGCCCTGCACCCTTCTTCCCTTTAACCTGCTTCCTGGGGCCTGGGCCTCGAACCCCCAGGACATGAGGCAGTGGCTGGTGCTCAGGGTCCCCTGGTCCCCCCCAGCCCTAATCTCAGACACCTCACCAACCTCTCATAACAACACATTCCATCTCGAGATGCTGTCCTTTAGTGCCTTCTTTTGGGGTTTTCCAATCATCCTTCCTGGATATTGTATTGAAAATATTATGCAAACTGTTTAAGCTCTACTAATCAATAAATGCTTTATTTAAAGCCAGTGGCCTGTGTGTGGTGCTGGCGGGGGGACCTGGGCCGGACACTGTGTCCGGGAGGCCCGTGCACGCACCCCGGCTTTCGGGGCTCACCGGACCGAGCACCTGTGTCAGGGCTCTTGCATAATCCCATTTTACGGAGGAGGAAACTGAGGCTCAGAGAGACGCCGCAGAGCATGGAGGGGACTGGCTTGCTGGCCACTCAGGCAGCTTCCCTGGCTGGGCCTGGGCAGGGTGCTCGTCAGGGAGCCCCGGGTGACAGGCCAAGCCGCTCCAGCAGCTCTGAGGCCACGTGGCCTTGGGGCACCCCTGGTCATGGGGGCGGGGGGCTGGCTCTTGCTGGATCCAGACAGTGATGCCAACGTTTTCAGGACTTCTGGTCACACCGCTAGTGTGGTGCCATCATCACCATCACCGACTGAGGCCCAGGAGGGCGGGGAAACTTGGCGGAGGTTATGGGGCACAGGGAGCCCCCCATGCCCACAACTGGTGGGGATGAGTTCCCTCATCCGGAGTAGAAGTGTGTCCTGTGGGTGGGATGGCAGCCAGGCACCGTGGGAGCTGTGGGCTTCCGTGGTGCCCGCCTGCCCACGGCGGCCAGTGGCCGAGGGCTGGTCAGCAAGGGCTGGGTGTGAGATGGCGGGGCCGCGGGGCCAGGACGGAATACTCCTGCTGTCCTGCCGTTGTCAGCCACACCCTCTGCCTCGGGCTCCGCTCCTACGAAAGGTGACTCACCGCAGTCCTCTCTCCCAGGGCAAACGTCGAGCTCTGCAAAGGGGCCCTGCCCACCTCACATCCCAGTCTCCCCTCTCGACCAGGAGGAGTCCCAAAGCGGGGTAGGAGGGAGAAAGGGACTGTCAAAGGTCTCGGGGAAAGAAGACCTCACGGGAGGAGGCCCAGCTCCTGCTGAGAAAGCAGGACTCACGTCACAAGGGGCCTTTGTCCGCTTTGGTGCCTGGGATTGACCAGTGGCCCAAGGAGGCAGGGAAACAGAGGCCCAGGGCTCTTTCTGCCACCTGAGGGCCTGTCCTTCACATCCAGGTGGCTCTCTGCACCCCGGGCGAGCGCTCAGCGCCTCCTGGTGGCCACTGGTCTGTGTCGGGCCCCATCATGCCCTCTGCGGAGCGGGCAGGAAAGAGGCTGGAAGGCTGGCCCACTCAGCGGGAGAGGCCAGCGGCAGAGGCCTGCCTCTGGCCCAGAGAACAAGGTGCCCTTGGCTCCAAACCGTTTGCCAGAAAAGGCACAAGAAGCATGCAGCTCTGCGGCAAGCACAGGGCGCGGCTCCTAGAACAGCCTGCTTGGCCGCACAGTTCAAACGCGGCGCTGCTGCATCCCAGTGCAAGGTCCTGGGCGCTCAGCCCCTGAGCCGGGGCTCCTTCCTCAGGGACAACGACCACAGAGCGTGGGCCCAGCCCAGCACAACCTGCTCTCCCTGAGGCCCTCTCCCCACCCCAACAAGGGGAGGGTTGCTAACTCCCCATTCGGGAATGTCTCTCCTCCTCCTTTCCTTCTGACTGAGGAGCAGCCGCCCCCCACCCCCGGACCCCCACAGGCTCCATCAGGACCCAGTGATGACTCCGACGAAGCAGGCGGGTTTATTGACACTGACGTTCTTGTTTTGGGTCTGCAAAGCTCGCCGGCAGCCCTTGAGCCGCATGGGATGAGGGGGTGCCGATCTGGAGAGCAGAGGGGCCCAGAGCACCGGGGGCAGCAGCAACGGCGGGCACAGAGGGGCTGCTGCTGCTTGTGGCACAAGGCCCACACTGAACACCTTCCGGCCAATCAGAAGATGGCCCTTGGTGGCCTGTGGCCACCCCTCCCCCCAGCCAGGGCCCTCCTGCCCTCCCACCAGCTGCTGAACAGGACGGCACTGTCTGTGTTCCCCAGATAAGGACACTGAGGCTCCCGGAGGGACAGGGTCCTGCCATAGCCAGCTGGGAGTGGCAGAGCCGCCCTGGCCAGGACAGCCCTGTGCTCAGGCAGCGGCACAGCTGCCACGCCACACCCAGACCCTTCGTAGGGCCACGAGGGACCCTCCCTCTCCTTTCACAGAATTCAGGTCCTGGTTGGGAACGCTTTCTGCCCTGGCCCAGGGGCGCTTGGATGTCAAGGGTGGGGGCCTCCTCCTGGGCTGCGGGGCAGGGCCCAGGACAGAGGAGGGGGCCTTACTAGTCTGGGTTGGGCAGGGGGCGAGCGGGGTCCCCGCGCCTGCGGGTGGCAGAGCGGGGCCAGGGCTGGCGCTCAGCTGCTGTGGTAGATCCGGAGGCGCTGGGCGATCTCCTGGCGGCACAGCGGGCAGGTGCGCAGCGGCTGGCAGCACTGTGGGCAGCAGCAGACGTGGCCGCAGTTGAGGAAGATCATCTGTGCCTGAGGAGAAGAGAGCTGGGCGTCTGGGCTCTGCCTCCGGGGTTGTCGCAGTCGTCCTGACCCACCCAGCCATTCCGGAACCATCCACCACACACAGCGCCGGCGAAGACCTAGCTCTTCCTTCTGGGAGCAGTTTGGCACTATTTCTCCATTTTTTGTTAAAATTCTTTCCATGCCCATAGGCCCCACCCCTTTCTAAAATAAAACTGGGTTATATTCCCCGATGTTTTACCCCTTGCCTCCCCTGCCTGCCACCCACCTTGGACAGTCCCCACCCCCGCACGGGGGCAGCGGAGCCGTGCTCTGCCCCGCGCGGCTCAAACGGGCTCTGCTGGGGGGCGTGAAGGCTGTTCCCAGCGTGTGTGGCTTTGTGCTCTTGCCCAGCCCCTCAACCTAAAAACGGCTCCAACATTGTGGCTCAGGAGCCATGTCTGAGCTTTGCTACAGCATCTCCTCTCTTTAGGAAAGCGCTGTGAAGCAATCGCCAAAGGCCTGCCCCCAACTTGGCTCAAGGCTGTTCAGCACAGCACTGTTTGTAGTAACAAGAAATTCAAAGCCCTACCTATGGGGCCCAAAAGCAGAAAACTGGTTAAATGTATAACCAAAGAGTCCTTCCCTACCATGGCCTGTCCTGGGTCTGGTAAAGACCTTGGGGTAATCGGATGCTCGACCCTGGTCGCCTTTTCTAAAGGGATCTCCTGGTGGAGGGAGGGGTGGCCTTAATCTTGTATGCTATGTTGTTCAATTTCTACAATGAGAGTGAATTTTGTTAAAGTTTTCTTAAAAGATGGTTTTAAAATAGCCTCTTCAGAGAAAAATGTGTTGTTGATCTTTGACAACTTGGGAAGTTAATGTTGATATTTAACGACTTGGGAAATTTTCCTTAGTGTATTTGCTAAGTAGGGAAAAACCCGCTTTTGAAAAAAAGGCCCAGAACATGATGTTAGCAATGCTCATGTTTGGGTCATGGGATCATGGGTCATTTTTTATTTCCTGCATTTCCCACAATCTCTAATGAACACAATTTATTTACAGAACTGGGAAGGAGTGTTTGGGAAGACCGTGGCAGGGGGGTGGGGGGTGCCGCAGGTGCGCGGGGCAGGCTCAGCAAGCGGAGTGCAGGCGCCCTCGGCCAGTGGCCTGCACACGCTGGCCCAGACTTACCTCCCGCTCCAGGCACACGACGCACTCTGACGTCGGAGTCTCTGGCTCCGCGGGCGGAGCCGAGGGCCTCACCGGCTCAGGGAACTCCTCCGGCGCCGTGGGCTCCAGGGCCCCGAGGGCCTCCTCCCGGGGTGGTTTCAGCAGCTCTGTGGGGATGGACAGAGAGGCTGAGCCAGGGTCACGCCCAGTGCTCCCAACCCCCTGCGGGCGGCCCTGGCCCTGCCTGACTCACCACATCGGCCGGCGGCTCGGCAGCGAGCTGCAAGGTGAGGGGCACTGCGATCTTGGAGTCAGGGAAGGGCCGCCTCGCCGCGCACCCTCTTACCCCTCCTCTCCAAGTCTTAAACCCCCGCCCCAGCCCCACCCCTGTCTGTAACACGGGATCGCTGGGGCGCTGGCTTGGGGGGGGCCTCTCAACCCTGACCTCCCCGGATCCTTGTTGGCCCCCCTGCAAGTAGCTCTCGGTCATTCTCAGAGATGAGGAACTGGACAGAGAGGGGCAGCCACCTGCCTGGAGCCACAGGGCCACCTGGTGGCAGAGCCGCGGCACAGGACCTGGTAAGGGGCTCTGGGGTGGACTGGGCCTCCCTCTCAGCTTCTCCACCTGATGGCCCAGGAGACAGGCTGGCCGCCATCCATCGGGGCTCGGAGGCACGGGTGGAGGCATGAGAAGTCCCCGCGACGGCCCCCTCCAGCGCCCGGGCAGGGCCCCGCTGTGCCCACGGCTCTGCCCTGGGGCCAGCATCCAGCCCCAAGGCGGGCATCAGAGTGGGCCCTTACAAAGTGCGGCCTCTTCTATCATCAGGCAACGGGCCCCACCGACATCCCCGAGTCCTTCAGCCCCGACCCCCACCCTGATCACAGTGCATGTTTCACTTAGTCTATGGTTTGAATTACAAATAGTATCTTTTTTAATAATTGGAAAACCTGAGGATGTAAAAAGGCTATTACAACACTAGACACACTCTAGGGTATCAGGGTGCCCCAAAGCACCCTCGTAGGGAGCCCTCCTACATTCACTGCAACACCCATCGAGGCCTGGGAGCTGTAACAGAACTGGTGGGAAAATGCCTGAGGATTTCCTATCTCTTCTGGAGCTAAGAAGGAACCCCCCTGCCACAGCCCCCTTCCCTGTGGGGCGGGCACAACCGGGGCATCCCACACGGACGGCGGGGACGGTCTGGGATGGGGGTCGGCTCCGAGCAGTGAGCGGCTCCTGCCAGCCCCAGGCTGGAGTGAGACTGTGCGAGGCAGCCGCTCTGGATGCCGGAGGGGCTCGGAGTGAAAGGGTGCCTTCGCCTCCTGCTCGAGGGAGGAGTGTCTGTTAGGGCTGGGGCGGCCCCAAGTCCTGATGCCAGACTCTTCCTGACCCCCACTCTGAGGCAAGAGCGGGTCAGAGCTGGGGGAACAGACATCTGGCAGATGTCTATTTTGCACCATGTTTGACATTAAAGGACTGGAAGTTTAATGAATTTTTCTCAGGTAGAGTCAGTCCCTGGAGTAAAATGGGCTGGAAGGCTGGAGTCTGCAGACGGCACTGCGCTGCCATCAGCCCTGACACCTGGGCACCCGGGGTCTCTTCTCAGCCGGGCAGCCCGAGCTCCTGCCTCACCCCTACAGTCGGCCCGGCACCTCCCCCTTCAGCCTCTGTCCCCAGCAGACCCCGCCCAAGGGCGGCGGACCCGGAGGCCAGCCCAGCCTGGAGGCCTGCCCTCTGCTTCATCCTCCTTCTCGGCCCCAGGCTTCCCTTCCCTTGTCAAGGCCCTGGGTCTCTTCTCAAGGGAGGCAGCAGAGCCCAGGGGTCCAGCCACTTGCCAGCTCTGTGACTTTACGAGAGGTGAGTTAACCTCTCTCTGCCTCAGTTTCCTCACCCCTCAGATGAGGATAACAACAGTGCCCACCTGGTGGGGTTGAAACAAAGGTGACAGGACACAGCACACGGGAAACGGTCGGCAAACGCCTGGCGCCTGGGCGTGGCTCGGGGCACAGGAGACCTGGCTCCTACGCCAGCCCCTGCGTCAGCCGCAGCCCCTGCTTCCTCCCGGCCTCCAGTGGGCAGGGCGCCTCCCCGACCCGCGCTTGCCCTTCACAAACATCTGTCTGCAGACAAAGCACAGGCCACCCCGGGCACAGTGCTGGGCACGGGGTGCAGCTGGTTTCTCTCTCGATTCCAGGGACCCTGGGCGTGTGGTTCCCAGTGTCTGCGGGGTGGGTTTAGGGAAGGTCACAGGACAGGGAGCCAGGAGGGCCCCGAACTGCTGCATGGAAACTTCCTTTTGTGAAGCCTGTTTTCCTCATTTGTAAATCCTGCTCCTTTAGGGGGGCACTGTAAGGACTGGCAGGGCTGGAACCAGCCTTTATTTTAATTTATTTTTTAAAAAAGATTTCATTTATTTATTTTTAGAGAGAGGGGAAGGGAGGGAGAAGGAGAGGGAGAGAAACAACGATTGGCCACCTTTTGCACACCCCCAACCTGAGACCTAGCCCACAACCCAGGCACGTGCCCCAAATGGGAATTGAACCGGTGACCTTTTGCTTTGCGGGATGATCCCCAACCCATGGAGCCACCTGGTCAGGGCAGGGCTAGAACCAGCCTTTAGGGCGGGACCTGAAAGGTAAGCAGATGATCGCCCCCACCCACAGTCCCCATGCACGGCGTCAGTACCTGGCTGGATCCTGGCCGCGTCCAGCAGCTCCCGGGCTCTGCGCGGGATCTCGTGCTGCAGGCCAGCCTCCGCAACGCCTACCTGCAGTGGTCCAAGAAGAGCAGACTGTGGCCAGGGCTGGCGGGAGCTGGCCGCCTAGCCTGGCCCGGCCCAGCCCAGCCCAGTCCAGCCCGGTGCTGCAGGGCTGCCCTGTCCCTGGCTGCGGGCACTTCGGCTGGACACGGGGAGGCCTGCTGGGCCTGGAATCCTGAGCTCCCCTGTCAGTGTGGCTGAGGGAGAAACTGAGGCCCAAAAGGAAGGCAGCACCGCATGACCTCGCGTCACCCCTGTGAGGACCAGTGAGCCAGCAGCCTCCATCCCAGGTCACTAGGGTGAGACGGGGCTGCTGAGAAGCCGCAGCTCCAGAGTCACCCTCAGCACCCAGAGCACAAGAGCTGGAGCTCGGGCAACAGGGCTCCCCAGCTGCCCTTCTGTCTGGGACAGCCCTTAGGGACAGGCCGTAGAGCAGAGTGGTCAGCCGCATGGACTCCAGCCCCAGGCTGCCCGGCTTGCAACCTGCTGCTCTGTGACCCCAGGCAAACGACCGCCTTAGTGTGTGCCTCAGTTTCCTCTTCTGGAAAGCAATGATGAGCACGCTGCCTGCTGGCCCGGGTCGTGGGCAGGGTTCAGTGAGTTTGTGTGTGGCAAGTGCTTGGCTGCACCCAGCACTGGGAAGCGCTGGGAAGATAGAGCTTCCGCTGGGACCTGTCTCTTCTGACGAGCAAATGAATTAGTGCAACGGACCCCGGAGGTAACTGGGCTCGGCGGGGGGTGCCGTCAGCGATGAGATCTCTACAGCCATGGGGTGGGGCCGGGCCTGGACCAGGCCCCCTCCAAGGTTCTGTCTTGGGCCTCTGATGGGAAGACCCAATCTGAGTGGGTGGGGTGTTCTGGGCCAGCAGGAGCCATGTCCCTGGATTTTCTCAGCCACAGGTATGTAGGGCCCACCCAGCAGGTTGGGGGCAGGTGGGGCAGGTGTGCTGGCCACCTGGAAGCAAGGAGGCCCGGGCACACTTGCCGATAGCAGACCTCACCAGGAGCTGCAGGACGAGCAGGTGGATGCTGGGCCAGGCTGTGCCAATGGCCCAGCTCGCCTCCCCGACCTCGCCCGAGAGGTGGCCGCTACGCACCTTGGCCAGGTCCCCGGGGCTCATCCGGCTCAGCATGTCCAGCGAGATGCGGTGGTGGGCAAAGATGGGCAGGTAGTGCTCGGCTGCCAGCTCCACCAGCAGGGCCGCCAGCTGGCGCTCCATGCCTTCTTCCTGCACCGGCAAAGCCGAGGGCGCCGCGGATGGGAAGGAAGACAAGGAGCTGTTATTCACAACAGCATGCAAAGGGCCTGAATACACCTGACGTAAGATGTAAAATGTACTCTTGGAGCTTTTCTTACAAAAATGCGTGTGTAAGCGCAAAGAGGTAACTGTACAGGAAGTTCACTGCTGCTGTATTTGTAAACTTGAAAATGGTTCGCAACTTAAGTACCCATCACCGGAGGACTGTTTAAGTAAATGAGGGTTCGCCCACAGGCTACACACCATGCAGCTGTCGGGAAACAATGAGGACATCTACTTATCTGTGTAAGCCTGGACACCCGCCTGTCACTATTGCTAAGAGAAAGAAGAAGTGGCCAATAAAGTATGTATAGAAAGGCTCCATTTTTATTTAAAGTTAAAAAAAAAAGTGAGAGGAGAAGGAGGTAGACAGAGACAGAGGAGGGGACCACATCTGTACTGTGCACAGCAGGTGCTCAGAGACCCCACTGTCGCCTGCCTGCGCGGGCACGCACGGCGGGCCCCGCCCCAGCATGGGCCTGTGGGCCTCTTCTGCGGCACAGGGCAGAGACCGGCGGCCATCTGCTCGTCGCCAGAGTGAACCCTCCCTCTCTTGCACTTCTGTCCCTGCTGGGGTCCAACACAGGACCTGGTGCATCATCCGCCAGAAATAGGAACGGGGTAAAACTGCAGGGATCAAGAAGCAGGGTATCCCTGGGGCCCGAGAGGGCCCTCTGAATAGAGGCCCGCCTGGCTCCCGGCGGGCTGGGCGCTACCAGTCCTTACCTGCAGCTTCAAGGACAAGGGTTTCTGGTTCAAGAGCCGTTGGTACTGAATCAGCCAGTAATTTTCCTGCTTGGTTTCACTTTTGGCTTCTAACTCCATCTGCCAAGAATGAAGCAGATGCTGTTAGTTACAAATTGGCAAACGAAACCAATAATGACAATGATAACGTTGAGCTACACTCCTCCGAGCTTGGGGATGGTGCTTGGTACTTTACAAACAACTTTCCTACCCACTCTCCTCGCTTCACTTAGGCCACAGCAGCAGGAAAGGCAGGAAGCGCCACTCGCCCCTTTACTGCTGAGGCTGTGCCCACAGATGGCGCACACCTGGCGGGGGCCTGAACCTGGGCTGCCGACACCTGGCACCTCGCTTTGTGCACCACGAGCCTGGGAGGGACACTGTCCCGTCCACTCATGGAAACAGCAAATCGCTAAGCAGCCACCTCTTTCTCCCGCAAAGCTCAGGCTGGTCTTCTGGGTGCCAGGCAGGGAAAGAAATAGGGTCCCAAGGATACCTTCAGCTTCTGGAGTGGCCTTCGCTCATTTGACAAAGCCAGAGAATTATAAACATGCTATTGAAACCGATCCCTTCCTTCTGTCATTCAACAAATACTGCTTGAGAGTTGTTCTGGGCCAGGCACTGGGCGAGGTGCTGGGGACAGAGCAGTGAGCGAGGGACCCTGATGGCAGCTCACACTTTCCGAGCGCTATGTGCTGCCCTCTGTGCTGTGTGCTGAGAGGGCCGTCTTACTTAACTCTTGTAACTGTGAAACAGGTTCGACTTCACGAGTGCAGAAACCGAGAGTCAGAGTAATAGTAGCCGCCCAAGGTCTGAGCTGCCCAGGGTCGGGGCCCGGATGCAGGCCCGGGTACTCTGAACCGCTGAGCGGGCCCACCCAGGATGCAGCCGCGCTGGGAGCCAGGTGTGCCGGGGAAGCAGGACTCCAACCCACGCACTGCCCTGGGTGGTCGCTCCTGGGCCTTGCCAAGCTGGCTCCCCTCTCCTGGCCTTGGCCCGCCCTGCGCTGTGGACCCACCTCTCTTCTGGAACCCGTGACCCTGACATCCACGTTCTGCTGAGGCGGTGCCCCTCCCCTAGACAGTGAGTCCCTCGAGGCCTCTTGAGGGCAGGAACACAGGGCCACAGCATATGGCTGCCCCTGCGCAACGCCCACGTTGCTACAATCTGTAGACGACAGCAGTGAGGCACCGCAAGGGAAGGCTGGCTTCTGATTAGCACGGCGTGGCGTCTGGGCCTATGCAAGGCTCAGGGAGCAGCTGGCCTCCGTCTCCTCCGCGCCCCACACAGGGCCTGCCCAGGTAGAGCTGGGCACGCCTGGAGCAGCAGTGATGCTGCGACCGGTGGGCTGGCTGGCTGGCTGGCTGGCCTCTGCCCCCACCGCTCAGCGCGCTGGGGGTCTGGAGGACACGACCCAGCCAGCCTACTACCTGAACGGGGCTCTGCCGCCCTAAGGACATGCCGGCGTCAAACCCCTTTGGAAACAGAGAACAAATGGGCAACTCCTGCCAAAGGCTTATTCAAAGGCCTGCCTTGGGCACAGCACATCCTCTCCTGGGCCTCCGTCCTGAGTGAATGCTCAGCTGCCCTCAAATACTTAGCTACAAAGATGGTCAGAGAGCACGGCTGATAAAAGCAAAGGACGGAGAGTGGTCTTAATGCTCAGCAATGGGCTAACCGATGGCCTATCCCAGCATAGCCATGACGGGAACGCTGAGGAATAGTTGAGGGACATGAAGAGAGTGGATGACAGTGAGCTGGTCACCCAGGGGTGTGCGCTGCTGTAGGTTTGAAGGCACGTGCATGCACAGCTATAAACACACAGCACAATTTTGCAAAAATATACGTCAAAACATTAGCAAGAGGCAACCCTCAGAAGCGAGGTTCCTTTCCTTTGTACTTTCCGTTTTTTTTCTTTGATGAACAACTATGACTTGAATGCCAAAGTTTTCTAAGGACCCCTCAAGGGGAAGCAGCCCCGGCGCGACGTGGTCACGGAAGCCCGACGCACCAGGATCTCCCGGAGCTCTTCCTCTCGTTGTGTCTTCTCCTTGAGCAGCTGCTGCAGCAGGGAGCTGAGCGCCCAGCGCTGCTCTGAGATCATCTCCTGCAACACAAGACTGCATCCAGTGCCGCTGGAAGCCCACGGCGTCCCCACTGCACCATGTGGCAGGATCCCCCTCACTCGGTTCTCAGCTGCCCCCCGGGGGCCCCAGGGCCCGACTCAATCCAAGGCCCTGCCCACAGTCTAAGGCTGAGAATCAGGGGACAGAGCCAAGGGGTCCCCCTGCGGGGGCATCCCCTCCCCACCTCCTCCTAAGCCCGCATCTCCCTTCCCCACGGGGCTAAGGCTGGGCATGGGATCTAGCGGCTGATGTCCGTGGGGTGGTAAGAAACAGCAAACAAAGGAAATGACAAGCCATGGCGATCCGGCTTCCTTGCTGACTAGAGCCCGGGGGACAGCACATGGAGCCGGGCTGGTGTCACCCACAACAGTCTGGAAGGCTCTACACAGATGGACAGGCATGCGAACAGAGTAGAGCCCTCGTCTGTGTCCGCGTTCCATTCACGACTGATCTGGGGAGCCCCTGGAGGCCCTGAAAATGGAGCCCGCAAGCCCCAACAGGCAGGAGGCAGGACGCCTGCTCCGAGCGCAGCCCCTCCTCTCTGAGGGCCAGCGCAGGCCCCCGCTAGGCTTTCCGTTTGCCGTTCACCCCGTCGGATGGCCCTGACCAGGCTGGGCCTGGAAGATTCTTACTGCCACTTTATGGGGGGGAGAAATGGAGGCCTGGGGAGGAAAGTGACCTGCCTAAGGTCCCACAGCACATCCGTGGTGGACCCCAGACCAGGACGCCAGACTGCAGTGTTCTTGCTCTGTACTGAGAAGCCCACGAGACAGCCTGAGACTCCGCCACTGAGAAGAGAAGGCTGTCTCTGCGCAAAGCCCGGGGAAGGGCACGCGTTCCTGCACGCCGCTGACATGACAGACCCATGGGGTGCAAGCGGGAGACTGAGGAGCCGAGGAGGGAAAGGGCCACTCTTTTTCCCCTTCCTGCCCGGGCCACACAGCCAGACTGTGCTGGGACAGGACCCAGGTCCCAGGCTTGCAGCCCAAAACGCTGCCAGCTGGTCCCTGCTTTCCCTTCCCTGTGAGCAGGCCACTGGGGCGGAGCTCCCGCAGAAGCTGCCTGTAGGGGGTGGCTCAGTAATAGCTGGGTCCTCTCCTCCAGACACTCCTGGGACACCACAGAAACTCCTCCCCAAAAAGATGTCAGCCCGTGAGTTGAACCAGCGCCCCAGAAGCATGGCTTGAGGAGACAGGACGCTCAGCAGCAACCCCGCTCCGAAACAAAGAGAATGCGAAGATGGAGATGGTGCCTGGGTAGCCTTGGCAATGAAACCCTCCTTCCTCTGACCCTCCTGCCTGGCAACGGGCTGACTCTGCCCCTCCCCCCGGCCTGTGCGCCCATCGGCGCCTGGGACTGGGCCACCCTCCTACATCACGGCCACAGAGGAGGCCTGCCCTGCCTGCTGAAAAGCCACTGCTGAGAGGCAGTGGGGACACCAGGTGGGGGGCTTGATCCGGGGACGGGGAGGGACAGGGCAGCCAGGGAGCCCTACATACCTGTAGTGCCTCTGTGTCCAGGGATTTCCTCTTTAACTCCAGCTGTGTCAGCTGCAATAACTCAGTTTCTATTAACTTAATCTAAACAGAAGACGAGACAGGGTTTTTTATTCACATTAACCACCATTCAGCTCTGCCCCACTGCTCTCTGATGGCCAAGTGGGGTCTAAGAATCTTTTCTGGGGGGTTTCTGGAATAAAGGGGTCCTGAGTGATATTGGGGGGATGGATATGCTTGTCCTGGTCAATACTGTTGACCAAAGTCTAAGCACAGGGGCTCGGTCAGGGTGGGTGCGGAATAAGGGGTCGTGGAGCGAGGAAGGGGCTTTCCTTCAAGGTTCAGGCCAGAGGGAAGAGCAAACATGGAATCTCCCTGAGCCTCTTCCGGGTCCAAAGCTCTTGCTTCCTCTGAACAGCTGGCACAGAGGGGAGCAGAGGGTAATGGAAGGGACTGAATAACAACAACAGGAATAATAGCTGGTGTTGATTGAGGATTCTGTGTGCTAGACCTGTCCCGGACACACTGCGTGTCCTATTCATCAGTTCTGGCCATGAGGGGTTATTATTGCCTCCATTTTATAGACAAGGAAACTGAGGCTCAGAGACATTAAGTCACTTGCCCACCGACACCAAGCAGGTAGGTGAGGGAGCCCTTTCCCTAGGGTGGGCCTGCCTGGGGTCTCAAGGGGTACAGCCAGCCTGGTGGGTCAAGGGCCCCCACAGTGAGACTGTCTAGGGGTCCCTGCACACCCTCAGGGTGTGACTGAGGGCTTTTAGCCCCAGATGTCAGGCTCCACAGCCGGTCTCTACCCTGTGCCTATGACCCTATGACCCTGGGCCCTAAGTTCTATGTCCCCACCAACCCCTGGTCAGAGGAATGAGCTTCATGTCTGGCTATGTAGGGTTGAAATTAAAGAAGGAAATAAAAAGGCTAAGTTGGTTTTGGCCCAAAAAGAAAAGAATAAAATGAAAACAAAACCATGCAAAATGTGAAATTCAAAGTGTGCGGAATACGATGTGATGAGCGTTCCCACAGCGTGAAAGCTCGCTTCACCCCAGCCCTGCCCACCTTGCACGCGCCGTGCCCTCGGGAAAGCCCAGTGGGTCAGGCAGCCCCAGGCCATGGCGGCGGCCACGAGGCCCCAGCGGCGGGGCCTGGCCGGGGCGGCCCCAAGGTCAGCCCCAGAGCCGGACAAGACTGCACCCTCTGGTTAAGGCCTGGGACCCCTCAGATGACAGGGCCCCCCTGCTTCCTGGGGGAAACCCGATGATCTGTCCCAGCTCGCAGCTGACAGGGTGCTGGGCTGGGAGCCCGCTGCAGGGGGAGGGGTCGGCGCAGGCTGCCCTTCCCCTCGGCCCTGGCAGCGTCCCCTCGGCCAAGCACTCACAGGGCTGTCCCCAGGCACCTCCCGGCAGCCCTGGCCCAGGTTCTGGGAGGAAGGGGAGGTTCTGAAGGGAGGCCTGCTGCCGAGCTGCCACGTGAAAGAGCCAGGATCCAACCTCATCTGCCCCGTCCCTCTACCTCGGCGCGACTCTGAAAGCTGACGAGACAGGGCTAGATGGGGGGCCACGACCCCCACTCTCACCTGGTTCCGGATCTGCCGATGCATCAGGTCTTTCTTCACCTGGAGGGCCTCAAAAGCAGCCTTCTGCATGGCGCTCTGCGACAGAGAGCGGGGCCTACTGAGCTGGGGCCCGGCCTCGCTCCTCCTCCCCCGCCGGCTGGCTGAGGCAGCAGGGGAGTGGGGGGCGCAGCGCTTGCAGGTGAGAAGTGCGGGTCCTGCGGCGCTCTCCCATGGGCGCCTGCTCCCAGCTGGGCTCCACTGCCCGCCCTTTCAGTCCTTATGACGGAGTCCCCACAGCACGGGGAGTGGGTGCCCGCCAGAGGAGGGTGCTTCTCGGGATTCCCGTGACTGGCAGATCACCGCCCAGAGGCATCTGCCTGCCCCTCTCTGCCTGACGGTTGTGCTCAGTGCACTAAGTGGCTGGGTCTCACGCATGCTCTAGGACAGGGTGCGGAGCTGAGCTCTGACGCCCTCCCTTCACGTGCCTCCGCCCTCATGCCCTGGGCAAGGGCTCACCTCCCGCAGGATCTGGCTGATGGCTTTGTTCTGATCCATCTGCTGCCATGCCAGAATCTGCTGGAACCGCTCATCCATTTCAGCCATGCTGCCAGAAAGACAGCAAGTTCATTTACTCTCTCAATATTTTCTGAGCACCTACTATGTGCCAGGCACCTTGGAAGAAATCAAGAATAACCATTCATTCATTCAATACTTATGGAGCGCTGGCTGGAGGCTGTGTTCCAGGCTGGGCACAGACAGTTTATCTGAATCCCATGGCCCTGGACAGAAGGTGACAAAGTCTTTGTCTCAGGAACTGGGAGACATGATCTCCAGGTCCTCTCCTCCACCCCCCACCAGAACACGGCCTCCCAGGTGGGTCGCTCGGGCCTTGAGAGAGCCGTCCTTCCCGGGCACTGACGTCTGCCCTCCCCACCACAGCATTTCCGGCCCTGGTGGGGGGCCGCTCTTAGCCCCTAGAACAAACCTAGTGACTTTGGCACAGAAATCCAAACCCTGCAGCCCCACGTATGTCCACGCTGTGGTACAATCTTTGTTCCGAGTTTGTTTCACGGTAATAGCAGCTACTTATCAGACCCTACGTGGCAGACCTGACGCCCGCTAGGGCTCATTCAGCGTTCCAGCCACTCGGCCGCAGTGCTGTGATTTACCCGCACGATTCTGATATGAAAATGGAGGCTCAGAAAGGGGAAGTAACTTGCCCAAGACCTCACAGTTGCTAACAGACCATGTGCCCGTGCCCCTAAGCACACGCCATGCAGCAGGAAGGGAGGGAGCCCCACATCCGAGGACACAGGGGAAGCTGGCGGCTGTGCCACCGGATGGAAGGAGAAACACGGGGCGGCCCGCGCTCCCAGCCTCTCCGCCTCTGGGGCTCCTGAGCACTGACTGGGCTTTTCTGACCTGCCAGACCCCGAAGGCTCCCTTGGCAGGCAAACCCACAGTGCGGCGACGAACGTGGAGTTTCCCACCCAGAGGGGCCATCAGCACTGACGGCGGCCCTATCACCGTCCCCGCCAGTGCACGCTGCCCCGACCTGTGCGGCCCCCTGGCGAGGATGAGGGCACCGTAATCAAGGGCATGGCCCCACTCTGCCTGGGTTCGAATCCTGGCTCTGTCACGTGATAGTTGTGTTTCCTTGGGTGCGTCACGTAGCGTCTCTGAGCCTGAGTTAGGACTGTAAAATGGGGTGAGTAACAACGTGGCCCCTCAGAGATTCAATGAGCTGATGCGTGTCACTGAGTGGAATGCCTGGCACACAGGAAGCGCGTGGGGAGCGGCAGTGATCGGAGGCACACCTAAGAAACCTTGTGGGTTTGCCTGCAGACCACCGCCATAAAGGAAGTATGGCAACAAAGCGAGTCAAAGAAATTTTTGGGTTTTCTGGTGCGTATAAGAATTATGTTTATAATATACTGTAATCTATTAACTGTGCAATAGCATTAGGTCTCAAAAAACAATTACGTACTTAAATTAAAAAATCCTTTATTGCTAAGAAATGCTAACCATCTGAGTCTGTAGGGAAAACGGTACCAATCTATGTGCTGGAGGCATGGTTGCCACAAACCTTTAATGTGTAAAAAACACAGTATCCGTGAAGCGCAGTAACACGCGTTATTGCCGCTTTATCACGACCCAACACAGAATTGTGAGGTCCAGCTGGCAAGTTCATGGGGATCGGTCACCACTTTCCTCCAATGGCAGGGCTGCGGCTGAGGTGGCCACGGGCAGGGGATCCTCTGGGCGCAGAGCTGGTTCCCCCAGCTCCCTTCTTCAGGGAGCCTCTCCTTACCTTACCTGCAACAGGCCTGCTGGACCAAGTTCTGCCTCTGGGACTCATAGGCCATCTGGATGAAGCGGCTCTTACAGCTCTCGGTCAGCATCTGCTGCATGGCGGCTGAGGAGACGGGGGTGGGGCTGAGAACGGTGCAGCCGCCCCTGGGCCTCGCGGGGTTCACCTAGTCACCCACCTGATGGTCACTCTCAAGAGAAATCTTTTTGTGTAAACTTTAAAAGTAACTTAAGCTTGAAAGATGGACTAATTGCAAAACACTGAACAGCACATACAAGATCTATAATCTGTCACCCAGAGATACTGTTAAATGTTAATGTGTGTTTGTGGATTTTAAACAATTAAAATTAAAAAGTTGAAAGAGAATTGAAGAACTATGTGTATATCCATGTTCGTAGCAACATTATTCACAATAGCCAACAGGTAGAAACAACCCAGGTGCCCACTGATGGATGAAGAGATTAACGAAATGTGGTCTATCCATGCAGTGGAATACTATTCAGCCTCAAAAAGGAAGGAAATTCAGGGATGAGCCACAACATGAAAGAAGCCTTGCGAAGTGAAAGAAGCCAGGCGACAAAAGGATAAATACCATATGATGCCACTTACACGGGACACCTAGAGTAACAGACTCATAGTGACAGAAAGTAGAATGGTGGTGCCAGGGGCTGGAGGAGGGGGAAATGAGGAGTTGATATTTCATGGACACAGAGTTTCAGTTTTGCAAGATGCAAAGAGTTTTGGATTGGGGGGGGGGCGGTAATGGCTGCACAATAATGTACTAATGCCACAGAACTATACAATGAAAAGTGGTTAGAATGGTACATTTTACCTTATATATATTTTACCATAATAAAAAAAATAAAATGTTATCACGCTAAACATATCACTTCTTACTTCTTATGAATACTTCTCCTCTCAAGGGGCTAACACTCGGCTCCCCCTGTAGGTGACTGTCTACCCCGGCCCCACCACGCCGCAGCCAAGCTCTGTGCCCATGGCCCCTCCGCCCACCCCGCCCTGAGACTCACAGGCAACCTCGCGTCTTCGTAGGTTCTCTGTCTCCTCCTGGGTTATGGACATCAACTGTTCCATTCTTATTCTAGAAAAACAACCCATCCATTTATTCAGAAAACATTACGTTTCCAAGAGGGAATTCCATCAGATGAGCAGCACCTCCATCAGGAAGTCCTCCTGGATGTGCCAACTGAGATGTGCTCCTCCTGCATCACACACCTCCTCTGGGGCCCTGTTACCTCCAGCTGTGTAGTTAGAGTTTCTTGCGTAAGAAGATGAACATCCCCTTAGAAAAATGAGTAAAAGGTACAAACAGCCACTTCACTGATGCTTAAATAGAAGTGACCAATAAACATATGGAAAGATGCTTAATATCACTGGTAACGAAAGAAAGTAAAACCTTTTCACCTAGCAGATTGGCTGAGAGTAAGAAAACTCATAACCGTTGGTAACAGCAATGGCGGTGGTGAAATGGGCACTTTCACATACAGGGGAAAAGAGCGTAAACTGGCAAAACATTTTTTGGAAGGCGATTTAACAGTATCTATCAAATGTCCTCTTACTATTTCCTTAAAAAAGTCACATAAATGCATTTACAGGAATATTTAGAAGTTATTCGCTGTAATTGTAATTATGAAAAACTGGAAACAAATGTTCATGGACAGAGGGCCAATAAATTATGACATAATCATATAGTGGAATACTCTGTAGCTACTATAGATAATAAGGTTTTTGGCATGGAAATACATCCATGATATAATAAAATTAATAAGTGTTGAATGAAATCTCAATAAAACATAAGAATATAAATGAAAATATAAAAGGCAAATTACATGTATGTATGTGCATGCACGCTGCATGCGTGTATACAGTTTCCCCCCACACTAACTGGTTAGAGAGGCTTGGTTTCTGCAGGGACTGACTTCATTGGAGGAAGCATGTCTCACATGAGCCCCTCTGCCCCAGGACCACGGGCTGCTCGAGGGGGCCTGTATGGTGCCCTGCCGTGCCCCAGGCCTGGCACAGCGCGGGCAACTGATCAGCGTGTGCTGAAGAAACGATGCCACCGGCCACAGCTCAGCTTGGCCTTGACCGCCCCAGGCTGCCACGAGCACCACAGTTTAGTGGGTGGGACGATGGGGCTGCTCCGCACTTGCGGGGAGCACCTACGGCAGGTCTTCCCAGGCAGCGGGGCGCCTAGAGGGCTGGCCCTAAGGACAGCAGCCAAGTCCACGCTCCTATTTTGGGATGTCAGAGAACCAGGAGGGATCCCACTAATACCTGGGGAAGGGCTGGAGGGTGTCCCTCCTGGCCACCATCTTTTCTCTTTACTACAGTGGTGCCCCCCAGAGCAGTAAACTTGGAAAATACTGAAAACACCACAAAGGAAAAAAACATCACTGCCTCCAAGTCCCATCTCTAAAACATGCTCAGTGTACTCCATTGGGGTGGGGCTTTTTGCTTTCTGAGCACAGAAATGTACAGCGTCTTTAAGAAAAAATAGACTGCAAGCCCCACTTTTCCATTTAGCAATATATTGTGTCTCCTTTAATAAGGAATATTTGTCTACAAGATTGATTGGCTACAGATTACTTTTTTGTGCATAATTCACGTAACCAAATTCTTTCCCCCTCCAGAAATGTAGGTTTTTTGGCAATTTTTTTATACTGGAAATACAGTTGGACATTATATGTAAATTCTTGTTCACATCTTCTAAGTTTTTGTCAGGAATGTATTTTAACGAACTTGCAGGTAGTCATTCTTTTTAATTCAATATTCCCTAATGAGGTGAATTTCCTTGTAGCTTTAGGAAAACTTTCTGACATAACCCTTGAGAATCACGTGACATTGTAACCCAAAGGCCCCCCCGCCCCGCCCCGGGGAGGAAGGCTGTGCAGAGGAGGTGCTAGAGCAGAACCCTTACCTTTCATTTTCCAGCGACTTCAAAATCTCAGAGCTTTTCTTTTGCCTGTGGAGAAATCCGTGAAAGGTCCCTGTAGCTGTCACCGTCACCTGCACGCCTGCTTCCAAGGGAACCTCCCCCCCCCCCGCCCCCCTGCATTGGCAGAGCACAGGGGGCGGAGTGGCTGCGCTGGGGGCCTCTCAGCCCCAACCCTGAGGAAGGGGCCCTGTGGTCTCAGGCCAGTTACTCAACCACTCCAAGCCCCGGTTCCTCCACTGTAACATAGGAACAATATCAAAAACAACAGCAGCAGCAGCAGCAGCAACAACAACAAAGCCTCCATGGAGTATTTGAAAAGAGTGAGAAAATATCCACAAAGCGCATGGCACTTAAGAAGCGCCCGGCGGGCGGCAGCTTTCCTGGATGCCCGCGGTGGTGAGGGCTGGGGGAGCGGCGCAGGGGCCTGCCGGCACCCTGGACAGCAAAGGAGCAAGTGAAAGGTGAAAAGAAGCCCGAAGCCACAGGGGACGTGGCGAAAGCCTATTTCTGAACTCTTTCTCCTAGGAACCCCAGCTAGACTTTCTCAGGTTCCCTGAGGTCTCTATCCGGCCCCCTTGCTCCCAAACCCCGTCAAGGCCTGCTCCCAGCAGCCCTGCTTGGGTGAGTGGAACCCAAAATACTGGCGCAGAGGTGACCCGAACTGTCTTGTTAAAGCTACCCATTTCACAGATGGGAAACCACGGAGGCACAGGCCCCAGTGGTGGCTGCCATGCAGCAGGAGACAGAGCCGGTCATGCCCAGACCGGTCTATTCTGCTTAAGTTGGTGCGAACCACAGCACCAGGGCCAGGTCCTCACGGTGGAAATCTTGGGCAGGAGTGGAGCCGTGAGGGGGAGGTGGACCCCGTCCTGCTCTCCTCCACGGGTATCATGTGGGAGCAGGTCTCTGGGCCTGGGGGCCAGAAGGGTGGCGGCCTGACCTCTGATTGTCTTCCAGGAGCTTCTGGATGCGGTTGGAGATGTTCTGCTCCGTCTGCTTCAGCTGCTCCTGCAGCCGCTGACGCTCTGCGTCGAGGTAGCGCCGGTGCTCACTGAGGCCCTGCTCCAGCCGGGACTGCTCCTGCGGCAGATGGGCGGAGGTCCTGAGCGGCTGGGGCCCGTCCAGGTGCCACAGGGCAATGGGGGGCACCAGGCTGGGGTGAGGAGAATGGGTTTCCCGTCCCAACCTGCCGGCCCTTTCCACGTGGCTTTGGACCAGGCCCTCCCCTTGCTGGGCCTCAGGGTGGCCACCGCACCCGAGGAGTCCAGACTAGGCAACGTGAAGGCTCCCAGGCCCTGGAGTGTGGAAGCGTGAGAGCTCCCTCCCACTGCCTTCCTGCATCGGAGGGGCCTGCGTGGCAGTCAGGGGCCCTAGCAGAGATGCACGGGCAGGCGGGTCCTGCGGGCTGGGCCGCTCACGAACCTCCCTGACCGTCTGAAGGATCTCGTCCCTCTGGCTGTTGCTCTGCTGCACGAGCTGGGCATGCTCTCGCTGCCCGAGCTCCAGGCGCCGTTCAAACTCGAGTTTCTCCAGCATCTTCTGTTCCTGCAAAAATGGGGCTGCTGGGGGCTGCTGGTGCAGGCGCTGTGGGCGTCAGGATCGGGGAGCAGCGTGAACCCACTCCGAAACCCTGAGTGGTGTGGGCTACAGGTCTTAACCCTGAGTGGCCCTGCAGGGCTCCGCTGTAACAGAGCGGGCTCTTTGCTGGCAGAGGCCAGCGATTCAGAGCCTGGGCTTGGGCTCAAGGTCTCTGAGCCTTGGCCTTCGCATCTGCCAAGCAGAGATGCTCTGCCATCTGCTGAAGCAGGGAGGGTATGCTGAGGCCATGTATTTAAGGGGGACGCATTGCTTTACCCTCTGATTTAGAGGCAGGAAGAACTTGTTTTATGATTGTTGAGATCTTTAACGAGAAGAAAAGTGATAGAGACAAAAGGCGTTTTCTTACCTTCCTCTTCTCATAGTCTGAGAACCTATTCTGGGGGGGAAAAGGCAGTGGTCAGAGATGGTAGGTGGCCTGACCCCATTCAGACTCCCGGGCCCAGCCCAGAGTACGGCATCTGAGGGGTGGGGTGGGGCGGGGTGGGGATGAGGGGTGGGTGGTTCTGGTGGACACCAAGGGCTGAGAGCCATGGGGCTTGGCCCACCCTAGGAAGGTCTTCAAGACAGTTCCAGGGATGCAGCCCTGGGAAGGCCTGGTCCTCAGGAAAGGAGACCAAGAAATGGGACACGGGAGCCCCCTGTACGTCTGCACAACACACCCGCCGCACCCAGCTCTGGCCCACCCAACTGCTCCAAGTGCTGAAGGGTGTGCGCGCAAACTCCTGTAGAGCGGTTCCAAAGAGTCAAAACACCGAGAATAACTCAAATGCCCATTAACAGGCGATGACGTCAATGGGTCACGGTGCACCCACACAGTGGCTTGTTATACAACTCAAATGGGGCAAATGTGGGTGCAGCATGGAGAGATGCCCGCCCCTATCCCTCTGTGTGCAGCGCGAGTCCGCTCCTGCCAAGCCATTGGCGGCGGGACCCGACCAGGACACAAGAGCCAGGAGGCAGGTTCCTCGATCAGTCCATGGGGGGTGCCTCTAGGGGGCGGGCGCAGGGTCGGGGCTGCCGTCCACTTAGGGTCTATGTTTCTCTATTGTTTGAGTGTATAACAAGGAGCAGGAATGCCTTCTGTACCTAAACATGCACACGCGCGCGCACACACACACACGCGCGCACGCGCGCTTTCTGAGGGGCCTTTCTACAATTCAGGCTTGGAGACCAGGACCAGTCTCTGAGCTAGAGAAGCAGCATCCCGTAAGGAAATAGAATTTTCCCTACCCTGAGGCAAGAGTACAGTTTAAAAACTTAATCTTTAATTATATAGATATCCGAACATATTCTCCTCGTAAAAAATTAAAACATGGCATATAAAACGAAGGTCCCTGCCGAACACTCCTGGTCCTGAGCCTGGCTCCCTGACCCCATCCCACGTGTCATCCTCAGACCCAAGTGCGCGTGTCTACATACACAGAGTTTGTGTCTTTGGAGAAATATATATACAGACATATATCATTTTATTACGCTTCACTTTATTGCACTTAGCAGATACTGCGTTTTCCTCAACACTGAGGTTAAGATCTTCCACCAGCAAAAAGACTACAGCTTGCTGAAGGCTTAGATGATGGTTAACATTTTTGAGCAATAAAGCACTTTTTAATTATGGTATGCACATTTTTAGACCTAATGCTATTGCACACTTAATAGACTACAGTATAGTGTAAACATAACTTTTACATGCATTGGGAAGCCCCAAAATTCATGTGACTTGCTTTATTGCAACATTTGTTTCATTGCAGTGGACTGGAAACAGACCCACAATCTCCCCAGCGCAGGCCTGCGCCTGTGTGCGTGTGTTTGGACCAGGGCCTGGGAGAGCCCGCCGAACAGCAGAAGCGGGCAGGGTGCCGCTGAGCTTGCTGAGCTGGTGAGGCGGGGTGGCCCCTGCTGGCCTCACGAAAGCAACCTAAGCACGTTGGTGTGAATGCAGGTGAATTTTAGTTTGATGGAGGACCCTAGAGGCTGCAGCTCTGAGCACCCCCCTGGGCCCAGGGTCCCTTCTCCACTTGCCAACAGGCAGGTGCGCCTTACCTGCCACTCTACCTCCTCCCGGGAGAATCTGTCCGTGGGCCCGTCGGGGCTGTCCTGGGAGGTCTCGGCCCCATCTTGCTCCAGGACCGGCAGCAGGTACTGAGAAGGTGGGTAGTACTCCAGCCCTGAGTCTGCGAGAGACGATACAAGCTGACCCGCGGGGAGGGGACAGTCCAGGTACCTGGAGCCGCCCACTCCTGCTGCCCCTGATTCCTCCTCGGGCCCCTGTCCCACCCCCACCTCAGGCCGCTGCTCCCCTGCCCGAAACGGGGCCCTCGTGTTGCTCACCAGTGCTAACGCCTGGGCTGGAGTGTGGCCTGTGCCCAGTGAGCTTCAGCTGAATGAATAAAGGGACATACCACCAGCCTCTTTCTCGTCCCAGTGGAAATAAGGTGAAAAGAGCCTGAGATTAGTAGTTGAAGGCCGGGTTCAGGACTCAGCTTCACCCATGATTTCCTGTGTGTGAGTCCTTGGGCAAGGTGCTCACCTGACTCCTGGCCTTGTGTAGTTTTTGCCTTATTCTTGCTGATTTTTAGGTGCTCTTACGTATTATAGCTAAAAACCGTGAATCTATATGTTTCTAGGCGGCAACTCATCTTTTTAGCTTTGATGATGGTATCTATCCTTTTGAGATAAAGAAGCTTTAGGTTTTAATGTAGTCAATTACCTTTGACTACCCACCAAGGGTATAAATCGGCAATTCACAAGAAAAACTAAAACTGGGCAGCAGACATATGAAAAAATACTCAAATAATCAAGGAGATGACATTAAAATATAATAGGCTCTCTTGTTTATCCATCAGATTGAAGACTATTACAGATAACACCAAGCGTTAGCCAGGCTGGGGTGAGGGAAAGGTCCTCTCCGATACCCCTCATGGGAACGTAACCACGTGTAACCTCTTCAGGGGGCAATACGGAGTGCTCGTCCCCACTGCTGTGCCCACCCGCTGTGGCCTGCCCTGGAGTAATGCCCCTGTGGGCCAGGGAGGGGCACGTTAGTGTTCATGGGGGAGGGCCCCTGGAAAGAACCTCCATGTCCACAACGCTGGGCTCCAGCACGTGAAATGCTAGCTACGCAGCAATTTAAAATGAGGCAGGTCCATACACTGGGAAAAGGCACAGACTTATTTTCAGTAAAGAAAAAGAAAGAAAGCAAAAAGGCAGGGCACAGAATCCCATGGCATATCTTTTCAGGGGTTTTTCTTTAATGTTTTTAAAAGAGCAAAACCAAAAACTTTACATAAGTCTGTATATCCATGATCCAGTTTAAATAAATTGGAGTCCTTCTCAAACTATGTAGTAGGTAGACATGGGCTACACGTGCGGGCCATCTACTGCTCGGACTACTTCGGTAGACACATGGCTTGGTTAGCTGTTTTGTGGTGTATGTAACTTCCCCCCCTTTTTTAAACTGCAGTATAACTCATGTACAGAAAAGAGCGCAACGTCTTCCTATGAAGCTTGATGACTTTAAAAGCGAACACGCCCTGCTAAGCAGGAATCAGCGCTGGTCAGAGCTCAAGGGCATACTCCCGTGTCTGGCTTCTCACAGCCTGCACGGCGTCACGGAGGTTCCCCCGCGCTGTCTCTGTGGCATAGTTTGTTCTTGACCATTGTGCCGTGTTCAGAGTAGACAACAGATTGTCCACTCAGCTGTGGATGGACGTGGGGTTGTTTCAGGTCTGGGCTGTTGCAGATGGTGCTGCTATGGGCATCTCTACAGTTGGCCTTTGTCCTATATTCATGTGCATTTCTCTTGGGCATTGACCCAGGCATGGAACTGATGCATCACAGGGTATATGAAAATTCAGCTTGAGTAGGTATCGACAATCATTTTCTGAAGAGTTCCGATTTACACTTCCACCTGCAGTGTATGGAAGCTCCTGTTGCTTCACATCTTTGATAATTCTTGATATGGACAGATTCATCTTGGCCATTTTTTGGGTGTGTTAGGGGTTAAGTACCTCTTTGCAGTTTTAATTTTCATCTTCCTGTTGACTAAATGCTGTTGAGTCCCTTTTTTCAGATACTGATGACCATCTGGACATTCTCTTTTGTAAAATTCCTATTCATATCTTTTGACAGTACCTTCTTACTGCTCTCTAGTTCTTCTCATCACCTAGAAACAAGTCCTTTGTTGGATATGTATTGCGAATATCATCTCCAGCTTCAGAGCTTGCCTTTCCTTTCCCGAAATGGTGTCTTTTAAAGGAAAGAAGTTTTTTATTTTAATGAAAACTAACTTATCAATATTTTATGGTTAGTGCTGCCTCTCTCTTATTCAAGGAAAAGGCTAAGGTTCTTTCTTTTCCACATGGTAGCCAACTGATCCAGGATCATTTATTGACAAGCACTTCGCTTTCCTTTCTCAGTGCTTTGCCATGGCACCTTCATCACACACCAGACGACCATACATGTATGTGAGCCTTGACTGTGCTCAAGAAGTTCAACAGGTGACAGGAGCCCCTCCAGCCTCCTGGGGGTAACTGGGGGCAGGCAGACCTTGTTTTATTGCTCTCAGCTTTCCTGTGCTCCACAGATACCACACATTGAAGGCAGGGCTCCCGCCAGCCCCGCCAGTGGAAGGACCCGTCCGGCTGTGCTGCAGAGTCTGGGAGGAGCCCGCCCTGTCCCCAGGGTTTGCCCGTGTGCTGCTGTCCGGCTTGCGCCCAGACCAGCGGTGGCCCTGCAGTTTCGCTCCTTCTGCTGCCCTGCTGCCCCTCTAAGTCCAATCCGCCGCGGTGTCGCTTCTGGATGACCCCAGTGACCTCCTCACGGGTCCTCTACCCTCCATGCTTGCTTCCTCCTATCCCTCCTCCTCCCTGTCGCTGGAGTAGCTCTTGCACAATAAAAAGTAAATTCCTCTCCTGCGTGAGGGGCCTGGACCCCTTCTCGCCTCTTCCCCGCCTCTCTTCCCTTTACTGTGGCTCCCAGCTACTCGGCCTTCCTTCCGTGGCCCTTCTGTGTGCAGCTCCGTCTGCCAGGAACATCCTTCGCTCTGGTCCTAATCATCCCCCCCGGTCTCAACCGAGCCACTTTCTCAGACAGACCTTCCCCGAGACCCCTAAATCCGAAGCCCCACTGCACTCCCAACACCACAATATGCAATTGTATTGCCTAGTGCGACCATGTTTGGCTCCTGCCAGCCTGGCCCTCCGCAGTCCCCGCCACCTCCCCAGCCCGGGCTGGCCCAGGGCAGCCGCTGGGCAGGCGCGCCCTGAGTGCGGGAGGCAGGCTGCCGGCCTTACCTCGGCAGAGCAACTGCTGGATGGGCTCGGTGCCGGCACCACACACCTCCGGCGGTGGGTAGACCATGGACGCGGCGTCTAAGCTCAGGGTCTGCGGACACAAGGGGACCCCTCTTTATGTGAGTCGTTCACTGCACTGCTCAATGCAGTCGAAAACCAGGCGGTTTAGTTATGAGCATGTGTTCACTATCTGCCCTGCCTGGTAGGGAAAGCTGTCCTGCTCCGCCCGTGTTCCCAGTTACTGGGACAGCGACTGGCGTGCGGCAAGCATTCAATTAAGGTTTTTGGGTAAATGCATGAATAAGCAAAAAACAAAAACAAAAACAAAAAAAAAAACCGGAAGTAATGGGACACTCTAGAGACTAAGATTCCACTTTTATTTAAAAAAAAAAAAACAAACAAACTGATATAGTCTCAGATTAGTATAAATGAAAAAATTTGGAGTGATATATATCAGGCTCAAAGTGACTTCCCCTAACTGTAGAGATTCTTGGGTATTTTCTACATGAAATTTTTTTTATGTGAAATTTTACTAATGTGGTATGCCTTTTTGAGCAGGAAAAATATGTATGCAAGTACACACCATTCTTACAGGTTTATGAGGGCCAGAAAAGAGGGAAATGGGTCCACACAGATGCCCACAAAGCTGCTGCAGCCCCAGCGCGAGCCCTGTGAAACCAAGCCCTCCTCCTCCCACCCTCCCACTTCCCACGGGCCTTCCGCTGCCACCCAGTGCCAGCATGGGCCACCTCAGGCCTCAGGGAGAAGGGACGAAGCCTGGGGAGCCAGAGTGGGAAGAGCAGCTCGGGTGCCGCGCCCTCACCCTGGCCAGCACAGCCCTGTACCCGCTGGGTGCGGTGTGAACCGAGTTGCGGGGTGAGGGGAAGCCTGCCCTGGAGCAGAGGAACTGGCTGCCTGGGGCGGGGAGGCCCGAGAACAGAGAAGCTTATCCTGGGAACTGAATCTAAGGACCATTAACCCCCCTGGGTCATATTAGTCACTGATGGTAAAGTGTGGTGGCTTAAGAGCACAGGTGTTGGGACTGCATGGCCCATGACGGTGGCCACGAGCCATGTGCGCCCATTTAAGTTTAAATTTTCATTGATTAAAATTAAAGAGAATTTCAATGCACCAGCCATAGTTCAAGTGCTAGCAGGTACTAAACTGGATGACACACGCTACGGAATATTTCTGTCACCTGCAGGAGAAGCAGCTTTTGGACAGCAATGCGCTGAGTCATACAGCCCTGATTTCAGACTCCAGCTTGCCAGGGGCCAGCTGTGACCCCTAAACAGGCCACTTGGACTCCCTGGGCCCCTGCCCCCTCTGACTTAAACAGGCACAAAACCACCAACCTGGCAGGCTGTTTGACGGGTAAATGCATACAATACATGAAAAGACTCTAGTCTCAACTAAGAATGGCTGCTGTAATTGTTTCATCTTGAAAACAGATTTGTCTAACATGTCACCAAGAAGCTCAAAAGATTATTGTTTAAAGAATCTATGTGGCTGGTGTGGCTCAGTGGATTGAACGCAGGCCTAGGAACCAAAGGGTCAACCGTTGGGTTCCCAGTCAGGGCACAGGCCTGGGTTGCGGGCCAGGTCCCCAGTAGGGGGCGCATGAGAGGCAACCACACATTGATGTTTCTCTCCCTCCCTTCCCCTCTCTCTAAAAATAAATAAGTAAAATCTTAACAAAAAAAAAAGAGAATCGATATAAAACAAATCAGTGGCCTTACTAGCTGTCTTAGAATGGCTTCAGAATTAGGAACACTGCTCTGAGCTGTGCTGTCCAAGAAAGTAGCAACTGAGCACAGGTAGTTATTTAAATGTAAATTAATTAATATCCGGTAAAATCAAACATGTGGCCCCTTGGCCATATTAGCCACACACAAGCGCTCCAGGGCCACACGTGGCTCGTGGCTACCGATTCCGGTGTCAGCGAACATTTCTGTCATCGCTGGGAGTTCTACTGGAGGACACGAAGAACACCCCAGTGCTGGCCTGTTTCTCCAGCTGGCCCTGCGAGAGCGGCCCGGCCGCCTGGCCTGCCTCGGGCTGCCTGCCATGGCAGCAGGGACCAGCCCCTGGGGTCGGCCACCTCCCTTCGCTGTCTCCACACTCCTGACCCAGATGCCAGTGGTCAGCAGTCTGGCTTGAGAGCCGCTTCGCTGACGGCTCATCGGAGGATTCTGGGATGCATGGTCAGATGTGTGTCATTGTGAATGGGTAAGTCCCCGTTCCGGAGGCTGAGTTGCACAGAGGCGACGCGCATTGGCCCTGGATTCAGACTGCCTGGCTTTCAGTCCCACCTTTGCTGTCACTAGGTGTGTGGCCCTCGGGCAAGCGCCTCGAACGCCCCAGGCCTCAGTTTCCCCTCCGGCAGAGGGGCGCAACAGCATTTGCCTGCAGGGTTTTGTGAGGATTCAGGGAACTAATGCAGGTCGACTGCTCGGCCTTAGTAAGAGCCGGGAGTGCTTCTGCCGCCCTTGTCTACGCCCCCAAAGCTTAGCTCTCTGCCAAGGTCTGGCCCAAATACCACCTTGTTCATAAAGAGTTAACCCATCAGGATGCAGCATTATCTCTCTGCCCTAAAAACATGTGTCTATGTCACCCTTATGACAGCAGAAGCCACACAATTACAACTGCTCGTGCACTGGTCACTCTGCAAGCCCCTAAGGACCATGCGCTGAGATCTCCGTGACCCCGGCACCCTGTGACCAGGACAGGTACTCAGCACCGTGGGAGAGGGAGACAGGCAGTCAGAGAGCCCCCGCGGGATGGCTCCACTTACCTCCAGAGTTCGAACACGCGCCAGCGCCTGCGGCAACCTCCGAATCTCGTTTTCACTGACGTCGAGGGTACGTAAGCTTCGAAGTTCCCCCAAGGAGTCTGGGAGCTCCTTCAGCCTGTTGTCTGCAGAGATCCCAAGAGCACAGCTCAACACCCCAAAGTCCCTTCACCAGCTTCCTTCCAACCCCCACCAGGACTCGGCGGGGGGGAAGCGGGTGCCTCTGACCCCGAGACTCTGTGAGGAAGAACACGACAGTGGGGGTCAGCGACCTGGGCTCAAGCTCCATAACTCACTAGCTGGGTGACTTTAAAAAGTCGACTTTTCCTCTCTGGGGCACAGTCCTCTCATCTGTAAAATGGGGTAATAATAACCATTCTCCCTCATGGGAATATTGAAGGATTCAATGAGGTATCCTCAGCGCAGTGCCTACCACACTGTACGGGGTCGGTAACGGGGCGCCATTATTTTTATAATTATTCATGTGACTGGGGCATTTTGGGCAGAAAGTGCTTAACAGAGCAGAAGAAACGAAAGGGCAGAGGCTATGGTGAGGCAGGCGCCCGACTGATGCACCAGAATCTTGGTTCTGTCATTCTCCTGCTGGGTGGTCCTGAGCAAGGCACTGCCCTCCTAGCCGCCTTGCTTCCTTCATCTGTAACTTGCAAATAACACCGCCTCCCTCTCCAGAGCTCATGGATCTGCCGCGAGGCTCCCTGCACAGCTGAGGGTGGAAGCGCAGCTCACCGAGTGTGAAGCACCGCTCAGAACCGCGCCCGTGGCTCGCGCGTGGCTCTCGCCCAGTCAGCGCGCTACTTCCCCGCTGCCCCCGCCATACTCAGCGTTACAAATGCAAGTGATGGCGTCTCAGAGGCCGCGCTGTCAATGCCCTCTGCCCTCCTGCCCATGAGCTCCTAGCTAGGGTTACCATGGAGACAGCCCCACTGGGAGGTCAGTGCAGTGCATGGTGACAGCTCGGGACGGGCTGCCCCCATGCTCCACGGCTCCCAGGAGGATGCTGGCTGGGACAGAGCTGACTGCGGGTCACAGGGACAGGGGCTCCTGGCTCCCACCTTTCACACTGAGGGTCTGGAGCTGGGTCAGCTTCCCAATGGAACGTGGAAGATGCGTCAGTTGATTCCTCTCCACATTCAATACCTAAGAAAGAGGGAAAAATGATGAGCTCCCACATACAGACAGTAGTGATACCCTTGCTTTGGGCTCCGAATCACCTGGACACCACACACACACCTATCCCTTCCCCTGACAGCCTCGTGAGGCAGGTGTGGGTTGCTACGATCCCATGTGAGAGATGAGAGATCCAAGGCTCGGACCAGTGAAGTCACGTGCCCAAGAGAGCAAAGCCAGACCTTGGACCGGCTCTGGCTGAGGTTCCGTCAGTCATTTACACAAATAACAAAATGCATGGCAACAGTCCCACAATCAGGAGGGGTGGGAGAAGAGGGCTAAAAGGTCAGGGATCGGGCGAGACAGCTTGTGTTCAGGGCCTAGCTAACCCAGTGTCGGGAGAAGGAAACGGAGCGAAACGAAGACAGCGGGCTCTGCCCAAGCTCCAAGGCCGCAGTTGCGGGGGCCGGGACGCAGCCCCGGTTTGCTGGATTCCAAAGGCCACGCTCCCTCCAGGAGGTGGTGCTGCGAGGTGAGCAGGGCCAACAGGGTGATGTGCTAAGTGGCTGTTAAGCATAGATACAATGGAAAGCTAGCAGCCACGGGAAATAATGTAGCGGATGAATGTTTGATGAACCAAAGGATGGTTATGAGTTATTGTCAGGTATCCAAAAGTCCCAAAACAGCGAATGCAGCAATTCTATAAAAATATACATATTAAAAATGTCCCCAAAGATCCTACACCAAGGTATTCACTGCAGCTCTCTCTCTAAGTGGTGGCAATTACCTCTGTTTTGCCACATGTTCTCTGTGTGACTTTGGGCAAGTTACAGTGATCTCTCTGGACAGTTTTCTCTTCCGTGAAATGTGGCAGCATCACCCACATTGTAGGGTTGTTCACTAAGGTCATCGGTCTCCTCCATGTGTGAGGCAGTGTCTTTGGTGGAGACGCAGCCCCCCCAGGACTACGGTTCAGTAGGGGAGAGAGTCAAGCCAATAGACATGTAACTAGTAATCATATTGCAATTATGCTCTTGGGGAGATAACCTGGGGTGGACACAGAGGAGAATAAAGTAGGTCTATTTACGGAGGTCAGAGAGGATCCTCAGGGACATTTGGGCTGAGACAATAAGCCGCTCGAGCAGAAGGAAAAGCCCTGCGGAGAGGCGGGGACAGAGGGCCAGAAGGGCGTTAGGAGCTGACTGTGGAGAACGAAGAGGAGAGCAGGACAGGAGGCAGGAGACACAGGTGGACCCATGACGTGGGGTCTGACTTAGGTTAAAATCCCATGGAGGGAAGGGATTTTAATCTAAGCGTGAAGGAAAGCCTCTTCTTCCTCTGTAAAGGGGGAGAGTCAACACCGGCCTCCCTGGGAGGCGGTGAGGAACCAACAGACGAAGCAAAGGAAACATTAGCTGCGCTGGCACTCCATGAGCGCTCAGCAAATAGAGGGGCGACTCCAGCACTTCAAAAGGTGGAACCGCTGGGTGGGTGTTCTTTTTCTGTAAAGTTGTGGACGCTCATGATGGGACCCCCGAAAGGACCAGCCGAAAACACTGTAGGGGGTCACCCACAGCCCCAGCTGCAACAGCGCAAGCACCACTGGGTGTCTGAGCAGCAAAGGGGCAGGGGAGCTTGTGCCAAGTGCCGCCCCAGCCAGGGCATGGCCAGAACATTCTAGGCCTGTGTGGCTGCCACTTCTCACTTAGGCAATCAGGGGTGGGTTTTCTGTTTCTTGCAGCCTTACCTGGAGGGCCACGAGCTGCCCGATATCCTCAGGCAGGGCTGTCAGCTGATTATGATGAAGATCCAGAACCTGCGGAAGGAAGACAAGCTCAACACCTAACAGTGACCAGCTGAGACAGCCGTTCTGATTGCGAGCTCCTGAGAGGTGAGGACATGTGGGGGCGCCTCAGGCCTCTGGTGTTGAAACAGAGCACCCAACCTTTCCCTCCAACGAAACGATCGCGCCACCTCGCTTCCTTTCCAAAATATCATCCCATTTCATCCTTTCATTTATCAAATACTTATTTTTACTGTTGGGTGAAAAAAGTATGCAAAGACATTCATTTGTTACACAAAAATCTTCATAGCATAAACATATATTTGCATAGAAGATGACCACTACATATGCAATAAAATATTGATAGTGGCTCCTTGGAGTATGGAATCACATATGTTTTTCCTCATTTTCTTCTTACCTGTACTTGTTAATTTTTTAACAATGAAAATTAGCATAAAAGCCATAGAAAGTATATATAAACAGATACATGCGTATGTATGTATATATATACTCTACATGTGTATGAAATAGAAGTATACATAAATATTAAAAACGTTAACATTCTCTTTTTCTGACAACAAAAATAACCCATGGTGGACAACGAAGAGAGGGAAAATCTCCCCCGGATCCTTGCAAACCAGAGTTAACCATAAATACACTTGGATGCCCAGGCTGCCAGTCTTTTCTGTTAGTGCGCATAACCGCCGTCCCAGCTTATGGTCACGTGGCTCCATCCTGCGGTCACAGCTCACATACTGTCCCTCATGACATCCCAGTCCCTGTCCTGATGGTCAGGAGGGAGTCGCCCCAGGTCACCAGGCTTTCACACAGCGACCACAAGATGCCCCGCGTCCGCCCTGTCCCAGCTTGCCTGGGACCGCCAGGCGCCCTGCCAGCTCCCTTGCCGTGAGTCTGCGGCTTGTCTTTCCACCCAGCGGGCCGCTCCCGCTCACTCTCTTCCTAACCCCGCCCACACCCAGCACGCAGAAGGTGCCCAGTAAACCATGCCAATCGAACCCCGGACTGACCACTCCGTTAAGTCTGTCTGGCATAGACTTCAACGGACGGATGCTTGACTGCCACCTGGAACACCAGGCAGGGACCCCGACCCCTGGGAGCAGGGCCCCGGTACCTTGATGGTTACGAGACTCTGGAGGCTGCAGGATTTTGGAAGGACGGAAGTGAGGTAATTCGTGTGGACGATCAACACCTGCGTGAGAAAGACGTGTGGCAGGTTGTCAGGTCGGAGAGGCGGAGGAGGGGGAGGCTGAGGTCAGGCACATCGGCCCTCTGCCCTGCCCGGCTCTCTCTCTCCCCCAAATCCCACTGCGGGGATGGGGATGGGATCTCCAAGTGGAATCAGATGACCTTAGATGCGGAATTTCAAGGGTAAAAGGGACCTGAGAGGGCTAATTCTACCTTCCATCCTGAGAATGACCCCCATGCCACTGGCCTGATCTCTGCAGGCTGCCGTGATCCTTAACAAGCTATCGGCCAAAGAGCCCTTGGCCCAGGGCTGGCACGTGGTCAGGGCTCAACCTGTGTCATTTCTGTTAGGCATCGGCCCCCGCACGGACACTTCCAGCATCAAGGAGCTCACCGCAGTCTCGGTATGGAACGCTTCTCACCTACCCTCGCCTAGACAGTGTATGCAGAATACTCTTATCTAGCTGCATTCAAAGCTGCAAAGACTTTCTGAACATCCATTACACTTTTAGTCTCCCCAGGGTGGCCAGAATGAAGCGAGTACAGTTTTTATTATTAATAACAATGAGCTTGCTCAGTGTTTACCATGTGGCAGGCAGTACACTCTGCATTTATATCCGTCTCTACCTCTCTACCGCTCACTCATCCCATTCTCACTATAGCTCCGTGACAGTGAAGCGATGAATGTGTTCACGTTGTAGATGAAGAAACGGGGATGTAAGAGTTTAAGGAAGTTGGCCAAGTCATGAGGGGCACAGCCAGGATGTGACCCAGGGCTGTCCAATGCCAAGGCCGGCTCTCCTAACTGTGTAAAGTCCTGCCTCGCGCTGAAAGGGTGCAAAACAGAGAAAACAGAGATGCCAGAAAGAGAGCTCCTAAAAGTCCCACTTGATTTCAAACGAGCAAACATGCAATAAACAAGTCTCTGAAAACAGCTCGTCTCACCTTCTTCTGTAGAACTTTGCATGTTGCAAAAGCCCCAAATGGAATCTAAGATAAAATAAAGAAGAGTTAGTGCCTCCCTGTCTGCCAGTTTTTAATGTTTTCTGCGTGGCACACGTTTGAGAGAGAGATGGGGCAGGAGGCAAACGATGCAACACGCGGATGTGGAGAACGGCCGCGCCCCAAGAGGGGCTGGTGAGCAAAGTTCCTTGGGGTACGGTTAGCCCTCCGGATCAGCTGGCGGGAGGCTGCCCTGCCTGGCCTTAGCCCGCTCAGCCCAGCCCCATCATCCGCTCTATCAGTGGTGCTTTGCAGAGGCTGGAGAATCCCAGACTCTCCTAGGAACCCGTGAGTACGTTTTCTAAGTAGACTCCCGACTCTCAAAGACTATGCTGAGACCAAAGATCATTTCAATTCTTTTGGACAGGAACCAAATCTAAGGAAACATGTCTTGACTAGTGCTTCTGGACTTCTGAAAGCCCCAGTCCACATCTGTCTTTCCCAGGGACACACAATTCAAGGGAAAAAAAAGGACAGGTCAAATTCACAGTCAGAAGGCCACCCCCGTTTACCTCCGAGAGCTCACATTTAGAGATGTCAAGAATGTCATCTGCTCCGGCTTCTTTTGCCTGAGGATAAAAATAATTTTTTTTGTTTGTTTTAAACAAAATATCCTTGTAGAGTGGACAAACCAGGCAAACAAACATAGGACTGAGGACCTACAAGGGACCCATGGACAGCATCTGGTTCAACTAGTCCATTTCATAGGTGGACCAATGATCCCTGTTTTAAAGGGCGCTGAGAGCCAGCAGGGCAGAGCGAACGAGCAAGTAACAACAGGTGTGACCGGTCTACGGAGGGAGTTACAGGGCACCCGAGCACCTGCCAGGCAGCCTCTCGGTTCTGCTCTAAGTCAGAGATTTCCTCTGGGAGTAGGGGAGGTGGGGGAGAGGGAGCGTGGCTCATTTGCCCGGCAGCACGCAGCCCTGCTTCATGAGGCAGAGGTGGCGATGGGGTTGAACTCAGAGGAAATGTGTTTTCCCTCACCAGACACATCTGGTACTCCAGGCGTTTCCGAGCCTCCTCACTGGGTTTCCGCTTCCGGAAGAACAGTGGCATCCTTCCCCTTTCCTGGAGCAATCTTCACAGCACTAGGGTATGGGAGAAAAGCGAGGGGAGTTTGTCACAGCCCCGCGGCACTCAGGACAGGTAACGCAGAGCATGCAGCTGATCTGTTGGGCTGTTCATTCCTTGAGGGCAGGGGCTGTGCTCATCTTGACCATCCCCCTGTGTCCTGAGCCAGGCCTGTGAGTGCTCAATACCAGTATGTGGTGGAAAGAGCACAATGGCAAGCCAGGCGACCACGATTTGGGCCACATTTGCCACAGGCCACTGCAAGACCTTGGCATACTTTTGCCCTGTTCTAGTTTCCCATCTCTCCCCCACGTTAGACAAGGGGGTGACCTCCAGAAGTTTCCTCAGGCCCTTTCTCATGCTGCTCTTTGAGGACTCTAACAAGCTGGCCTGATGAATCACTTCCAGCCTCTGAAACACTGTCACAGTGGCATTAGCAAATCAAACATGGCATGACATCAGCCAGCCATGACCTTGGGGAGCTCAACTACACCATAACCAAAGGGATTTTTTAAATAAAAATTTGAAAGCAATTCTTGGGTGCCTGACCACCCTCACAGTTATTGTTCCATGATTCTCACCACAGCCTTGTTTACCGTGATGGAACTGATTGATCAGCAACCTGGTTACACAGGCTGGATTGTAGCAAAACCAGTCTGGAATTCTCTTTGAAGTCCCGAGCCTGAGGAACTGCCCAGCTGTTAGCGCACACTAAGTACAGTCCTCAACTCAGAAGTCAGGAGCGCTCTGCCTGTGCAGGATTTGCAAATGTCAGCGCTCCATGTCGAACACTGATGGGCCAGGAAACGATCTAGAGAATCTTACCATTAGTAGCATGGGCTTTAGAATAATATAACTGGTTTGAAATCCCAGATCTAACATCCGTCAACCATGTCACCTTGGTTCACCTCTCTGAGCCTCAGTTTCCTTATCTGTCAAATGTGAGTAATAGTGTTACCAAAGCCTGGTTCTATGAGGATCCAGTGATCTCATATTTGTAAAGCCCATAGCATAGTACCTGGCACAGAATGAGCACTCAGTAAATGTTAGCCACGTACACCACATGTCTAACAAACATTTATTCGTGCCTCCTATAGTGCAAGGAGCTAGACACCCAGTCAGCAGGGGGAGGGGTAAAGATCACAGGTCTCTGCCCACAGGGGCGGGGGCTGTCTGGGGAGCCATCCACGGCGGTGGACCTCGTTCAGGCCCCTCTGGTCACCCACCCCACCTGCCTGCTGGGATGGAGCATGGCCTAAAAACAGCCCTCCCCCATCCTTCCCTGATGACCAGTTCTTACTCTTTTGCTCCCCAATTACTAAACTTCCCTCACCCCCCTCTCCACTTCCTCCACAATGACCATCCTTCCCTCCTCCCTCCCAGATCAGCTCTTCCCAACTTGCTCCCCATGTCCACCCCGCACCCATCCCCTCCCCCGACGTCCAGTCCAGATGGGAAGAACCACACCCATCCTCCCCTGGCTGGAGAGGGGATGCCCGACCTGGCTTTGGGGGTGGGCAGGTCCTCGACGTTCGAACCCGAAGGCAAACCGATCGGTCGTAGGGGTTGGTCACGGACGCCAGGTCGCAGACCACTGCCACGAACCCAGGTGCATCTGGAGACAGGTTTCCAAACGCCGGAGCCGGGGACGGAAACTCAGAATCTCAGAAAGTCACGCAGACCAGGATGACGAAGTATGAGACTCTGAGAACCGCAGAATCATAGAATTAAGGTTTAAAACGGATTTGGACCGGAACGAAATTGTTTTGGTAACTGAAATGAACACATCACGAGGGAATTAGAAGGGGGATCGGGGTCGCTGTGGACCTGAGGTCTTGAAGTGTGTGCAGACCTCTCAGGGGAGGGGCGGGGCTCCGGGATTAGGTGACAGAGATCATGGGGTGACCCTCATGATAAGGGAGAATGGGGACCAGGAAGGCAGGCATCTTGGGAGCAGCCCTCTCTTGTCTGCCTCCCCTGGGCGAACTGCCCTGAATCCCCTTCCGAGCCCCTAGTCGCAGCTCACCGCGGTGCCAGCTTCCTCCACTCGTCAGCCTCTGGCACCTGCCCACAAGCAACATGGTGGCAAGGGCGTCGCTGGGAGGTTGGGCGGAGACAGCGGTTCTCGCGACAGCCGCGTTTTCCTGCTTATATCCGGCGTGGCTGACAGGTCTTCCGGTCTTTCGGCTTTCGGCTCGGAGGAGGCGAAGGTGCAACTTTCTTCGGTCGTCCCGAATCCGGGTTCATCCGACACCAGCCGCCTCCACCATGCCGCCAAAGTTCGACCCCAACGAGATCAAAGTCGGTGCGTGTCTTAGATGTGGCCGCGGCCGCGGGATGGAGCATCCCTTCTCCCGGCAGCTCGTCGGGCCTGCGGCCCCTCCGCAGTTGTTGCCTTTTCCCACATCGCGCTTAAAAGCTGCTGCCTAGTAGAGGCCTTCCGGTGCCGCATTCAGGGCACTGTGAAGTCCTGGCTGAGTCGCTCACCCTTTCTGGGTCTGAGCTTGCCCACGTGTAAATGGGGAGGGAGGACCGGAAGACCTGTGGCGGCTTTGCAGCCCGCACGCCTTAGGGTAAGGTTTGTCTCCGAGCCCTTTCGCCCCTAGACTGGGTGGGCCGGCCGGGTCCAGGCCTCGGCAGCCGTGGCCGAGCCGAAGGTGGCTGGTCCCACGTGGTGCTTGGAGCGGTCTGCGCCCAAGGAAGGGCTGGCCCGCCTGCTTCTCCCTGAGGGTCTTGTGCCGTTCGGAGAAGAGGCAGAAGGCGGTGTGTGGCGTGGCCCGCCTCGGAAGGAGGCGGGAGAGGGCTCTGGCTGGAACTCCGCAGAGGCACTCACTGGTTTTTTTCCTCCCAGTGTACCTGCGGTGCACCGGCGGGGAAGTCGGTGCCACGTCTGCCCTGGCCCCCAAGATCGGCCCCCTGGGTCTGGTAAGTGGCTTTTGTGGAGGGGCGTTTCTAACATGGTCCTCAAACACGACTCCCGCGGAGACGCCACTGGCGCCATCCCCGACTAGACTCCTGGTTCGCTGGATCGGCCCTAAGTGCGGTAGAAAGAGAAAGGTTATTGTGAAAATGGAACCCAGTAACAATCTCCGCTGTCTCCTAACAGCTGCTTGGTGCACCCGAGGGAGGTGGAAGGAGCCAAGTGAGGGTTTTGAAGCCACGTGGCTAGTGACACTAAGCCTGTGTTTTCTAGTGAGGGAAGTGGCCATATTGCTGATAGGAGCATAAAACGGGATGTGGGTGAAAATTCTGGTGAATGTTATAATAGCTTGTGTTTCCTACTTGGCTCTAAACCTCCTGGTTACGATGACCAGCCTTATTTGGCTGCTTTTCCATTTTACCGAAATCGGGTTTTCCTAAATATCATCAGGCCTTTATTCCTTGCACCACTCCCACGTGCTGTCCCACCTCCGTCTTCTTTAAAATGTCTTACTACTCTCCTTGGCCCTTAGCTCAGCTGACACTCAGTGGACATCCATGTTTCTTAGCGATCCCTAGGAAATTCTGAAGTAGCACATGCTCAGACTGGCAGCTCCGTAGATTGCCTTGGACTGGCCTGACAGGAACCTGATAGCTTTAAAGATTTCCACGTGATTTGAATGTAACCCGGGTTGAAAGTTTCTTCTTGTACTATGACATAGGTCCTTAGGAGAGGGAAGATGGGTGAGGGACTCTGCCCCATTATGGCCCCGGGCTTGCAGCTTAAACGCTGAACAAACTGCCCCAGCCTCATTTTCCCAGTTTCTACTTCAGTGACGCCATGTCTTGATTGGCTAGGTACAGTTGTGTACTCTGTAAGAAAGTGGGGTACTGCCAAGTGAGGAAGGCGGGCAGGTTTTCAGGCTGCCTAAACTTTGGGCACAGTATGATTACATACCTTTATTTTCTACAGTCTCCAAAAAAGGTTGGTGATGACATCGCCAAAGCAACTGGTGACTGGAAGGGTCTGAGGATTACAGTGAAACTGACCATTCAGAACAGACAGGCCCAGGTATTTGGCGTGGGGAAGGGCTGGGGTAGCAACCCTCTGGGGTTCCTGGGTGGAAGGTTTTTGCTGACATGGCCACCTGCCACTAGTGGTGAGCAATTTTATTTGGGGAAGGCTTTTTCCAGAGCATGAATCAAAGACGTGCTCAAATATTAACTCTTGTCACTTGCGTGACTTTGGGGAAATCAGTTAATGTCTCCTAGGCTAGGACATTTTTTGGGTTATGAAAATAATTTTGAGAAAGTGGAGCAAATCTGGTGTCTGGCCTGTGGTCTCCAAGAACCAAATTGCATGGCAGTATTGTCTAAATTGGAGGGTCGGGTAGGGTTTATTCACATTAGGTTCTCTTCTGCAGATTGAGGTAGTGCCTTCTGCCTCTGCCCTGATCATCAAAGCTCTCAAAGAACCGCCACGAGACAGAAAGAAGCAAAAAAACAGTGAGTGGCCTTTCCCCTGGTAATCTGAGTGGTTTGTGAGTGGTGTTGTCTACAGAAATGCTTGATACGTAGCCGCGTGTTTTCTCTTCAGCGAAACCTAGGGATGGCACGGGGTTTTGATGGAGACAGCCAGGGTGAAGCAACTGACGGTGATGACTGGTAATTAGGAGAGCACTTCTGAGCTGGATAACAGACTGAACAGCTTAACTAACCCCAGTAACTTAAGGTGGTCTTTTGTCATCTCTGAAACAGTCTCTCAGTAAAGACTTGGTTTTGTCGTTAGCCACCCGCCACTGCACCTGACCAGTTCTCGGTTGGCTGGTGCAATCCAGTGGTGAGCTGACACTAAACCCCAGCTTAGGAAACAGGGTTGTTCTTCATGTGGATAACTCTGTGCCGAAAGCATGGGAACAGCCTAACAAGGGCTAAGGGGAGGACACGTAGACTGATCTGGCCTTGGGTTGTGATGAGGCTTTTGTTGTTTCTTTCTGCAGTTAAGCACAGTGGCAATATCACTTTTGATGAGATTGTCAACATTGCCCGACAGATGCGGCACCGATCTTTAGCTAGAGAACTCTCAGGTAAGAGCAGGACAACATGGAGCCACCTTGTGATATATGGGGCACGTTCACTGAATGGTAGCATTTTTCCCTCTAAAAGGAGATTTTTATTCTATAAGAACCAAAATTTGGGGTGTGGTGTCTTCTGGGTTTGCAAAAATGGCTCGATCATGGTGAAGATTTGTTCACACACATGGGCCCAGTGTGTTTAATCTGGGTATCGAGGATTCCGTGGAGACTGCACTGTGGGCTTACAGAACTAAATGGAGCTCTGAATTCTGAATTAGGGGAGTCAGTGGGGGGGGGGGGTGTTATTTCTCCTTGCTTACTGTCAAACTCAAAAGTATTTTCCAAATAGTATCTTAAGGGTTGTGAGGGGCTGACAGCACCATTTGATGCCACCTCTTCTGAATTTTAGGAACTATTAAAGAGATCCTGGGGACTGCCCAGTCTGTGGGCTGCAATGTCGATGGCCGCCACCCTCATGACATCATAGATGACATCAACAGCGGTGCAGTGGAATGCCCAGCTGTAAGTGACTTCTGCATCAATTTTGTTTGCTTAGCATCAGGGTGAAAGGTGGGGGAGCTAATGTATTCATAGAGATAAGTTGGAAAGTTCTAGAAATGGCCAGTAGTGGGGCTGAGAAATAAGATTTTTTTTTGTCCTATCACTGATAGGATTTCTTTTTTTCTTTCCCGCAGAGTTAAGACCTACAAAGGAAAAATATTTCAATTAAAGATCATTTGACAACCAATGGACTTTTGATGTGGCCTCTTCCCTGGGGGAGCTAGGTCCTTTGTGGTCAGGTGGTGGTTAGCGGGGCCAAAGTGGGCGAATCTGGAAGTAGCAATCTGGGCAGTAAGCTCCTTGTAGGTAACAGGTTTCTGCCCTTTATGGGACTAGCTCAGGATAGACATCTAGAAAGGAAATCTCGGTGCTTTTTGTAGAGACATTTGTAGAGCTTTTCATAAATAGTTCTTGGCCAGAAGGAAACTTGTAGTTCAGCGCAAATACATGGGGGGTGAAGTTCTTCATCTCAGACCAAGTTATTTGGTGGGTTGGGGCCCAGGGCCCATAATTCAAGGCTTTGATAGCCCAGTGCACAGCTGGGGTTTATTGATGGGGCAACAAAGAAACCTGACCTTTATCATGAGCCCTTGATTGATCCTGAGTTTATGTGTGAGGGTCGAGTATACTTCAAAGTTAGCTGTAGTCTAGCTCTACCAGTCCCCGAACCTGTTTGCTTTAAACCAGTAACAGACTGTCTTCTAAGGTATGTTTTCACATTTTCCCAAGTCTCTTCCTCAGTTTTCCTTCTATTTCTGTTGAACCACTTTTAGAGCTTATCACTCCTTTTCCCTTTATTAGACATGCGGTGAATGTACACCTGGGCACTGGGGCGAGCCACACCTGAGCAGCCTGAAGCGCCACTTCGAAGGAGAAGTGTTGTCTTCTCACTACCCTAAAGGGAGTTGGGAAAGATTGACCCAAGAACTCAATTTCCCAGCCATTAGTTGTTTCTTTGCTTTCCCGTTGATTTTTTAATAGGCCCTTTAGTAGGTGGCTTTCAGTCATCCCAGGTGCAATCAGGGTTGGAGAACAAACCACCCTTTAGTGGAAAGAGGAACGAAGGAGAAAGTATTCCAGGACATGTGTCAAGTCACCCAAAGAGGCCAAGCCAGAGGCCTTAGGGGGGGGGGTGATAATTGACACAAGCTTCTGTTACGGCAGATGACCAGTAATGGGGAGTCCGTCCCTGATGTCAAAAGCGTACCTAACCAAAAACCAGGGAAAGCACGCACCGAGATCATACCAGTCGGGTGTGAAGTTGGTATAAACGTCGAGGGTAGGACCCACGTTGGTATGAAGTAGAAAAGGAAATGGCTGTTTCCCAATGAGGGGAAAGAAATGAAGACCCACCTGCCTCTGACCCAGGGAAAGTATGACTCGTCATCAGGTTGCCCTTCCCTGTTAGGGTCTCCACAGACAAGGATGTGCCTTATGGAGAGAATTAAGTAACTTTGTCTAGATACCTTCAGCATCACTGACCCCTTCCCTAGAGACAAGCACTGGAACGGCTCATAAAGTGGACGTTGGGCATAGCAGTGTTCCCTCAGTTTCAGCTGTGTAGATTTTTGTGTATTGAGCATTAAGTAGTGACTCCTTTACCCACCCCCAAAGAGGTGGTAGCATTTCATGGTTGGCCCTAGAATCCCTTTCCCACTTGAATTTACTTCCTGAGATCAGATACCTGTTGAACCCATAAGAGAAATGCTCCTTCCTGGCCAGTATTCCTTTTCAGCAACAGTCATTCAAGGACAGAACCATTGCCAAAACCCCTAACCTCTAGTTTTCACAGATGTGACCACATCCTCATAAACAGCTTTCTGGAGTGCTTGTTACACGAACAGCACTTTGGCCCACTGAATATAGGTAAGTCTTGGGAGTTGAGTTGTTTAAGCTTACGGATGTTGAGAAAGAAAAGCTGAGGCCTTCACGTACAATATTGACTTTTTTAAAGGTGTAAAAACATGTGACTCTGGGATCCAAAGTCAGGTGTTTGCAGAGGCTTTCAAACTACCTGTCAGGTTCCCAGCTACTCTCCAGTGTGGAGTCTCTGGTGTCTAATGAAAGCTGAGCTACATCTGAAGGCCTTCCCACACTCTCTGCATTGGTAGGGTTTCACACCAGTGTGGATTCTCTGGTGCTGACTGAGGGATGAGCTCTGGTTAAACGCTTTGCCACACTCGTTGCATTCGTAGGGTTTTTCTCCAGTGTGAATGATATGATGGCGAATGAGGGCTGAGCTTTCACTGAAGACTTTCCCGCATTCGTTACATTTATATGGCTTCTCCCCGGTGTGGGTCTTTTGGTGGATTATAAGGTTCGTACTTTGGCTGAAGGCCTTCCCACACTCGCTGCACTTGTAGGGTTTCTCTCCAGTGTGAGTCCTCTGGTGGTTTGTGAGGTTTGCACTCTGGCTGAAGGCCTTCCCGCATGCATTACATTTGTAAGGTTTCTCTCCTGTGTGGATCCTCTGATGCTGAATGAAGGCAGCGCAGTAACTGAAGGCCTTCCCACACTCGCTGCACTTGTAGGGCTTCTCCCCTGTGTGAGTCCTCTGGTGGTTGGTGAGGTTGGCGCTGTGTCGGAAGGCCTTTCCGCAGTCGCTGCATTCATAGGGCTTCTCTCCAGTGTGAATCCTCTGATGCTGAACAAGGGCCGAGCAGTCGCTGAAAGCCTTCTCGCACTCAGTGCATTTGTAGGGCTTTTCTCCAGTATGAGTTCGCTGGTGTTTTGTGAGGTTTGCATTCTGGCTGAAGGCCCTTCCGCACTCGCTGCATTTATAAGGTTTCTCTCCAGTGTGAATCCTCTGGTGCTGAATGAGAGAGGAGCTCTGGCTGAAGGCCTTCCCACACTCATTGCACTCATAAGGCTTCTCCCCCGTGTGGCTCTTCTGATGCTGTGACAGGGAAGAACAGTAACTGAAGGCTTTGCCACATTCATTACATGTGTATGGTTTCGCTCTGTGAGATTTAATTATGTCTAAATTCTTCCTGAAGCTCTTTGTCTGTCTGTCACATTTATGGGGTCTCACTTCTATAGGAACTCCCTGTTGTGGAGAAAGGACTGGTCTCAGGTTGAAGCTCTTCCCCAGCTCACAGTTCCTATGATCTGACTCCCCAGGGGGCAGCTCCACCCTTGTGTCTTGGGATGGCTCTTCAGAAACATTTGGCTCTGGTGCCGATTCAGATACTGTCTTCCAGTCTGAAAAAAAAAATTAAGAAAGGCAATTTTAAAAATTCCTTTGGTTAAAGAAAAGATGCTACTAAAATACAAAAGGCTGAAGGAATTTGGCTGAGCTCCTAAGCAGACAGGTCTGGGGCTTCCTTTAACCTAGCACATTCCTGGTTTACATTTCTCTTCTAAACGGGGTAATGACTAAGATGACTTTTCAAGAGACATTAGTCCCCCTTCCCTAAACTGCAAAGGGATGAATTTACCCATATCCCCCACCTCAGATGCAATACTCCTTTTCCGTGTACTGGGTCACCTCACGCTGTCGTCTTAGTCTCAGAATTCTCAGTATGGTTTGGGTAATCTGCTTACCAGGTTTAAATAATTCACTTTAAAAAGCTGATGAACATGGAGCAGTATCAAATTTTTCACTTTTTAAATTCAAGATTTCAAAAAATGGTTTAATTCCAGAGTTGGTAAGAGTGCAGCACCACAGGATCATCTCACACACTGGCATGGCTGCATAAATGGGGACCCTCTTGACACGGCTGCACAAGTCAGGAGTCTTTACATTTTTGACCTCAGAATTCTACTTGTAAGAATTCATCCTAAGGAAGCACTGAGAAATTACACAAAGCTGTGATGACAGGTGCTCATCACAACATGTCAAAGGAAAAGGACACACCTGAATATAGGATCATGAGGGGGGATGACCACAGCACAGCCAACTAAGGAACTATTAGCAATGGAAAGCCATGGAATTCATGGCTTTCACGGAATTCATGCACTATGACTCCTTTTATAGAAAGACACTGGAAAGATGATATATGAGTCTTAAGATGTATTGTCTTTGGGTTGTGGGATCAGGGACAATTACCCTTACCTTGGATGCTTATCTGTATTTTCTAGTGTTCTCCAATGACAGTATTAATTTATAGTATGTTATAAAAACTTTGCCTTCAAAGAATATGCAGTGATAGAAATACTGCTAAGTGAAGAAGGAATATGTAAAATCATACGCTACTGTGTTTTGTGATATGAATACAGTTTACTTCTGGTAGAATGAGAGAGGGGACCTTGATCTTTTAATTCTTTTCTAAATTGAACTGAACCGGCATTATTTTTAGTAGAATGAATATTTTCTTAAGAGTCAGTGATTTCTTAACATTTATTTTTATAGTTGATTTACATTACTACATTAGTTTCAGGTGTACAACATAGTGGCGCAACACTTACATACCTTACAAAGTGATTGTCACAAAAAGTCTAATAACCATCTGTTAACCATGTAGTTACTGACTATTCCCTTTTCCATACTTTACATCCCAGTGATGTATTTTATAACTTGAAGTTTGTACTTCTTATTCCCCTTCCCCCTTCATGGCCTCCCCTCCGGCAACCATCAGTTTGTGCTCTGTATCTATGAGTTTGTTACATTTTGTTGGTTCATTTGTTTAATGTTTTAGATTACACATAAAAGTGAAATCAATTGGTATTTGTCTTTCTCTGACTTTTTTCACTCAACATACTACTTTCTAGGTCCATTTGTATCCTTGGAAACGACACGGTGTTTTTTTTAACGGCTGAGTAATATTCCATGGTATATATGTACATCTTCACCTGTTCATCTCTCATGGATAATTTTTGCTGGATATATTCTTGGCTAGCGGTTTCTTTCAATATTTTAAATATATCATTCCACTCTCTCCTGGCCTGTAGGGTTACTGAGAAATCTGAGGATAATGTGGTAAGTTTTCCTTTGTAGGTTGCTGTCCTTTTTCCCCTTGGGAATTCTTTACCACTAATAAATCTGACAGTTTTAATGTATCTTGGAGGTCTTTTTGCATTGATATAATTTCATAATCTTTTAGTAGCTTCTCATACTAGATTGTGCAGTTCTCTCCTAGGTTTGTGAGGTTCTTACCTCCTTATTTATTTATTCTTTAAGTAAGTTTTCTGTTCCCTTCTCTCTGACACCCATTGTCCTAATGTTGGTCTTTCTACTGGAGCCAGTTCTTGTAGTTTTTAAAACTCAGTTCTCTTCAATCTGAATCATTCCCATATTTTTATTTCCAGGTTCACCGATTCTCTCTAGCATCTGGTCTACTCTGTTTCCAGTGCTTTTAAAATATATTTCTCATAGAGTTTAGTTCTTTTTTATAGTTTTGATCTCTTTGGTAAAGTATTCCTTTTGTTCATTAATTTTATTTCTGATTTTGCTGAAGTGCCTCTGAGTTTTCTTGTATCTTGAGTTTCATGACAGAAACCTTAAAATGATAAGTCTTCCATAGTTTTCAGATTGGTTTCTAGACACTTGGAAGTTACTGTTACTTTGGCTGTTCGTGGTATTTGATGAATTGTTCCTCTGCTTGCGCATTTGAGATAGTGGTCTCTTCTTATTTAGATACTGTTTGATCTTAAGGATTTGTTCAGTGGGTTGATAATTTGAGGTCTTTGCCATTAGAAGGTGAGACATAGGTGAAACTGAGTAATGAGTAAATGTAAGTTCTCATTTTTTGCTTATCTATGCTACTTGTGCTTCAGGGGGTCATGGTAGGTGTCCCCACTGTGTCTGGGTGGCCTCAGGTGGGGGAAAGAGCTGGGTTCGCAGACTTGCAGGGCTGCCTCTTTGTTCCTAACAGCCACCAGCACTGCTGTGCTGTTAGACACATTTGTGTGCTACTTGGCTCTGCTGCAGTAGGGGGTGGGGGCAGGGAGCCAGATTCATGGATACTACCAATGTTGTTTCTGCTGGGCTACAGTGTGTATATGTATGTGTGTGTGTGGGGGGGCACACCCCAACAACTATGCTGCTGTGTTAGGTAGGACTGCTGAACTGCATCTGTAGACACTGACCCTGTCCTTCCTCCCATCCTGCCTTCAGCTGTACCAGTGCACAGACATCTCAGACATGTTTGTGTTGAGGAGAGGAACCTTTGTTGGATTACAGATATCTGTCTGACTTGTAAATTTAAGGGGAGATACAAATAAATCTCCATACTCTGCCATGACACTGACATCACCTGTTTTTTTAGGCTGGTTTAGCTTTTGCTTGTCTAGGAAACTAGACTTCAATTCTAAACGATAAACTTGCTAGATAGAGTACTGGTTTTCTCTCCCCCTTTCCACATTTCAAATATACTGCACCATTCCCTTTTGGCCTGCAAAATTTCTGAAAAGTCAACTGGTAAGTGTTGCAGGGGCTCCTTTGTCAGTAACTAACTGCTTTTAAAATTCTCTCTTTAACTTTGGCATTTTAATTATGATGTGTGGGTGTCAGCTTCTTTGGATTCATCTTGTTTGGGACTGCTTCCTAGCCTTGATGTTTGTTTCCTTCACCAGGTTGGGGAACTTTTCAGTCATTTCTTTAAATAGGTTTCTCTTTCTCTTCTCCTGAGACCACTATGATTTGAATGTTGGTACAGCTGATGTTGTCCTATAGGTCCCTAAAACTCTTTTTATCATTATTTTTGCTGTTCCGATTGAGTGATTTCCACTAACTTGTCTTCCAGCTCATTCTTTTGTAACAACAAATCTGCTGTTGTTTTCCGCTAGTGTATTCTTCATTTCAGTTACCTATCAATTCTCATTGGTTTATTGTATTTCCTATCTGTTAAAATTTTTAGTTCATGTGTTATTCTCCCAGGTTCATTGACCATCCTTATAAACAGTGTTTTGAACTCTTATTTTGGGAGATTCTTCATCCTGTTTAGTTCTTTTCCTGGGATTTTGTCTTGTTCTTTCATTTGGAACATTTCTCCGGCTCCTTGTTTTGGCTGTCTCTGTGTTTATTTCTACAAATTAGGCAAAACAGCAACTTCTTTATATCTGGAAAGAGTGGCCTTACATAGGAACTTTCTTTCCCTTTGTATAAACTGTTTGGTAGGTCAGCTGAAGTTGGAGGCGGCATGGGACACAGGAAGACCAGGGGCAAAGAGTGCTGGGGCCACTTTGGCAGCCTGGTTGAGGCTGTGTGGATCCTGTGGGCACACCTCGCCTGGGCCACCTTTGCAGATTTGCTAGTGCTCTAGTTGGAGCCATTTTAGGCCACAGAGAGTCCCAGGGCCAAGTCTCATTGGGGTTGCTGGTGGGTTGGCTGGAGCTATAGCTGGAGTGGGCTCTGGCTGCAGAGTGCCCCAGGGACAGGCTGTGTTGGAGCCACCTTGGCAGGAGCTGTAGCTGGAGAGGCTTTTTCTGAAGGGAGTCCAGGGGCAAGCCACAGCGAGACTTGGCGCTTCAGTGGTAGCCGGTGTGAGCCACAAGGAGTCCTGAGGGCAAGCTGTGCTGGGACCACCTTGGCAGATCAGTTGGAATGGGATCAGGCCACGAGGTGTCCAGGGGTCAACCTACTCTGGGGCCTGCAGCTGTTGTTGGAGCAGATGTGAGTCGCCAAAACCGTGGAAGTCAAGCTGGAAGTCATAGCAGGCCACAAGGAATCCCAGGGTAAGCTGTGCAGCATGCAGACCTGGAGCTATAACTGGAGCAGCTGCAGGCTGTGGGGAGTTCTGGGCACAAGCCATGGAGCTGAGCTGGTTTGGGCCCTGAGCCTGGTGTGCACTTGATGGCCTTGGTGGGCTGGTTTGAGTGCCTGGATTGTGCTCCTGTCCGTGTGATCCAGGAGGAGTGGGAGGTCAACAAACCTGGTAGTTCCCCTCCCATTTGCACGTTGCTCTAGGGTTATTTAGTCAATGGATTTCCTTCCCGTGTAGGTTAGGTGCCCTTTAAACCACTCTTGTTTTTTCCCACCGTTCCCCAGGAAGGGCACATCTGCAAGCAGGCCCTTCAGTGATCCTTCCCTGTAGTGCAGGCAGTGCGCTGGGAGCGGGGTTCCCAGAGTACCATGTCTTAGTCTTCTACCCCTTTCTGTGTGGCCTCTCATTTCTTGTGCAGAAGCTGTCCAGTCAGCTCTCAGTTCTCTGGGGAATTGCTCTGGCTGTGGATATAAATTCAATGTGTTGTGGGTGGAGTTGAGTTCAAGATCTTCTATACCGCCATCTTGGACTGGAAGCCCAAGAATTAATGTGTATTTGCAAGTATTAAAACTAAGTTGAAGCATAAGGTCCCAGACACGTCTGCTTTCTACATCGGGGTTTGTAGGTAAGGGAGTAGAACTTAATTTACAGATGGCTATGGAGTTTTCCTTTCAGTTTAACCAAAGAGATTCTTTTCATTTCTGCATTATATCTCAGAATGGGGAATAGCAGGGTTAGTTCTAGGTACCCTTAGTTTCAGTTTGTATACAGAATCTTGACCCAGACTGTCTGGGTTCAGATCATGGTTCCACCTCTTATTAGCTGTGTGACTTTGGACAAATTACTTAATTTTTATATGCTTTGGACTTAATGCTCTCTCATGCAGCATTGTTGTGAGGATTATGGAGAGTTAAGGCACATAATGAACCCAGAATGGTACCTGAGGAATAATCTGTTTTATGAGTGCTTATTATCACCTTGGACATTTTCCTTGTAATCATCTTAAACAGCTTGACATTAAGCAGGTGTCCTTCTAATGTGCACATGTGTATTAACACCCAATCTAGTGTGAGCAGAGTCCCCATTTCTGGTTGAGAGAATCTCTGTATTTGATCACATAGGACTTTGAGCATCTGAGTAAAACATGGCAAAGAGAGGGAAAGTGACAGGAAAAGGAGCAATTCAGAAGATCATGTGATGTTCAGGTGCCACATCCTGTGTAATGTTGTCTAATGACACCCCAAACCAAATATACCAGAACAGAACTGATGTTCCCTGGTAAGCCAGTGTCTTTGTCAGTTTCCCCATTCACCCGAGTTTTCGGGCCAGGGTCATCCTAAATGCCTTGTGCCCTTACACCTAATTCACTACCAAGTCCTTTTTGCTTTAACATGCAAACTTCCTGAATCATCCTTACCACTCACCATCATCTCACTGGAATCTGTCTGCAACAGATTCTTAGCTGATCTCCCGCTTCTATTCTTCAACCCTGAAAGTGTAGTCTTCACATATCTGCTGAGTTATCTTTTAAAACAAATCCAGTATTGTCCCTTCCCTGCTCAAAACCCTCAATGACTTACTATCTCTTTCTTTGTGTAAAATGTAAATCCCTTATCATGGGCCTCCAGAGCCTCCCGTGATCTGGCCTTTGCCTATTACTCTTCCTGTTGGTCACTGAGCTCTAGGGTCTCCCAGTCCCAACAGAAGCCAGGCTCATCCCCAACTTAAACCCTCAGTTCAGGCTGTGGTGCAGAAGGTTTCTCGCCCAGATACTGGGTTGGCCAAAAAGTTCGTTTAGTTTTTTCTGTACGATGGCTCTAGTTGTCTTTAACTTCATTCAAAACAACTGTGTTAGATTATATTATGACAGATGTCGTAAGTGTGGATTTAAAAAAACATCAAAATGGGTGAATTTTTGTGCAGCCATTTTAATATTGAAGAGGGAAGAGAACATGCAACATTTTCAGCATATTATGCTTTATTATTTCAAGGAAGGTAAAAACGCAACAGAAACGCAAGAAAATATTTGTGCAGTGTATGGAGAAGGTGCTGTGACTGATGGAACATGTCAGAAGTGGTTTGTGAAATTTCTTGGTACTATAGACATTTTGGCCAAATAATTATTTACTGTGGGGCTGTCTTATGCATTGGAAGATGTTTATTAGCACCCCTGGCCTCCACCCACTAGAAGCCAATAGTGGGATATGGCCAACATACTCAAAATATCCAGATCAATATAGTTACTGGTGAAATGAAAAATGTGTCTTTTATGGAAAAAAAACTAAACAGGCTTCTTGGACAAGCCAGTACTTACACGGCTGGTTCATTCTCTTCCTTCAGATCCCACGGCTGGTTCACTCTCTTCCTTCAGATCTCACCTCCTCCAAGTGGTCTTTCCTATTATTCATCTGATTTAAAATAGCCCCCACCCCATCCATGTTCCCAGGCTCACCTCTGTACCCCCCAGTCACTGTTCCCTTATCAAATGCATTTATGTGGGTTTCAAAGGGGCTTTTGCTCCCAAGACTCTGACTGGCTTAGTGCTTGCCCACTTACCTGGACAGGTACTCCTTAGGCCTTCTCCCTCCAGCATCCATGGGCTTTCCCTTTGTTCTAACTGGGAGTTCATGCCAGGCTGGGGAACTGGAAGTCCTATTAGAGAAAAATGGGCTTTAGAGATTTGTCCTAACAGCTACCCAGAACTCAGGGGAGTGGAAACAGGTCAGAGGCCATTAATTATTGAGCACTTACGTGGTGCCGGGCACTAGGGAATACAATAGTAAGACACATGGTGCCAATGCCTTGGTTAAGCAACTCTGGAAGGAGCTAACAAAACAGCCTCAGCTCTAGCAGCCATGGCTGTGCGCTACCCTATGGCCATGGTCTCCACAAGGGCCACAATGTGACCAAGAATACACGCAAACCCAGGCACAGCTACCACCACAGGCACCTCACCAAGCCCACCCAAGTCTGGGCAGGACATGGACTGAGAGGTGTGTTTCCCGCTATGAGCAGGGTGCCATGGTGCTGCTCAAGGTCTCTTAAGGACAAGGGAACCCTGAAATTCATCAAGAAAAAGGTGGAGACACACATCCATGCCAAGAGGAGAGGAGCTGAGCAATGTCCTTGCAGCCATGAGGAAGGACTGAGCCCCATCCTCTCTGTGTGTAATAAAACCTATTCAGGAAAAAAGAAGAAACAGCCTCAAGGAGGAGGTCAAGCCAAGGAGTCCAGTTAAGCTCACAAGTGAGCTACTTAGGAAGGTGGGAAATTAGTAACTGGGGGGGTGGGGGGGTGGACGACTAGCCTGGAGGTTACTCCAACCCTCCTGGGAAAAGAGAAAGTGGTGAGGTATAGCCTCAGGAGAGGGCAATGATAATGCCTACTTCCAACCAAGAATGCAGACAGACCTCTTCCAATAGGGAACAAGGAGAGGACACTGTCTCTCCAGGGAGTGTCAGCAATTTGGGATCACTCAACACGTTTTCAGAATTGAGCAGATTCTGTATTAAATGGTTTCCTTACCCAGTAGGACCAAGTTCCTGGACTTTTCTGGTGTCTCCTTGAACCTGCCCCTTGGAGCAGGGACCGAGCGCCTCCAGTCTTTGGGGGGGGGGAAGCTACACTCACATTGCCAAAGGGTGTGGATCTCTGAAATGACAAGCACATTTCTTGCCCAGTAACATCAAGAGAAGTGGTGGAGAAGAGTGGGGTGGTTCTGGGTGTTGGGTAGTTCTAGAAAAGTACTTTATGCCTAAGTGTACTGGCTAGTGACACAGAAAGAAATAACAGTCTTGCCTTCACATTTGTAATTCTGTTTGTAATAGATTACATATATAAATAGACAATATGTGTATATACATAAACAGTAATTGGACAGAAAATAACAGCTGCTTGGGAATTTAAGAAAAAACAAAATTAGAATGAGTGTTTACCCAATGAGGAATCAGGTGCAAATTAGCCAACAAATGTAAAAGCTGAGTGTTTTCAGAACATTTAATAAATATCCCTGTTAACTCACACATCACACATACAGCACGAGGGCCAGGCACATACACAACCCCCTAATTTGTCAAAGACATGGACAGACCAGTTCAGAAGATAATGGCAGAGGAATCCTGGGTCGGGGGCTGGGGGAGGACAATCGGGGAAGACCACAGGGAGAAGCAATCACTGAGCTGGCCCTGTAGAAGGTAGCTCAGAAGGAGCAAGAGAAAGGTACTGGCCAAAGGCAGGGGAAGTACCATGAGCAAAGGCAAGAAAGTCTGCCTCTGTTCAGCCCAGGGCTATCTCCCTTCACCTAGTTGGCCACCCAGAAACCTGGGTGTTACCCTTCCCTTTCCTGTAGCTCCCCACAAATCAAGTGCCCATTCATTCTTCCTGCTCAGTATCACCCACTGTGTGTGCCTTGTAAATTTTCAGGTTTTCTACAATGAACATGAATTCCTTTTGTAATTAACAAGAAAACCCCTTAGTATTAACATAGTAAGAAAGGATGCCTCTCAGGGTAAATTTCCAACTTACATGTGGCCCAGCTCTGAGAATACCAGCCACCATTCCTTCCTCTCCTGTGCCTTCCTCTGGGGAAGGGGTAGGGTCTGGAGAAGGTGGTTCTGGAGGGAGAGAAAGACATCTATGAGGCATAAGTTTGCAGCTCACCAGGTAGAAAGTCTCCCACTCTTACTCTCGGGGGTTTAAAGGACGCTGGAAGTTTCAGGGCACCGGGGCTTAACCTGCAGACTCACAGAGGGCTGTGAGTCCCCCAGGCTCTCCTCCTCCCTTGGGAACCCCATCAGTTCAGTCAGCCGTACAGAGGCACTAGAGTATAACAGACCCTCAAGGGTCCCAGATGCACCGCTTGCCAGTGGTGTGCAAATCACGGGACCCCTCTGGGCATCACTTCTCTCATCTCTAAAACGAGGGACAATAATCCCTTGTGAAGTTGTTGTTCTGAAGGATAAAGGAAAATGCAGATAAAGCCGTTGGCACAATGCCTAGCAAGTGAGTATATGATTTACAAATAGTACCTATTAGTTCTTTGGAGAAAGTGGCTCTGCAAACTTAAGACATTGGCCTAATCAAAAGGAGGGGTATATGATCAAGTGGGATCCATCCCAGGACCACAGGCTGGTTCAACATATAAAAATCTATCTACATAATACACCGTATTAATACAAAACATGGGGGGGAACCCCACTATCATCTCAATAAACGCCCAAACGACCATTCTATAAAATACGACACTTTTTCATGACAAAACGCTCAATAAACTAGGAACAGAAGGGAACTTCTTGCACTTGAGAAAAGGCATCCGTGGAAAGCCCAGGGCTGGCTCAATGGTGAAAGCCTGATGCTGCTTTCCCCGTAAAGGTCAGAAACAAGACAAAGGCGTCTGGTCTCACCACTTCTATCCAGTGTTTTACTGGAAGTTCTAGCCAGGGCAACTAGGCAAGGATAATTTAAAAGAGAAAGGCATCTAAATTGGAAAGGAAGAAAAAAACTATATTCATGATTTCACAAAACAGAAAATCTCAATGAATCCACAAACTATCACAGATAAGTTCATCAAGGTTGCAAGATACATGATGAATATGCAATGACGAGACACCTCACTTAAAGGTGGGCAAAAGATTTGAATAGACGTTTCTCCAGGTGTATTTCTCATTACTAGCAAAGAACAATCCAAAAATGAAATTTAAAACACTTCTATTTTAAAAAATACCTCTATTTACAAGTGCATTAAAAGGATGAACTACCTAGGAATAAAAACAAAAGTGCACGACATGTACACTAAAACTATCAAACACTGTTGGGTTAGTGCAATTCCTACTGAAATCCCAGCTGGCCTTTTATTTTACAGAAATTTATAGACTGATCCTAAAATTCATATGGAAATGCAAGAGACCCAGAAACAAACAATTTGGAATAAAAACTAAGAACTAAGTTGAAGGACTCAACCATAGTATCAATACTTTCTACAAAACAGTAATTAAAATAGTGTGGTACTGACATAAGGATAGACATACACATCAGTGGAAAAGAACTGAGAGTCCGGAAACAAACACTTATGAACAATTGATTTTCAAAAAGAGTACCAAGAAGTTAAATGGGAAGGAATGGTCTTTTAAAAAAATGCTGTTGGGACAAGTGGACATGCACAAAGAAAAAAACCCAAAAACCGAAGTTAGACTCCTACCTTGCACTGCAAATAAAAATGAACTCAAAATAGATCAAAGATGGAAAGTAAAAGCTAAAATCCCTAAAAGAAAACATTGTATTCGTTTTTATGACTTCTAATGGGCAATCGTTTCTTAGATATGGCACCAGAAGCACAAACAACAAAAGCAAAAATAAATTGGATTTCATCAAAATTAAAAGGTCCATGCTTCAAGGGACACTATAAAGTGAAAAGATAATCACAGAATGGGGAAAAATATCTGCAAATCATAAACCTTCTGAGGGTCCAACATCCAGAATATATAAAGAATTCTTACAACTCAGCAATAAAAAGAAAACCCAATTTCAGGATTGGCAGAGGGTTTGAATAGATTATTTCTCCAATCAAGATATACAAATAGCCAAAAAGTGCACGAAGAGATGCTCAATATCATTAATCATTGGACAAATGCACATTAAACCGTAATGAGGTACCACTTCATACACTACTAGATGGCTAAAATAAAAAAAAAAAGATGGAAAACAAGTGCTGATGAGGATGTAGAGAAACTGGAACAATCAAACATTGCTACTGGGAATGTAAAACTATGTGGTCACTGTGAAAACCAGTTAACAGTCACCATATGACACAGCAATTCCTCTGCACACAAAAACTGGTGCACATGTGTTCACAGCTTTATTCACGACAGCCCGAACTGGAAACCACCCAAATGCCCATCATCCCAGGAACAGATAAAACGTGGTATATCCATATAATAGAATATTATTTGACCATAAAAAGAAATGAGGCACATTCATTCATGTTACAACATTATGCTAAGTGAAAGAAGTCAGACACATATATTGTATTATTCTGTTTTTATGAAATGTCCAGAATGGGCAACTCTAGAGGGACAAAAGTAGATCTGTGGTTGCCAGGGACTAAGGGGGGAAGAGAGAATGGTTGTGTATGGGTTACTTCTGGGGGTGGTGAAAATGTTCTAGAATTTAATAGTGGAGATGGTTGTAGAACTGTGGAAGTGTACTAAACGCCACAGAGTTGTATACTTTAAAGTTGGACATTACAGTATATGAATTATATCTCAATTAAAAAAATAGCAGAGGTAGTACAGTCCTCAGAAAAAGAAGTTACAAGGTCTGGATCCAGGTCTTAGCACAGACCTTACGTTAGTGAGTTGCACCTAATTCCCGTGTCTTCTTTTCCTCCTTGGAGAGGATGACAACCTCCCGCCTGCCTTCTCGGGCCGCTGGGGAAGGCAACAGGAAACGCTGGATGTCACACCGGAGTTGCTGACCCAGACAGGGTCTCCCCGATCCAGGGGAGGGTGGCGCAGGCCTCAGTGGTTAAGATTAAACGCTCGTTTGTTCTCTTCTGCAAAGCACTACTGTCTCAGAATCTATTCTCAGTGAGTCAGCCCCAAAGACCAGGTAAAGTAACGCTACTTTATTGGATACTTCCAGTTCCTAGCGATAGACGAGGTACTTTACCTTACCCTTCGTTATTTTACCCTTTCCTCCCTGAAGAAACGCTGGTTAAGAGGCCTGGCAGTACCCGCAGCTAAAACAGGACTCCTGGCTTTCCGACTCCAGTTCCCAAGACCTCCGCGACTTCACGGCCCAGCTGGGATGAGCCGGCCCTCGTCCCAGGCGGAGCCAACAGGCTCCAGTGGCCCTGCGTCCCCGGCTGCTTCAGGGGCTGGGAGGTCCGAAGCGAGAGGGGAGGCCCTGAGCACGCCCCGTTTCCCTCCCCGGGCCCCATTCTCTGGCGGCCCATCCAGCAGACTGTCCTAAGGGGCTGGATGCTCAGAGATTATCCAGGGCTGGGCTTCTTACACTTTTTTTGACCCCGAGATTTCTAATTCGAGTAAGACCGTTCCCAACTGGAAAGGATGGCCGCCGGGTTCTGGTCCGGTCGCAGAGCAGGAACCAGGAGCCGGACCTCCTGCACCCGCTCCCGCCACCCCTCCTCACCTTCCTCCGGCATCGGGGTCTCAGCAGGGGACACCGCCTCCCAGTTCTCTGGGCGTCAGCGTCGCCTCACGGCGGCCCCAGCCCCGCTCTGCAGGCCTGCTCCGACCGCGGACTCCTCTTCTCTGCGGCCTCTGCCCCAAGAGGCCGGGTCGCACTCAGTCTCCCAGGCACAGCCAGGCCGCGGCTAGGGGGCCCGAGGTGCAACCGACAACTCGGTCTCCACCAGGACACGGCGTGAAAAGTCGCCGACGACCACCTGAGAGGGCTGCCGGGTACCAAGTGCCGGCGCGAGCTGAGAAACTGCGGCCTCAGATGCTACCACACGCCCTGTTCTGCTCCCGCGCGCAAGGGGACGCGTCTAAATAGCGTCACTTTCGGTCATGCGCGCATGCCTCCCGGCCCCACCGGACTCTATTCCCCAGAAATCTCCGGGCTCTCTGCCTGGCCAAAGCCTTTTTCCTCACCCGGTGCCAGTTTGTGACCCGCACACCCTCGGGAACCGTGCTTCCTAGTGAGCTTCCGCCAGTGCAGGCTCCCAGAGTCGACTTCCCATCGTGCTACGTTCTTCAGGACCGCCCGAGTCCGACGGCTGCGGCCTCTGCGACGGGAAGCGGCTTGGCGCGAAGGATCCCGGGAGTGGTAGTTTTGGCGCCGGCGCAGGTCTACGCTGGTGCTGGGCTTCCGATTTCAGAGCAGCGCGGGGGCGAGGGTCTTTTCCTTCCGGAGACGTCAGCTCAGGCCCATCCCCAGCCACTTTCACGGTCCTCTGGAGCACTACTGGGAGTGTGGGAAACGTAAAGGAAACGAGCCCCGCAGTGTGACAGGCTGCCGCGGGTTGGCGGCCCCGAATTCTCAAAGTCTAAAATCTGTCAGCAGGAGGGAGCTTGTTTAGTACTTTCAGGGCCAGAGGCACACTTGGAGCGTGTGTAATCAGTACTATCGCGAGAGGAGATTCTTGAACATTGTGCACCTTGGAGGCTTCCCTGCTGCACTAGGCGATATTTCAATGGGCTTCCTCAGAGCATTGATGACAATTCACTATCCAAGCAACTTTTCGGACAACCAGTTCAGTTTCAGAGGCATTTTGACCTTAAGATGATAGGAATGCAGCCACCTGGATAGCAGAGACGGGCGTGAGGGGTCCTAAGGTCTCTTTTCATGTTGTACTGCCTCTGTCCCTTTCAGGCTCAGCTGGTGGCGTTTTTGCCAGTATAATTCTCTTTGTGGGTCTTCTGCGCATCTTACTGAGATTAACTCCATTAGGCAAGTCACACCCATAGACCCCTTTGAGGTAAAGCCTTCTCTACTTTGGGCTTCTGATGGATCTCATGGGGCTAAGATCAAGGTGTTAGGCGGCTTATAGTCCTTTTGGAGGCTCTAGGGGAGTTAACCTGTTTCCTTGCCTCTTCCTGTCCAGAGGCTGCCTGCATTCCGTGACTTTGGACCTTTTCCAGCTCCTGCGGCTCTGCTCGCAGCCACAGGCCCAACGGGTGCTAACCCCAGACTGGCCACTAAGTGGTAGCAGAGGGTTTCCTGCCTTCGTATTGCAATCCTACCCATGGCCACTGGAAGGTAGCCGAGTGCTTCAAGCTTCAGCTGATGCAATTCCATCTGTGGCCACTGAGTGTTGTTAGGGCAGTCCTTGCCTCAGGTTTGCAGAAGCCAGGATTCTTCTGGAAGCTTTTCGGGATGGGGGTGGGGATGGGAGATGGAGTATTGGTGGGCAGTGTAGATTTCTACCCTGTTATCTGGGTAAAGCACAGCTTCTGCTGCATCTCTCTTCTGGGAATGTCCTACCCTATCCCTCTTCTCCATGGTCCTGTGTCTCCTCCTGGTGGGCTGGGCTCCTGGGGCAAACACAGGACGCCAGCTGGGGCTGATTCTTGGTCCCTGAAGCATCCTGTGCTCTGATGGGAAGGCCCCCAGGGAGAGTCTAAGAGGACCTCTGAAGAGCATGTCTGTCCACAGTTTTTGGCACCTCTAAGTGGGTGCTGGTAGCAATCAGAAGGTAGTGTGGGTAGGAGTTGCTAAGGGACTTGGGTAGGAAATAGAATATAATGAGAAAAATGGGTAAAGGTTTCAAATGTCCCTTTCAGAGGCACACCATGGACCTCACAGCAGCCTTGTACATAGCTCCCCATCCCCACCACAGCCTCGCCACCACCAGCTAACACTTGTTCTATGACATCCTCAGTTCTAAGTGCTTTACCTAATTATCTCCTTCCATCCTCACAACAATCCTATGAGGAAGATAACACCACTATGCCCATTTCGCCGATAAATAAACAGACCTGGAGAGGTTAAGCGACTTGTCCAGGTCACATAAACAGTAAGTAATACAGCCAGAATTTGACCAAGTCCACTGGTGCTGACTCACCAACCTGCCGTGGCGCCTGGCCCCTGGATGACAGAGGAAAGACGCCAGGGTAGGGCTGAAGCTGCATGAGGTTTCCCTTGCCCACAAGTTGAATGATCTCTGCAGCTGGGGTAGGGGGGTGACCATCCCCCTGCCTTCCTTCGCCAACTCCCATCTGCACAAGCAGGAGCTGGAAGCAGCCTCTGCCTAAAGCTCCCTGTCAAGAAGTTTGCAGTGCAAAGACCCGTCTCCTCTAAGGTGTCTCAGTGGGTGGCCTGTCACATTGAGCTAATTGGGGACGTGCTTTGCACGGGTGCCAAGGCTGCCCGTCATTAGCCACCTGATGTGCGCCTGAACCTGTCTTGAAGGTCCTGCTCCTGGTCTTCGGGGCTGACTCACTGAGAATAGATTCTGAGACAGTAAGGAGTAGGCCCCTCTCAGACACAGCCAGTGTGTAACCTTCTGGGGTGCAGTCTAACAGGACGGAACAATAGTTTTAATGATGCACAACTCCTTTGACCGGCAGTTATGCCTCTAAGATTTAATCCTATGCCTGTGCAAGGTCTGTCTCTAGCTCTCTCCCCGCCAACCACTCCCTCATGTCCATCTCCGTCATCTCCCTCATCACCAGAACCTGCTTCAGTTTTCTAGGGCTAATAGAACACAGACCACAAACTGAGTGGCTCCAGCAACAGCGGTTTATTTCCTCACAGTTCTGGAAGCTGAAAGTCCAAGAACAAGGTGTTGGCTGGGTTGGTTTCTGCTAAGGGTTCTCTCCTTGCCTTGCAAACGGCCATCTTCACCTTGTCTTCACGTGGCCTTCCCTGTGTGTCTGTGTCCTAATCCCCTCTTCTTATAAGGACAGAAGTCACATTGGATTAGGACCCACCCTTACGACCTCATTTTTACCTGTTACCTCTTTACAGGCCCTATCTCTGTAAGTCACATTAGGAGGTACTGGGGTTAAGACTTCAACACATGAATTTTAGGGGAACACAATTCATTCCCATAACATCTCTGTCTTTATCTGTACTTCGACCATCACCGCCACCTCCATCTCTACAGGTTACCTCCATCGCTACCTTCTATCTCATCTTTGTCACTGTCAGCTTTCTCCTTATCGTTCTCATTTATTCTCTCCTCTCTTTATCAACTCTCCCATCTCTCCTCTATCTCACCTGTCATCGCTCCTCTCTCTTATCTCCCTCAATGGTTTCTCTCATTTCTTTCTCTAGATCTGTATCTATATAATAGCAGACTTATCAATGAGCAGAAAAGTGGAAACAATCTGAATGTGGAACAATGTGAGGTTGATTTAAGTTCTAACATAATTGTAAATTCACCAACTATTTGAGCACCTACTGTTTGCCACACCCCATGACTCCACTGACAAACAAATACATCATTAAAAAAGTGAAGAAAGCTTACATTTCAAGCTGGTGGACTGAACCCACACATTTACCTCCTCTCCTCTTCCTCCAAATCCCACTGAGATGACAGGGAAGATGATCAAAATGTAACAAATCCATAACAGAACAGCTGGGGAGGGGGTACACCAGCTACGATTGAACTCCTAGTTCATTCCTAAATGTGGATGACCAAAGCTCATCAAATATTTGAGGTACAGCAGCAGCAGAAAAGAGGAGGACCAAATAAACAACCTGATTAAGGGATTCCCAAGGATATCAGAGATTAGCAGCAGACAACTTTCAAAAATTTAACTATGATGACGAATTGTTGCTGAGGATGTGGAGAAGTCACTCTGGCACCTGCTGGTGGGAATGCGAATGCTACAATCACTTTGGAAGATGGTTTGGCAGTGGCAGCTTCGTACAAAGTTAAACATAAACTGAACACGTGACCCAGAAGTTCCACTCCACACAAAACCTGTTCACAGCGCTTCATTCATCAGAGCCGAAAGCCGGATGGAGCCTGCATGTCTGACGCGCTGCCTCTTGGCAGCAGAGAGGAGTCAACTGATGCACACAGCGCGGCAAGTCTCCATCGCTCTGCGGGGCTGGAGGCCAGACTCAAGGGTCAGACTGTATGATTCCATCTTTGTGGAAGTATAGAAAAAGCCAAACTATAGGGACAGGGCACATCTGTGGGGGCCAGGGTCATAGCTCTAGGGAGGTGACTGACTGCAGACTCGTGAGGGGACATTCTGAGGTGATGAAAACGTCCTCTGTCTTGATTGTGGTGGTAGGCCACAGCTGGGTACGTTTGACCTAAGCCATCAAATTTTATACCAACAATTATTGAATTTTATAATATATAAATATGCCTTAATAAAGCTCATTTTTAGAGTAAAAGTATTGAGTCCAGGACTTTGGTCAAAATGACAGCATAGGTAAACATGGCTCACCTCTTTGCACAAGTGCATCAAAATTACAACTAAAATATAGAACCACCATCACTCAGAACCATCAGAATTCAAGTTGAATGGAAGTCTGACAACTACGGAATTAAAGAAACCCCATGTGTCCAGACTAGTAGGAGGAGCGCAGAAATGGAAGAGTGGGTTCCTCACCCACGTGTTGTGGATAAAAATTTGGGAGGCACATCTCGGGAATGAGGACTTCCAGCCCTGCACCAGGCCTCCCAGCCCAGGGTTCCAGTGCCAGGAGGATAAGTCCCCAAAAGTTATGCCTGCAATAACCAGCAGGAACTGAGTTGGTAGAAGAAACTGTTGGAACCCCAAGCAGTTCTCTTAGAAAACCCACACATGGACTTACTCAGATGCACTCCCTCTGAGCTCCAGCACCAGAGTAGCAGCTTGAAAGGCACCAGTGGCATGCAGGGAGAAAATGAAGTGTCTGGCATCAAGGTGAGAGCTGGGGGACAGCTTTTTCCCAGGCAGAAAGGTGGGTAGAGGCCATTGTCCCTTTTCTGAATCCTCCTTGCACAGAGCCACAGAGCCAGCAGGCGGGTGCCATATCTGAGACTCCATCAGCCTGGCTAATACAGTTTGCCCCACCCTAGAGATCCTGAGACTCAGTCCCACCCAATTTACCAGCCCACCCAAGCTGTTAAGAGAGATTTCCATATGAATGGCTGGTCTTGGCTCATGCTTCACACTTCCTAAATCCTCTCAAACACCAGCCAGTCTCAGTGAGCCCCCAGCACCTGTACCTCTTGCTAAAGTGGCTCCAGGCCCGGCACTAGCAGCAGCCAGCCTAGATTCACAACTTGGCCTCACCTGGAAATCTCCAAGTCCAAGTAGCAGCCATCTCAGATTGCTTTATAGCCCAGGCAGGGTGGCCCCAGGCAAAACGCAGGTCGGGGTTGACCTTGGCCTGCCTCACCTGGGAACCCCAGAGCCTGTGTACCCAGTAGACAGCTATAGACCACACAGGTGCACCTACACACTGCCCCTGCACAGATGATCCTCCACAGAGGACGGAGGATGGTGGTCAGTGGTTATAGCCAGTCCTTGCAGCTGACCGGCCTGGGTAAATCCCTCCCATTGATATGCCAACAGCAATCTAGGCTCAATTACAAGTGGAGGGTGTACTCAGCCCATAGAAAGAACACACCTCGAGAACCCAGCTTGGGTGATAGGGGAGGCTGTGCCATTGGACCCTACAAGATACCTGTTACATTAGGCCATGCTACCAATACAGGGAGTCAAGGAGCTCTACCTAATACATAGAAACAAACACAGGGAGGCTGCCAAAATGAGGAGAGAAAGAAATATGGCCTAAATGAAAGAACAGATCAAAACTCCAGAGAAAGAACTAAACAAAATGGAGATAAGCACTCTATTAGATGCAGAGTTTAAAACACTGGTTATAAGGATGTTCAAGGAACTTAATGAGGACCTCAGCAGCATAAAAAAGATCCAGTCAGAAACAAAGGATTCAGTAATTGAAATAACGAACAATTTACAGAGAAATAACAGTACAGTAGATGAAGCTGAGAATCAAATAAATGATTTGGAACAATAGGAAGCAAAAACAAGCAACCAGACAAGAAGAAGAAAAAAGAATCCAAAAATCAACGATAGTATAAGCAGTCTCTGGGACAACTCAAGCATTCCAACATTTGCTTCATAGGGGTGCCAGAAGGAGGAGAAAAAGAGCAAGAAACTGGAAATCTATTTGAAAAAATGAAAGAAAACTTCCCAAATTTGGTGAAGGAAATAGACATGCAAGTCCAGGAAGCACAGAATGTCCCAAACAAGATGGATACAAAGAGGCCCACTCCAAGACACATCATAATTAAAATGACAAAGATTAAAGAGAAAGAATCTTAAAAGCAGCAAGAGAAAATAAGTTAATTACCTACAGGGGAGTTCCCATAAGACTGTCAGCTGATTTCTCTAAAGAAACTCTGCGGGCTAGAAGGTATTGGCAAGAAGTATTCAAAGAGATGAAAAACAGTGTCCTACAACCTAGATCACTCTATCCAGCAAAGATATCATTTAGAATGAAAGGGCAGATGAAGAGCTTCCCAGACAAGGTAAAGCTAAAGGAGTTCATCATCACCAAGCCATTTTTACATGAAATGTTAAAGAGACTTATCTAAGAAAAAGAACAAATCATGAACATTAAAATGGCAATAAATACGTAACTATCAACAACCGAATCTAAAAAAGTAAGCAAACAAGCTGCACAGGAACAGAATCATAGATATGGGGAACATTGGGGTGGTGGCCAGTGGGGACGGGGGTCGGGGCACTGGGAGAAAGGTGAAGGGATTTAGAAGTACCAATTGGCAGTTACAGAATAGGCAGGGGAACGTGAATAGCAAGTATAGGAAATGGAGAAGCCAAAGAACTTGTATGCATGACCCATGGACGTGAACAAAGGAGGGGATCGCTGGAGGGAGTGAGGGGGTGCTGGGTGGACAGGGCAAAGGAGGAAAATTGGGACATCTGTAATAGCATAATCAATAAAAAATAAAATTTAAAAAATAAAATGAAAGTATTAATTCTCAGAGAAACCCAAATTACATTTCATCAAAAAAAAAAAAAAAAAAAATTAGGATGCTGCAGAAAAAAGACGACTGTCAAAACTCCAACCAAAAGAAAGTGGGAGCACTCACACTGACATCAGACAGAGCACGCCTCAGAACGAGGGCTGTTCCCAGGCAGAAAGAAGGCCCTTACGTAATGATGGACAAATCAACCAGAACGTAATGGTCCTACGTGTGCCCCACCTCATGAAAAAACTTGAAAAAAAAACCTTGTACCTGAAGCAACACCCAGCAGAACTGCAGGGGAAATGTCTGTGTGTGTAACTCTCTCTCAGTAACTGATACAGCACGTGGACAGAAATAGGTCAGGACGTGGGAGACCCGAACCACGCTAGGCTACCCAGTGTTGGTAGAACATTCCATCCATCATCACAGTGTGGTTCTCAGCCCTGTCAAGGGCCCACTGTGCAGCACTAATGACAACAGAGACATGCAGTTATTGACATGGAAGATGTGACTTTGCTTCTGGAAGGCTCCCAGGAATTGGGATTTTGCTAAAGCTGAGAGCTGTCCCTTGTGCTACTTGGCCCATGTTACTGGAACCAGAGCACCTGCTGCAGGGTCTTCTGGAAACTAACCCTGGGGTCCCGCCCTCCCCACTGCTCCACCCTGGACCATGGCCTTGCTCTCCGGCCTCATGAGAACTAATGGCAGATGCAGAGGGGGTGGGCACACGTGGGCCTGCACAGCCTACAAAGTGAATAAAGCAGGTTATGGAATGGGAGGTAAATCCATGAGTGTTCTCGGCAAGGCTGGCTTGTGGAAGGGATAGGAAAATGCCCTTCTCAACCTGCAGCTCAAGAGAGAGGCTGTGACCCAATTTTCTGAGTCAAATCTTTATTTGCAAACATAGTTCCTTCCTGATAATGCAGGCCTGTGAGGAGGAGACCACGGGCTACCACCTGGCCTGCAAAGGCACCTCCTCCAGAAAACGAGGAGCCACGAGTCTCCCCTCCACTGTCGCTTTTGTGTCATGACAGAGACGGCATGTGAAGGACTGGCCACGGGGTGGCCAAGACCCTCCAAGATGTTCCTCCTCTCCAGTCTCAGAGCAGCAGCAGGAACTGCACCCAAGGACTGGGAATCTCCTGCTCGCGGCTCAGGGGGCTGTAGGGAACTGGGCAGGAAGGAGGGACCTGGAGGACACGGCTGCGAGGGGCTGCGCTCCAAGACCCTGGCTCCCTGGGGGCAGGCAGGGGCTCCGGGCTCTGGCGGAGGCCCAGCTCAAAGTCACAGGCAGGCTCTGTCCCCTCCAACGTCCAAACCAGCCCAGCTAGGAGGGGAGGTGCTTCTGGGAAGGGGCTGTCATCGCCCCTCAAAATGGGCTGTGATTTGCTCCAAAGTTTTTCCTTTGGTTTCAGGGACACAGGACAAAGTGAAAAGGACACTGAGGATGCAGAAGGCGGAAGCGAGCCAGAAAGCGCCGTAGGGCCTGAGCACCTCCTGTGGAGAGAGGGGAAGCCACGGGTGACTGTGGCCAAAGGCCAGGAGACCCCACGGGACCAAGAGCCAGGGCCCCAGCCTGTCCCGCCCAGGCTCAGGGCTGAGCGCTGGCCAAGGTGTGGATGCTGCGTGCTGGGGAAGCTGAGGTTCACGGTGATGAAGTGGCTGCCCCCAGGTCAGAGACACACCACCAAGCGACAGCTGGGCCCTCGTCCCTGGGGTCTGACTCCAAGCCCACAGACCTACTCTCTGCACTTAGTTATGGCCCTGCCCTCCGAGGTCCCTGCCCTCTGAAGTCCTGCCCGCAGAGGAGCCTCTCCTCTTGGTGGCAGAAGGACGGGGAGCTAACAGCAGGCGGGGATGGGGCGGTGTGCGCACACGGACACGCAGGGCCCGCAGGCACGGAGGGAGGAGCGGTGCCCTGTGGCCAGGGCCTGTCCACCCGCTTGGCCCCGCCCCAGTGACCTCCCAAGCCAGACCCATGGCTCCTCCGTTCTCAGCTCTCCTTCTCTAGGGTGGCTGCCTGAATGGGCCCGTGCCCCGGGCGCACGTCAGGCCAGCCTTGGGCATCCACGCCCCCCGTGGCCTGCCGCCCCAGCCCCAGCCTCCTGCTGGCTTGTTCTCCCACCACTGTCCACTGCTGTCTCAGCCCCTGTCACAAAGGGGACCGTGGCCACCTCATTCCTGGCTGTCTCTGGCACCGTGAACAAGCCTGGACGTGGCATGTGGCAGGGGACCTGGGGGGAATGACTGTGGACCAACACCATCCCCTGACTGGCTGGGCGGCCCCTTGGGCAGGGGCCATGTCTGTGTCAGTCCATCCATGAGAAGGCAGCAAAATGTTGACCTGATGTCCCCATCAACCCCCAGAGGAAGGCACCTCACCCTCCTCTGTTTTCAGTCAAGGAAACTGGTTCAGAGAAGGCAGGAGGCACACCCAAGGCCACAGAGCAGGAAGCGGCCATGGCGGGGTTCAGGTCCCGGCCTGCCCACTCCAAAGCTAGAGTTTCCCCCACAGCCCTACTTCCGGCCTGTGTTCCCAACATCCAGTGGGGGGGCCTGTCCTGCTGTCTTCCATTGAGACAGCCTGAAGGGTTCCCCCTGCCCCAGCCCATCTGTCTCCCCCTCACCCTGACCAGGAGAGCCAGCGTCCCGGAACAGTGGGGCCCAGCGTCTACACGAGGCCATGGATCCCGAGTCCTTGGCTCCGAGAGTAATCCTAAGATCGACTGTGTCAGGGGCAACCCCCGGGGCCTGTACTCACCATGAGGCTGCTGAACTCTTTTGTCACCAGAAAGGCCATGAGCCAGTTGGTGAGGACACAGACACCGGTGGCCACGCCCTTGATGTGCAGAGGGAAGATCTCAGACATGAGGAGCCAGGGGATGGGCCCCCAGCCCACAGCAAAGCCTGTGGGAGGCAAGGCAGGCATCAGGGCCCACAGGGGCTGGCCGGCCACTCGCTGCAGAGCCTGGGGCTGGCGCCCCGTTGGGCTGCCTGGTGTGGGCTTGGGGCCCGGGTTCCGGTCTGGGCCCAGCAGCTCTGCACCCGCCTGCTCTGAGGTCTCGGGCCGTCCTCTTCATTTCTTATACTCGGGTCCCTTCTCTGTAGAGTGGGAGCCCGATGTGGCCTACTCAGCGTGCTGACGTGGGCTCTAAGTGAGGGGAGCAGCGAAGGGCTTAGCTCGGCACCTGGCGCGTGGTCAGCCATAAATGCAGAGTTGGGGGCCTAGAGGGACAAGTGAGGCCAGGTAGGCCTGGACTCGCTGGGAGCCACAGGAACCCAGCAGGGACAGGGTGTCCGCACTGGTCCCCACCCAACTTCCCCACAGGCCCCTCTCACCGGCAATGAAGAGGCACATGCTGCCCACCGCCAGCCAGGCCAGCCCTGCACTGGCATCGGCCGGCTCCATGGAGATGGGCGCCAGGAGGTCTGTGTGTGAGGAGTTGCTGGGGCCACCCTGGGTCAGCTTGAAGTAGGCGCCAAAGGCACTGCTGCTGAACACCATGACCACACCTGCGGGGGGAGGGCAGCGCTGGGCCTGTGGGCCGGGCACGTGGCCCCCGCAGCAGGAGTCTCCGGCCAGTGTGGCCACTGCAATGTGGTTGGTCTCGGCAGCTCTGACAGGGGCAGTGAGTGGTCCCCTGGAGCCCTGACTGGGATCTCAAACCTCCATGACCTCCAAGAAGCTCCCGGAAGCAGAGCCCCTGGCCGGTGGGGCGGAGCTGTGAGTGGCAGTGCGCTATTGGCCCGGTCTTCCCCAGCTGTCCCGAGCACTTGTGGGCCTCAGCCTGTGCAGACGGGCACACGTGGACCATCCCCTGCTCCTCTCGATGGCCCACCATTACCCCCATTTTAGAGAGCAAACTGAGGTTCAGGGAGGTAAAGTCACTTGTCCCAACACACCACAAGCGTCCAAGCCACTTCCCCTCTGGGGCCCTCAGTTTCATCGTGAATGGCAGCCCTGGTGGCACCCTCTTTGCAGGTTCATTGAAGGGTTAAGGTGCGATGTGGGGACACCATGAGCGCAGGCCGGGTCTGCGGCGAGCACTCATTGAGCAAGTGCTCCCGTTTAATCTTGGCCTTGTTCTCAGGGACACCTGCCCTCCCCCTCGCCCAATGCAGGGGTCTTGGTAAAGAGCCTCCAGCCTGCGCTGGGGACCCTGGCCTGGGCCACCCCCCTTGCAAGGGCTGAGCCCTTGGGCCTCACCTGACAAGGCGAGGAGCAGCCTCCGCCCTGCTCTGTCCATGATGACAGCCGCCATGGCCGTGAAGAGCACCTGGATGACGCCCACGACGACCGAGGCCAGGCTGCTGTCCTGGGGAGATGGGCAGAGGCGGGTCAGGCAAAGGCCCAGGGGCCAGGCCACACCGCGCGGCACGCGGATGAGGCAAGCTGGGCAGAGGCCCCTTTACCTTTAACTTGGCCTCTTCAAAGATGGTCTCTGCGTAGAACATGACAGCGTTGATCCCCGACAGCTGCTGGAATACCATCAGCAAGATGCCGATGGTGAAGGGCTTGTAGATGCCAGGTCGCCTCAGCTGGGCCAGGTGGAAGCCCTGCTTGACAGAAATGGGCGTCGGTGCTTCTCCTGAGGGGACCCCTGGCGTTGGGGCCACCACCCTAAGGCCTGGCAGAAGGAGGGAGCCTCAGCTTGCCGTGGCCCCTTTGGGCCTCGGGTCCGCAGACAGGCCTTTGCATCACTCCAGCCTCCCCATTTGCAAGAGTGACAAGACCCTCATGTCCGGCCTAGCCTGGAGAGCCTTATTTCCTGATTTGGTGGGGAGCCACCAAGAGAGCACATGGGCAAAGAGCCAGGGGATCCAGAGTCCCACCAGCCTTGGGCCGAGCGCCACCTCCACCCCAATGAATCCCTTCCTCCATCACCACCACCGGGCGCGTGCTTGGACACTTGCTTCCCATGAAGAAACTAAGCCTTAACGATGGGATGGTCACACTGCATGGAAGTGGTAGAGACTCAATTGCATCCCACGCCATACAACCCCCCTGCCTCCCGGGGAAAAATCCAAGTCCTCAAGTCTGCCCGTGTGTCCCTGGGACCTGGCCTGGACTTTCTCTTCAGTAGGATCAAGGCTCAGGCTTTTCCAGTGGTCTCCAAGGCTAGGGCCCCACTGACGAGGGGGCTCAAGCAGGCCTGTGTTTGCCGGCACACAGGACAGCACGGCACCTCTGCCCATGTGTGCATGAGCGTATGTCCTTGGGGACAGGCTGTGCCAGCCTCCCTGGCTGCAAAGGGGTGATACCACACCAACTCCTTCCTCCCAGTCCCCTCACCTGGTGCTCAGCCCCAACAGGGGGCTCTTCCCAGCCCTGCTCGGAGCCCCACAGGAACTGCGCAGCGGCTGCGGCTTCCCGGCGCTGGAGCTGCGTCAGCAGGAAGCGCGGGGTCTCAGGCATGCAGCACATGAGCAGCAGCATGAAGGAGGGGGGCACACAGCCCAGCACAGCCAGCCAGCGCCAATCCAGGACCCAGCCTGGATGGGGGGTCAGACGTCAGAGCCGGGGTCAGGGGCCCCCTCAGCAACCCCAGGGGCTCCGCTTAAAGGGTGGGGACCTCACTACATCTGCATGGCTACCCTCGAGTTGGTTAGATATTGTTGTTATCGTTGTTGATCGTAGAAAAGATGATGGGTACGTCATTATGCTACGTCTGCTCAGTGAGTACGCAGTCATTATGCAAAGAGGCACTCACTATGCAGGGATGGGTAGGACATGGCACGGGGCATACAAAATTTCAGGACAGGGGAATGAATATGCACAGTCCTCACGCAGACCCTCTGGAAGGTCACCGAGAGGCAGGCAAGGCTGGTTCCTGGAGCGGAAGGGAAAGCACGGGGAGACTTTTCACTGAACACCAGCGGATCATAAGTCACAGGAACTGACCGATGCAAGTGCAGATTATGATGAACTGAAGATAATTTTATGGGCGTATCGACACCTGCATGTCGGTCCCAAATGCCACTGTCTGCACACGCCAGGGCTCTGGCACATGCTGGGCCCCCACGGCAGCCAGGCTGCCAGCAGGACTCTGAGTAGAGTCAGGATGGTAAGTAGGTAAAAGTGAAACACCACGAACCTGCATGTTGACCAATTTAAAGACCCACGGGGCAAGTGGCCCAAGCCCTGCCACGCCCATCAGTCCTGGAAGCCCCACGCCCCCAGCCTTCCCCGTGGCTCTCAGGCCACCCATGCCTCGACAGTTCTCATCTGGGGCCTGCTGCGGGGCGCTTTTCACGTGCCACTGAATTCAAACCCTCACCAGCCTCGGAGTGGGTGCGGTCACCTCCACTCACAGACAGGGAAGGTGAGGCTCCCAGGTGCTGTGTAAGCAGGCCAAGGCCACCCCGCCCCCAAGTGACAGAGGTCTTCCTCTGACGCGGGACTGTAAGAGGTAGCCTGCCCTCTTTCTGCTCCAGATCTGGGGAAAACACGGCTGTCTCCGGTGCAGGCCCCAGCTCTGACCTCAGGTCCCCTGGAACCCGCCTCCTTCCTGCTGCAAATCCAGTCCTGAAATTTCTGAGGGAGACAGGCTTGGGCTCTCCGAGCTCCTGGGCTGATCATTTCCAGGGTGCCCCGCTTGCCCCTGGGACCCTCAGACTGTCACTGCACAGTGAGGTGCTGGCCCAGCCGGTCAGCCCTCACCAGACCCCTGGGACGGGCTTCCGCCTAGGAAGATGAGGACATCACCTTCTTCAGCTCTTTGGGAACTTGGTCACAAGACCTACCCACCCCAGGGTCTCAGGGAGGGGATCTGGGAACCTAGCACCTTGGGCAATGGCTTTGGGACCCCGGGCGAGTCCTGTGACCTCTCTGAACTCCAGTTTCTATATCTGTAAAGTGGCCACGTGGCCACTAACAGGGATCAGAAGAGATAACATGAAAACTCTACCTGCCACGTAGGCCAGGAGGATGCCTATGACGACCATCAGCTGCACACAGGAGCCCAGCAGCCCCCGCACTTCCGGGTAGGCAATTTCGGAGATGTAGACCTGTGGGCAGCGAGGGCGAGAGCTGCAGGCCTGGCCGGCCCCTCACTGTGAGCCCCAGGCCAGGGCCTTCCTCGCGCCCGCCCGCGCCCATCAAGTGCTCTGCAGCCAGCAGTTAAAGGGGATTAAGGGGGTCTCTGCGGGTGCTGTGTGTGTGTGTGGGAGGGGTGGGGGCATAGCGCTTTACTGACTTTCATTTAATGGTATCACTACCCTTGATAAAATGCAGATCCTGGCGCATTAGATTCTGCCTGTCTAACTAGCTCCAGGTGGCACCGGGCTGCTGGCGTGGTGCCCTTGGAGTTAAAGCGGGAACTCTTTCCTTCAGTGGCTACCTGTGACTGGGCTCAGGGGCCAGAAAGGCCTCGCCCATACTTCTGGGTTACTCAGTACCTTACGTCCATGACTTGTGTGTTTTTTGTCCAGAAAAAACCCAAAACATAAAAATCCAACCCAGGTGCCCAACAAATGCTGGTGAAATGAGTGGCAGGTGAAAAGGAACGGCCAGGGAGGACCTGAGCCACTGCTTTCAGCTCAACCAGGGCGGGGCGTGGGTGGTGGGTCATCCCAGCCCATGGCCGGCAGCAGTTCACTGGCCACCCGGCAACCCCAGCTGCCAGGGTCCAAGCCCTTCACAAGCCATGACAGCGTGGATGTGCGGTGTCTCTGATTCCTTGCCCACTGCAAGAGGAACCTGTCACCTTCACTTTTCAGGGGAGGGGACGGAGGCCCAGAGAGGCGCTCTGTCCTGGGAAGTGGCAGAGCCAGATGTCAGCCGGTCTGTACGGCTCCAAAGGCAGCTTGGGCAGTGCTGGGTCAGGCGCTGGGAGAGAAGCAGGGAGGCAGCGGGAGGACTGGCGCCTGAGCAGTGAAGGGGGGCGGCGGGTGGCAGCGGGTGGCAGCAGCCTTTGCCCCAGGGACAAACCTGACAGAAATTTCCTGCTAAACTGTAGTCAGTGGCCTGAATGACAAGGGGGATCCAAGCCACACTGTGAGGCTTCTGTCGACCGTCCACAGATGCCATCTTATTTGTAGAGCAAAAGGGAGGCCGAGTTAAACGGCACAATCCTGGGTGATCGCTTCACCACTGACTAGTGGAGACTGGACAAAGGACTTCACCTTCCTGAAACTCACTTCACCGTCAGATGGGGCCAACAAGAGCGGCTGCCCATTGCGAGAGTAAGGGAGATAAGGCAGATAAGGGCCACCAGGAGGCCCAGGGGAGACCACACCCCCAGGTCTGCTTCTTTCCCTCGGTCCCAGGGCCTGAGGCTAGGGGACACTCACCGGGGCCACGAGCGAAGCAATGCCACAGGCTAGGCCGGTGAGGATGCGGCCCCCCAGCAACGTCCACACGTCCTGGGCCGCGGTAATGACGGCAAAGCCGGTCACGAAGGGCACGGTGCAGAACAGGAGGCTCAGCTTGCGCCCGGCGCGGTCCACCAGCCAGCCGCCCAGCACGCCCCCGGCCGCGGCTCCCAGGGTCACGACGGCCTAGGGGCGATCGCCGACTGAGGTTGGGGTGCCAGGGGATCATGGCCGGCCTAACCCTCCACCCCGCCCCCAGCGGCCTCGGAGGGAAGGGGACTAGGTCCAGGGCGGGTGGTCGAGGAGAGGGTGCCAGGGGAACCGGGACGTATTCGGCGGAGGGTCTCAGTGCCCGCCGAAGCAGGGCAGGGGTAGGTCGCATCACGCGTCCGAGGGAGTGGGCGTGGAGGGTCCCGGAGCCCATCCAAGGCGTGGGCGTGGTGGGTCCCGGCGCCCATCTTAGGAGTGAAAGAGCTGGTGTCCCAGCCAGAGGTCTCACCCCGAACCAGGAGGCGGTGGCGTCGTCGAGGCGTGGGGCCGGTGGCGCGGCGCGTCGCAGGCTCGGGATGGCCGGGGAGCTGTAGCCGAGCGCGAAGCCGAAGCTGAGAGGGCCCAGGGCAGCGGCGAAGGCGGCCAGGAAGACGCGGCGGCCGCGGGGAACGCTGCGGGGATACGGCGGTCGGTGAGCGGCGCCGGTCTGGGCACAGGGAGAGGGGCGAGGCCGCGCCCCAGGCCCGGGCTCCCCAGGCCGCTCACCTGACACCGGGCGGCCGCAGGAGCGGCTGGGTCTCCACCTGGTCCTCAGGCGTCATGTCCGTGGCCGACGCTTGTTGGGTCCACTCTGACGCCTGAACTGCCAAGGATCCCGCGACTGCTGTACGCACCGGCCTCGCTTGACAGAGCCGGCCAATGGGCTTTTCTGAGAGGCTCTGGGCGTCGGTGTGGGAGCAGCCAATGGGAACGCAAGGCACGGCTAGCGTAGCGTTGAGACCCACCCTTGAAATCAAAGCAGACCAATGGAAGCAAAGAGCCGGTTGGCGAAACGCACTGGAACAGCCCCTAGGACAGAGTTATCCAATGTATAGGAGGGGCGGAGATTGTATCGGGTCGTCAGCAAATAGGAGTGTGGTGCGAGCCAGGCGGGGTCAAATAGCTGCCTCATACCGAGCCGGCCAATGAGCGGGGAGGGCAGGAAGGGCAGTTGCCCCTGGAGTCGCCTCTCAGTCTAGCTTCAACCAATGGGGCTCGGAGCCGGACGAAGGCGGAGCACGTAGACCACGCCCAGTATTTCCCGCCCCAACTCTGGGCACCTGGCGCCGCCGTCCTGTTGGCCCGTCTGCACACCCTGCTCCCTGTTAACCGCTGCTCTGGGGCCTGAGCTGGAGGAGACTGACCTCTCCGCCTGGCCCTGCATTGTCCCCCGAGAGCCGCCAGACTGCAGTTACCCAAATGACTGTTGTGTGTCACTCTCCTCTCCCGCAGAGCCTGGCACGGTGCTCCAGCTCGGCTGCCGGGGCGGGGAGGGGTCCAGGGCGGGGGCAGAGGCGCGGCACGGCGCGACACCGCCCACCTTCGTGTTCGTTATCACTTGGAGCCCTCTCACTGCTGACGGCTACAGAGCCTACGACGACTGGGACCTCCAGGTGCTGGGGGCCCAGGGTCCCCCATGCCGCTTATGCGACAGAGCAGGGCCTAAATGGTGAGCTCCACGCCTCCTAAATTCCACTCACTTCACAGGTAATCCTGACTTCTTGAATCTTCACCCAAGTATCTCCCAACTTTGGGTCCCCTGCGGATGCAAGTATCCAGCCTCTCTACGTGTCCACCCAAGTCACTGCTGGAGGTGAGGATGATGACTCAGGGTTCAGGAGAATCGCGCCATTTGTACCCAACACTCTGGGTGCAGGCAGCTGCAGAGGAGTGCTGTGTAATTCTGGAAAGAGCCGGAGCTACGAGTAAGAAGCTTAGCTTCTTTCTCTGAGCCTGTGTTTCCTCATCTCTACATGGGGTTGACGATATCTATCTTAAGAGTTTTGAGTAGGGGCAACGTACAGGGACACCAAGCACAAATGCTTGCCGGTATGACCATGATAGTTGGTTGACCGAGTGCAGTCATCTGACCGCACTGTTTTTAAAGACACGCGACTTCCCCTCTGTGCATGTCTACATGGCATCTTGTGGCCGACTTATAAATTCTTGTCACAGCTTTGTGGTCACCTGTTTACTTCTGTCCCTCCCCCAATGCACACGACCTCGTTCAGACAGCATTTGGTGCTTGCAGAGTGGATGAATGACTCAAACTCCATGGGTAAACTGCTCAGTTAGACAGTTTATTTTGAAACTCACCAGTGGGGTATGCAAAGATGCTTATGTAACGAGGATGCTCCAGTGAGCCCAGCTAGCGCCAGCCAGCCCTTTGAGCCACGGCCGGCAAACCGCTCTCTCCCTGTGCCTGTGCAGCGTTCACTTCTTGCCCCCTGTAAGCAGATACTGCTGCCAGTGCAGCCTCTCGCCCCCCTTTATAAGCTAAGCACCGCCTCTTGCCCTTTCTACATTTGTTTCTCAGATCTGTCACTCGTTACATCATGGGGTGACCGATACTGCCCATCTTTAGGAAAATGGTCTAAAAAAGCCCTTGGTTTTTCTATTCCAAGCTGGGAAGCTAGAAACTTAAGGGAAAAAAGTTGACAGAAAAAACACACACATATGAACTCATAAAACTCACGAATTAGTTTAACATGAAACACATCAGCCAGGTCCAAGGGACGTCGTCACTCAGCCTGGCCCTGCATGGTGGACGCGGGGAGAGCCCAGCTCTGAGGCCAGCGAACTCACGGGTTCCAGTCATTGCCCCTGTCTGAGTCTGTGTCCTTATTTGAAAAGCAAAAATTAACAAAACCTAATGCACAAGAATTTGGGTGAGGTTGAGATACAGGATGTAGTGGATTTTGTGTTCTCCCTTGTATGCGAAAGGGGCAGAACAAGACACAAAGAACAGCAATGCTGAATGCTGCTAAGACCGTGAGAAGACACATTGGTTGTACACGCCCCACCTGGGCATACCTACAAAGCACTGTCTTTATGTTATGACTGATTTACTTTCTGACTCTGGTCTCTTGCCTTCTGCTGAAGGGAGCCAGGCAGCCTCCGGCTTGGATTCACCATCATGTTGAACTGCTTGGGTGACAGGCAGGGAGGGGAGCTCTCCCCACAGGGTGCAAGGCCCGCGAGGAGGCAGCATCCAGACTTCCGGCAGATCAAGGTCGCGCCACACACCGCTGTCTGCACTTGTGGAGAAGACCTGCAGAAGAACTCAGAGCCGCTTTAACAGGGGGAAGAGTTAAAGTATCTTGTAATGGGTAATATAGTTGAGAAGAGATACAATAAAATGGAATTACCAGACTAAAGCCAGAAGTGAATTACCTCCTTCATACATTAAATTTTTTACAGCATCAGTGAAACTAGATTCCCCCTTTGATCCGTCCTGGTTAACGGCTGGCATTTCACTGGTTCAGCTGCTCTGGGCCAAACACACATTTTCTTACTTTGCAGAGGGAGTGGTGAAAGGCAGAGGAATAACAAGAGGCAGGATGATCATTTGGTTCAAGTGAAAGAGTAAAGCAGACTTGAACGAGAGGAAGGAGCTTGCGAATGGTAACTTTGATTACTGTTCTCTGGTTATGATTTCAGAGTAACAATAAAACCAAACAAAATAGTCCTAAGACTCTTAACAAGCTCCTTCCTATACCTTACTATTTTTCATGAGACACAGGAGGAAGAAAACGGGCTTCTGAGACCTAACCGTTCAGCTTCTCTCAAGAGTCTACGGGCAGGAATGGAGCTGGTTCCAGTCACAGTGACCTGAATGGTAACGGGACCCCGGTGCAGAAAGAAAGCGTATTTAGAATACATTTTAAAAGCAATGGCTTTTCTTTATAAATGAAACACATTATATGACAAAAAACTAATAAAAAAATAATTTTCCCACGTAGGTATTTAGAATATAAGAGAAGGCTGCCATAAGTAAGAATGAACATTTTTGATTTATTCAAAGTTTCAATCTAAAACGTCAGTGAAATCTACCACCTATATTACAAGGGGACTGATGGTTCCTGAACAGAAAGAAACAGGTCGAGACAGATGGCGCTGGATGCTAGAGAATGACCCAGACTGGCCAGGTGTGTAGATTTGGTCCAATAGATCGTGGACAGGCTAAAAGCCACATTTTGTTGAGAAAGGACGTCAGGACTGGTTCAAGAGTATAAACGTCCATAAGAAAATAAAAGGTGGCAAACTCCATTCGCACTCTGTTTACTTCAAGTCAATAACGTCTTCATCCGAGGAGGCTGTGAGCTGGAAGGGGCTGTTGCCCCAGCCAGGGCTGCCTTCTCTGTCTGCCCCAGGGTCCTGATTGGAGCCTGTTGAGTGGCAGTGCCCCTCGGGATTGGCTTCGGCAGTGGAAGGACTTTCCAAGGAGCCCGATGTGATCCTAGGAGAGAGAAGTCGCTGGGAGGGATCACTAGGCGCAGCCCTGAGCTGGGCCTGCTGCCTGGCAGTTTCGTGCTCACTTGAGCTCCTAAGTATGTGTCCCCCTACTCCCTACCCCCTAGGAGGAGAGGTGGGGATGGGCCGAGGTCACTCCCACCCTGACACAGCTTGAAGCCCACAGTCTGAGAGCCCTACTGCCCGGATCGGTGTGGGTTTTAAGGGCCTGGGGTGACACTGGAAGTATGGGTGAGGCATTATTTACCTTTGTCAAGTGCCCATCGTGGGACTATCATTCTTTGCTTCAAATCCCCCGTGGTCCCCACGGCCTGAGGTTCAGGCTGAGACTCCTGCCCACAGGGCCACCAAGCCCTCGCTCTGTGGACCCCTCCAGCCTCCTCCCAGCCCTCTGTGTGTCTCTGCATCCCTCTCCCTCAGCTCAGTGCCACTTCCTCAAAGAAGCCTTCCTTGATGTGCTCCCCAAAGTAGATCTCTCATCCTTCTGATGCTTGAGTCCCTGCCCCAGGTGTGGGGTGGATGGCCCCTGTGTGTTCCTCTGCGCCACTGACCACCCTGGAATGCTGTACTTCCTGGAATGTCCTTTTTGGCCTTCCCCGCGGGCCTGTGAAGCCCCTGATGGCCCCCTCCGTGTCCCCAACACCCAGCTCAGAGCTGGGTGCTCCGTGAATGCGTGTGGAATGAATGAAGCAGACATGTTGCTTGAGGGACACAGAGGACCTTAGGGGACAGATCGGTGGGATTCAACAAGCAGGGTATGGATACTAAACTGCCACCCCGAGAGGCTGAAGCTGTTGCCACGCCCACCACAAGCATTACCCAAGTGCCTTTTTCCTGTTGTTTGTACTGAGAACTTTTATTATAAAAACACCTCTGTTAATAAACGGTGAGCAAAAATATAAAGGTGTCTCACTGTATTTTAACGAGCATTTGTTGGATTGCTGGTGAGGCTGCCCATTTGCCGGGGCCCCTCCCTGGCACGCTGTGCTCTCTGGGGAGCCCCTGAGAGGAGTGGGGCGCTGACGTTGCGCTGTGACTGGTCAAGGGGACTCATGGCAGTGCTGTGACTTGTAGGGCCACTGCGCTGAGCAGGGGCTGCTGGGGCTGCTGCTTTACCTGTCGCTGCTCGTTGACCTCACTGTCCCTGGCTTGGGACCTCCTTGGCTCTCTTCTAACCGCTTCTGGGCTCTGGATCTGGGCTTCGGTGCTCCTTCGGGCCTGGCTCCACCCTCATCAGAGAGGCCTGAGTTGCAGGGGAGAAGCAGAGGTCAGAGGGTCATCGCCAGAGGGCTGCCGCAGACAGAAAAGGCCCTTCTCCCAAAGCTGGGAATTGGCGCATTATTGGGATGACGTCAGGAAGACAGAAGA